TAATATATTACTTGGATGCTAAGGGTATAGATTTGCCGTATGCTTATATATACTATATTCCTAGGACTCGATATTCTCGCGCGCGCTCCGCTTACTACTACGACGAGAAAAGGAGCCGAGGCGTATAGTATATTTTATTTATAGGTAGGTATAGCTAGTAGTAATAAAGTTAATTCTTCGTCCTTATATTTAGAAAATACTATAATAGAATTCTAGAAAAAAGTTCCTATATACCTTTAAGAATTCTAATACTTTATTTGAAATAAAAAGCTCTCTATAGCCCTTATAATCTAATACTAGGTAAAGCTTAATTATATATAGTAGCTTTTTAATAATTAGCTTTTAAAAATTTAAATAATAAATTAAGAACTTTTATCTATATTATAGAAGACTAAAGATATTTTATATACTCTAAGTTATATTCTAATTAAGGGTATAAAGTTCTTTAAAAGTTGCTATTATATTATTCCTTTACTCTAACTAGGTCTAGGTCTTACTATAAGCTTTATTGTAGAAGCCTTTAAGTTATATTTAACGCTAGGAGCTATTATTATAGAGTATATAAAGCTTAAGAAATCCTAGAGATCTATTTAAACTAGGTTATAGATACTAATATTTATATTCTAATTATATAGTCTTACTTGTTTTCTCTAACAATATTTTATTAGTTGATTATTTAGTTATTTATATTATTCTTACTTTATATTAAAGTCTAAATAACTAAGCTTATAGACTTTAAGAGAAAGTTTAAGGTGTAATTCTTTATAGCTTTCTTAAAAGCTATATAAAAGCTTATATCTTTATACATATTAGTATCTAAGCTCCTTATCTAAATATAAATTAGTACTTTATTCTTACCTATTATTATATACCTTTATTCTTATAAATATCTCTAATTATAATATATAGACTTACTTAAACTAGTTATGAAAGTTTATAAATAAAACTATAGATAGTAATTAAAGATATATTAGAAGTATACACTTCTACTTAGAGTTTAATACTAGATTAAGATTCTAGTATAGAGTATCTTAGCTTAAAGATAGAAGACATTATAGTTAATTTAGAAATAAAGAAAGGAAAGCTAATCTTTAAGAGATTTATTGAATATTATATTATATAGATTATTAATTACTATAAAGAAGATAGAGTAGGGTAAATAATATATTATAGGTATTATCTTCTATAAGTTATTTATTAGGTTTATAATAGTTTATAATACGATATAAGTAAGTATCTAAGTTCTAGAGCTAGGGAAGTTTATATATTATAGGAAATAACAAAAGTACTATAGTATAAAGATTATAAAAAGAGTTCTAAAGAGGTTTATTAATATTATCCGTATTAAATTACTTTGTTCTTAGAATTTAAGATTATACTAGTATAGTTCTGAATAAGTCTCTAAAGGTGTTTCTTTCTTTAATAATTAGTATCTCTAAGTATAGATTAAAGCGTTTTATACTTCTTAAAAGCTAAAGAGATAAAATAGGTAGACTAGCGACTAGACCTAGAATCTTACTACAAATAGGCTAAAGATTAGAGCTATATAGTCTATATAGAACTATAAAAGCTCTAAACGCTAGCTATATAAAAATTTAGTATAGACCTCTATAGAGACTATTCTACCCGAGAATAATATTTAGTATATAGAGGGTTTGTCTTATTTATAGTAAAGAGTGCTCTAGAGCTTATATGTAGGTCTTTCCTTACTTTTTTTTATATATTATAGTATCTATTAAATCTAGGAAATTTAATAAAGAATTATATTACTTCTCTTATATACTAGATACTAAAATACTAGGGAGGTTGTTATAGTATTACTAGATTAGGAAGGATATAGTAGAAATATAGATATATAAGTTAGTTTAGTATTAGGAAAGGGATCTTATTAATATCTTCTTTTAAGTCTATCCTTAGAGAATTATAACTATTCTACTTCGGATTACTATAATTATAAGTATTTTCTCAACATAAAATAATTATAAATAGAGTAGAGAAGGGTTTATTTTATTTAATAGAAAAAATTTAGAGGATACCTTAAAGGATATAAATATTCTTATAGTTAAAAGAAGGGAATTATAGATATAATACTAACTTAGAAATAATCTCTAGGAATTCTAAGTTAATAATCTTAACGACTTTAGCCCTAGCTAAGTTTTCTTACTAACGGTTTATAGAGGTCTTAATAGTCTTAGGAACTTTAATAGATTATAGGAAGGAAAGAGTAAAACGCGCTCCAAGTATAATAAGAAAAGGTACTATAGAACAAGAAACAAAGCTAGTAAAGTATAATTAATATCTTTTAAAATTTAGTCTAGATGCTCTATATAGTCTTAAATATCTCTAGAGAGTAATAATTATAGAGATAAATAAACAAGCTTTGTTCTTAGAGTCTAAAATCTATTTTTCTCCTCTTGACTTTAGTATCTCTTTATACTTCCTAGGAATTATTACTAGAAGATAGAGAGAGGTAGTCTTTATCGGTCTAAAAGCTTCAAAGATATAGTAGTATTTCTCGAAGTATAGAAAACTTATAGTAGAGGCTTCCTTTTAAAAAGTAGTACTTAACGCTTAAATTAAGTATTAATACATAGTATTAATTTTTACTATCTCCTTTTCTAACTAAAAGTTTATATAATTAGATAAATTCAAAGAGACTCTTAGACACTTTCTCATCTTTAGCTATTAAATTACTAATTCAATCTTCTACCTTTACTTATTAGTTAAAGTAATACCTCTTACTATATACTTTACTTTTCTTTTAGATATTGTTTAAAAAGAATATATCCCCTATTCTTATATATAATAGAACTATTAGACGAAAGAAGTATAAAGCTTGTTTTGCCTTCTATATATACTTTTATATTCTATATTCTATACTTTATAGAAGATAAAAGTAAGTACTCTACGCCCTACCTTTTAAGTCTATAATAGTAAAAATAATTTATCTTCTTTATGAAGGCTTAAAACTCTATTATTTAATAAGATATACTATAGTATATATTTATTTACTACCTTTAGCCTTCTTAAAGTAAAATTTATAAAAATATTTTAGGAACAAATCTATAAGCTATAACTTAATAGTACTTTCTCTTTTTTAAGAGAAGCCTACTACTATTAATAATACTCTAAAAATCTGTAGGTCTCTTATAACTAATAGTACCGGTATCTTAGTTATTATAACCTACTAGACTCTTATTTAATTATCTATAGATCTAGATAAACTAATTTTAGTTCTGTAATTAAATATAAGTGAATTATTTTTATATAAATAATATATTCTAATTAGCTATTATACTATTAATATAACTTACCTATTTTATAGTAGTATATAATTAATACTATCTTAAATTAATACTTATATATAATATTTAGTTTTAGAAGTAGATTTTAGTATTTATATAAAGTCCTTATCTAGTAGATATTAGTATATAGATACTTATATCTCTCTCTCTATATATAATACTATAGAGGTAGATACTAAATATTAAATTTCTAGAAATTATAAGATCTATAATTTTTGTTCTCTAAAATTTGAAAAAGATTATAGTCTTAAGAAATCCCTAAGAAATTTTAATCATAATTACTATAACCTTTTTTCCTCTCTTATATATTTTTATATAAAAGAACTACTTATTAATTACTTTATTATTATATATAATAAAATATTAGTAAGTATATATTATATTTTTACTATATAAAAGTCTTATACTATAATAAGTATATATCTCTTCTAGGCTTAATTTTTAATAAATGTATTATATTCTTCTAGTCTATCTCTTATAAACTAGTTCTTATTTATATTAATATTTATATATTATAGTACTCCTAATTAATTATATAACTAGAATCTATAAATCTCAACTTTTAAACTATATAGATATAGCTTCTGTACTATAAGAGTGTCTATTAATATTAATTTAAAATAATAAAAAAGGATTTAGATTTATAAAGTAAAATATAAGAATTAAATTAAATTAGAAGATATATAATAATGATAGCTTTTAATATTTACTTTGAGTCTAGTTTTAGCTTATTTAGTATCTTAAATAATTTTAGACCTATATAAAGTTTATTAATAGTACTTAGTAATAAATAAATAGAAATATACTTAGTATACTAGAAGCTTAATATAATATAATTAGGGAGTACTCTTTTATTAAAAGCCTTTATTTAATATATAATTTAACTACATAAACTAGTAATATAACTTCTATTAATAATTATATTTCTCTAAATATTCGAGGGATAGAAAAAAACCTACACTAAAATTACTAGACTTATAATAGAGAAGAAGATGTTTAATATTATAGGTATAGTACTAAGCTCTAGGTATATAGCTAGCTAAGTAAAGTAGAGAGAGATATAGTTAAAAAAAAGTAGAAATAGAAAGCTCCTAAAGTATATATTAATTTAATTTAAAATCTAGCCCTAAAGAGCTAGACGTCTTTTATAGTCTTAAACTCTAATATACGACGTAAATAATCTAAACAAATAAATAAGCTCTATATAATATAAGCGCTAAGTATATAGTAGAGTGAGTAGGGTTCTTATTTCTTATAAATTTCGGAAAACGCTTTAAAAAGCCTAATAATATTAAATTAGTAAATAAATCTTCTCTACCCTTAAAGAATATTTATTTTACTTTAGAAAGGTATTAATAATTTAGTAGTCTCTAGGAGTATAAATAGGTATTAAGAAATTACTTACTAAGTAAAATAACAAAATAAAGTATTGAATAAGTATTTACTATTAGTATATATTTATTCGAGCTTTAGGCCCTAGTATGCCCTAGTAGGGTAGAAGTCCTATATATTCTTAAACTTCTATATAGGACGAAAAGAAATATAGATATATTATGGTAACTAATTTTCTTAATAGTATATATTTTAATCTTTAAAAAGTACTTTTCTAGTAAAGCGCTATTAGGACCGTTAGACTTTAAGTTCTCCTACCCTTCGCTAGGAACTACTATAGAATAGAATTAGACTCAAGAAAATTGGCCCTTACACATGTCATAATTCTCTTTATAAAAGTTCGACTAAGAAGCCCCGAAGTATCTATTAAGACGACGCGGTACACAGTACAAGCCAAGAGCACGGCCGCCAGATTACACCGAACCTTGGTTTAACAGTTGTTCGCGTCGCACTGCGCACCACCAACGAATCGGAATGACTGAGACTCCTTGTAGCCGTCGAGAGACATGCAGGCAGGGCCGCCAGCTTGGCCCTCGCCGGCATACACCACTTGGACACAGTTCTGCTGGCAGTTGCAGTTTTGCTCTGGGGAGAAGACAAGGCGAGCTTCCTGAATGTTGCTGCCGTGGAACGAGACTGACTTGCGACCGCTTTCGTTGAGGCAACCGGGGTTGTCAACCTATTTTGTCAGAATCATCCAGAGCATGAAATGCCGAAATGAACTTACAGAGACTGAAATGCCACAGCCGTCTGAGCAGTTCTCGTCGTTGCAGAAATTAGCGTAGGTGGTGGCGCTAACGTAGCCGGCAAAGGCGGCAAGAGCGATGAATTGGAACTTCATGCTGCAGGGTGTGTCAGTCGATGAGTTCGGGGTCTAGAATATGTCATCAATACATACATGTCTGGAGATATGTCGGTGATGTTGGAGGGTTGCGGTATAGACAGGTGAAGACGAGTTGGTAAAAAAAGCCAAGTCGAGGAGGTCAATACTTCTTATATCTTACATTATATTGCAGTGCGATATCCTTTCTCATGTCTCCGTACACGATCGAGCATGGAAGACACTATGCCACTCAATTGAGTCGTTCAGCCAAGCTTTCTCATCTCGATGCTTGCCGTCATCCTTTCGCATTGGCAAAGCTTGTCTGATTGGGAAAGGCGCGACGTTCGATGATGCCGAACCGAATACAGATCTGCACGCCAAAAAGGACAATGATGTCGAAGGCTGGAGCTAATTCTGCATTTCTTCTTCCTTTACGGGGAGCAGGAAATTTTTGAGATTCCCTGATTGGACGGCCTGCCTTCCCCACAGCCGTCGGCCCACGTGCGCCGCGTCTGTCCTTCGCCCGCCTGCATGCCGAGCTGTCCTTCAAAAGCTTGTCCTTCAACCTTCTTCTGTCCTTCAATCTTCTTCTGTCCTTCAAAGGTCTTGAATTTGAACGCCACTCGGCAACTACGGCACTCGCGATGATTCAAATTGCTGCCTTGCGCCTGCATAGCCCTCGCATTCAACCTGTCACCGACGCACATTGCAGATCTTACACAACAATGGTGTCGAACATTGCATCCTCGGCTTGACCGTAGCTCTCTAGTCCGACATGATTCGCTAAGCGACACTGATCTCGCATTGCCTATCGCGTAGATTAGGCTTGAAGCCTTGCAATGTCGCATAATCCTGTGCACGATACCTCACAACGACCGGAGGTTCGCCTCCCGATTCGACGGGCTTCCCTCAGATCTAGGGCGTGCTTGGTATGGTCCCGGTTCTGCTGTGATAAGCGAGTCCTATCGGGAAATGGACCTTGATTGTGCACTAGCACTAGGCTTCCCTCCACGTGCAATGCACACGACGCGGATGCGTTGAGTTCCATTGATCCTTATCCACTGTCCTTCAGCGACAACGGACGAGGTTCATGAATACTTGCGCCAAAATTCCGCGACTCGTCACTGCTCGTTACCCACTGTCCTTCAGTCTATACCGAGTGACGATCAAAAGTTGATTTGCGCTTGCGACACAAACAGTGAAGGCCCCAACACGTGGGTGCCCATCAATCAGCTCAGCAAAGCAATATGCCTCGCTCTTAATCATACCTGTCTAGTGCTAGCTTGACGAGGACATTATATAGGTCTTTGAGATACCCACTTCTTAAGGAGCACTCTCTATCAACATCTATCGTCAACCCCCTACATCCCTCATTCATCTCAACAACGTGCCAGCCGCAATCATGGTCAAAATCATCATCTCCTCCGTCCTGGCCGTTCTGAGCCTTGCCAGCACCGTTACCGCCACCACCTACGCGCAATTCTGTAACGACCAGCACTGCACCGACAGCTGCGGCATTTCAGTTTCGGTAAGTTCAATGTCACTATATCATGCTCTAGACATGACTCAATCATTGACTCGATTTAAGGTCGACAACCCCGGATGCTTGCAGGAGTATGGCCGCGGCAGCATCAAGTTTCACGGCACCAACTTCGTTGACTCCAACCTTATCTACTCCCCCGATGACCACTGCAGCTGCCAGAGCCATTGCCAACGTGTCGTAAACGACCTGGACACCGCTATTGAGGCCTGTACACCGCTCACTGGCCCCTCCTCATCATCATTCCGCTTTGTTTCCGACCAAGCTTGCGACCCGGACAACTGCTAGACATTGCTTGTTCCCACAAGCAGGAATAATCTAGCAAGACCACGACGACTTTTCATCAGCGTGAATACAGCGATGGAGAGCAGCGCGACTGATGTATTGAGAGATTGAGAGAAGGGCAAGAATGCGATTTGCGTGTAGGAACGGACGGGTGTTACCCTACAATTAGTGTCATACTAGCCAATAACACAAATCCATATTGATGTGATTATTTTCAACTCATGGCGTAGTTTGCTTTTACTTGCAAGGGAACACCCACTACTGTGGTCTTGACTCCAGTTGGAAGACAGAACACATGGGATCATCGAGTCAATGGGTGAAGGCCAAGTGCGGAAAGTGATTGTGAGACTCAAAGTATAAAATGCTGTGTGTTAAGTGTGTACAGTGGTAAACTGTTGAGAGTTGAAACAGTACATGAAATTATTGCACGATGCCGGAGAATCCAGCCTTTCTTACTTCCTTGTGAGTAGAAAATCGGTACTCCACTCCGCAACCTACCCAGCTAGGCCCAAATCAACAATCGCGAAGGTGGATTCTCCTCCCAAAAGGGGATTATAACCAGACACGCCTACGCTATCGCCTCTTGCGAGTCTTATCACTAAAATGTGCTTGGACTTCTTTCGCAAGGCTCCTCGTTCGCGTCTGAGCTCTATCAAGCCGAAAAGATATCTTTGGCTTGGTGACAATTGATCTTCTCCAATAGACATGTAAGTCAAGCAAACTGCAGGTAGATTCCAATTCGACATTTTTTGCACAGAACATCCGGATTGCAGTTGAAATATGTTCTACAGACCTTGTTACACGACTCAAACCAGCCAAACAGAAGGACGTTGGATGCTATCTTCCCTTTGTAATGAGATATTTCTTGAGCAAACTGGGACATTTCGGTTCTATCACGCACGATGTAAATTTCTCCATTTTTCCTGCCAACGACGACGACAATAATCTATGTGGTCGCTAACGGACATTGAAATGCGCTATTCATTAGTGGAACGTGAGCTGACATCAACCAGGACGAGGAACTCGCTTGACCGCGATGTTGCTAGCCGCGTTAAGGCACTTGAAACTAAGATAGAAAAGATGCTGTTTATCATCGGAACGCCAGGATTGAGTTTTGCGGTCATCCATCAAGGATAGACCGAGTATGTAGCCTATAAAGGATTTCGAGATGTAGAATCCCGCATGGTCGCAGACGGTACAACCCGTTGCAGCATTAACTCGACATCCAAAATCACAATTGCGACTGTAGTAGGGACAGAGGTTAGTCGGGTGAGACTCCCACCTGTGAAACAAGATTCAAGGACATTCTACCCGACTTTCGATCGTCGAGGTGTCAATCGTGCAGTGAATAGGTGCCCTACTAAGCTTTGATTAACCCTCTCCTCTCGACTCAGCTACATACGATGCTGCACTTTTCCAGGGTTGTTTGCTCTTGATCAACGCGAATCAACGCCGAAATTTTGGCCGACTAGATCGGCTGCTTCGGTCTCCGGGTGGTCGGCTTCACATGTCGGTCGGTTTCAAATATCACCTGCCCGACACGACTTGCGGATCATACAGCCAAACATTCCGCGTATGCCGAACGCATGTTGTGTACGTATAGCTACGCGTGAAATCCATTGATACAGACTTGTTGACATTTCTATTCTTCTCTCAGGGCAACACTTGACCCACCCACGATACAACAATATGATCCACGACACTGTTTGGTTTCTGACAAGTGATCGGTCCTTGAATACTATTATCAACTATCTTTTTCTTATCCCTCAACAACCTTGAGATTCTATCACCAACCGATTTGTGACTTTCATAATCCAACAATTTGTGATTGTCAGGAATTTCCGGGGGGATACACCCAGCAGCGCTCGATGTATCTATCGCGTGCCACAGCACAATCGTCACAGAGGTACGAACATACTAACCTAGGTGGGTACCTAGTACCCTCGCAGAAGAGCTTATCGAACACTGGCTGGTGTGCAATGATCTCCAGGCGCAACGACATACAACCGTCAATCAAATTCCACATCGTCTGATACTCTCATATACCAGATCCTCTTACAATAGATCGATCGTACAATCTTCATACACGACATCGGCTTCTTCGCGATTTGCTGAAGCCCGCCCGAGCGATGGATGTGCTGGAGGTCTTTGAGATTCCCCAAAAGGCAAAGCCTAGATTCCTATGCCTGCCTGTTCTGTCTCAACACACCAACTTCCAGCTGTGTAGAGGAGAAAAAAAAGCTTGGCAATTAGATCACAATCTCTTTTGCTTCATCCGGTCATGGTCATGACCGTGGAAATCATTTCCCGGGTAACAAGTTCCAAAAAAGAACACAAGCAAACAGGCTGAAACGTCAAATTATGGATTAGACGGATGAAGTCCTGAACTCCGAGAGCAACTTGGAGAGCCTTTGCCCCGGCCAACCTACGGGCCGGATGTGTGACAAAGTTGCAGGAAATCAACGACCCACCACTACCAATTGGGACTATTCTTAAAGATCATAATGCATTGAATCGTACCCTTTAGACACAACATTTGAACCTTTGCGATGGCAAGATATGCGTTTTTATTTTGCATGACACGCAGACACAAGTTATCGTCGATTTGTTCAACCTGTGAGTAAGATGTATGATCGATACCAAGCAAACGATGATTTCTGTAAAGGTTCTAGTGCTGCGGCGCTCGTTCGTTATTACATATATTGCGGTCAGCTTCCCACCATGATATCGCCTATATGACTTTGGAGTGTCAGATTGGATCGCGTTTCTGCTACAAGCTCTTGGGAGAACAGGAGAAGACTCTTGCTAGTAGAGCGCGATGATTCCTGGTACCTCGATAACACTTCGAGCAAAAGGTTCTGCTTACGTCGTCCCGGTCACCAGACCAACCTTTTATTCGAAAGCGATGGACCTGTAAAAGGAATTCCCACCTAAATCAACTTCGGCGAGGACTTCAAGAAACGTAAAAATTCCTCGGCGGATGAATAGCCGATTCGACATATGCCGAATGATGCCTGTAAAGTTTTATCACTGCAGGTGGACTGTACTATAGTCCTTCGCACGCTGTGAGCTAAAGTGACGCCCGTTCTACAGGTGGTTTTACTCTGCATCTCGTATTACACTGGAACATAATAAAACATCCCACAACAGGGACTTTGCCTACTTCACCTCATCCGGAGGAATGTCCACCCGTGAAAGCGAAGGTCGCCCGTGAGAGGGAAAGAGTTCGCCCGTAAAATCAAGAAGCTCACCCGTGAGATTGAAAAGTTTACAATGAGAGAAGTAAATGGACCTCACATCTGAAAGGTTAAGCAAGACATCGTGACCATACTCCCAGACCGAGAGCGCAATATGTATAGCCGTCTCGATTCAAGATCTCTATAGGCTGCATCAAAAGCTAGAAGGTTCTCTAACCCTCGAGGTCACAGTGAACATCAAGATGCCACACTGGTTTCATGCGCAGAACAAACGATCACTTTACATTACTGCCGCAGGACAGTCGGGTCAGAAAGGCGCGAATTCATTTAGTCGTCTATGCTTCCGAAAACACATCGACAAATTGCCGACTCTCCGTTCAAATGAGATCGGAATACCGGCGGGTGAACTTCCTTTGAACAATGACGATCGCAAACGGCATCATTCCCGGCCTATACTTGGTGCACGCTACAAGAAATCCGAGCAAATCCCATAACCCTTTTACATCGTCAATAAATTGTACGGGAAGGGTAAGCAACAAGTTCCAAATCATGGCCCAATACTTGATTAATAGCTCGGCGTCGTCGACACTCGTCATTCCTCTGCAACCCTATCAAGTGCTTAAAGGTTGAAAAATTGGGATCGTTGAGGTACAGAGGTGAGGCTCCTACTTAGTAAGCGAGTACGCCTTCGGAAGTGATAATAATACAGAGAACTATAAAAATGAACTAGACCAAAGAGATGGAATTTTTCTAGAGAAAGTCAAAGGAGCTTCAGAAGCAAAACAGCCCTCAAACACCGTGGTAGAGAGAGTACAAGACGGAAAGAGCAACGGAAAGTTTGTAGTGTCCAGGCGAGGACGGAGGTGCGTCCGAAGGGACTCTCGAGGTCGAGCTCCTCGAACACTCGTCTCCGCGCCAGGTCGGCTGAAAGTCGCCGGAGGTCGGCGTGTTGGAGGTAGTGTTGTAGGTGGATTTCTCCGACCACTTGACGTACTGCACGGTGCCGTTACCCTCACGGTAGGTGCTGTGTGGCTGGCTGGGCAAGTTTTCGTTGGTTCCGGATGCGATGTTCACGCCGGCGATTGTTCTGGCGAACATCGTCTGGAGGAGGAGAGGTTGGAATGCACCGGCAGCATGACCCGCTTCGTACACGCGGACGAAACTGAGACCGCCGGCTTGCCTCACTTGACCATGGGTGACACAGTCGGGCGTGCGGATGTCCGTGTACCCAGCCTTGTCAAAGCCTGGGACGCCGACTGCTTCGGCGGAGGCTTCGACTCCCATATAGTTGCACTCGTAGTCGGCATCGCCAGCGTAGAGAACAACCTTGACGCCGTCCTTGACTAGTCCGCCCAGGATGTCGATGATGCCCAACTCGCGAGCATCATCTCCGGTCAAGTCGAAGGCGATGCCGACGACAGGGTTGAGCTCGATGTAGGTCTGGAGTGCACCGATAGCTTCACGGACGGTCGAGTTCTGTAGGTAGTCGGCATAGAACGAATTGGGAAAGGGCGAAGGGTCAATCTCGCGAACATCGTTGGTGTTTCGCTTGGAAGCCGTGATCCACGGGGTTTGAACATTCTTGCCACAGTATGCGTCTGCTTTCCGGCAGTCTTCGTTCGTACCGGTTGCCTCACATTTCTTCAGCAGGTCCAAACAGTTTCCCTTTCCATAATAACTGTCATGCACCCCCTTTTTGACCTCATCGTCGAGTGGTGCCAAGTCGTACGGGCTACCAGGCTCGAACCCATAATCGTAGAAAGACTTGTGCTGTCGTTGCGGAGAGAACCATCCATTCCCGATCAGGATCGATTTCAGATCGATATGGCGCGCACTAGGCTGGGCCTTGTTCTGGTCTTGAATGTACTTGCTGATGACCGGAACATAGTGACCTCCGTAGCTTTCGCTGCCGAAGTGGAAGCCATTGTTCGAGTACTGCGGAAATGTTCCCATGAATGCTTGCAGGGTTAACCAGAAATCCGGTGCGGCATTGATCGTGCTATTGGCGGTGGTATCAGGATCAGGTTTGGAGAAGCAGCCGCACTGCTCTGCATCCTTCGGGCATGATTCGTTCGGGCCCAGCTCGATAATGTTGTCATCTTCGTTCTCCTCATCGTAGCCGAGGTACCCTGGGACGAGATTGGTGTATGAAAATCCCACGTGGAGTGGTTGATCAATGTATATCACATTGCTGTAGTTGTTCCAAGAGAAAGGATTGTAATGGAGCTCTTCATCCGGTCGCACACGGCAGGGGCCATGTTCGGTGAAAAGCTCTGCCATTGACGAATCTCCGGGCCCGCCGGAGATCCAAGCCGTCAACGGTGCATTTTTGGGATCGACGTTCCTGGCCTCGAAGAACCAGAAGAAGATGTGTTTGTTCTCCGCGATGTCGGCATAACCGGAGTAGCTCTTCACGCCAGGCTGAAGCTCGCAAATTCCGGCAGGTACCTCACGGTACCGGAGTTTCACGTCGCCATAACCTGCACCTGTCTTGAAACTGTTGAGGTATTCCGCGCTTGGGGTACAATTAGGTCGGGTTGCGATGGAAGTTGCAAAGAAACATGCGAAGGAAAGTAAAGACCACTGCATCTTGGGCAGAGTAGGTCGGTCGTGGTCGAGTTCTCAGTGCAACATGGAAAAGAGGAGTTCATGACGGTGCCTCTTGTAGCCATTGCAATCCGAGACACACTGCCTGTGAGCCCAAACAGGTGAACCATCATGATAGAACCGTGATCCATCATGACTCATCGCTTCTGGCATATAGGAGGATCCATGTCACGATCGCTGCGCATAAACAAACAGCTTAGTGCGCCTGATCCTGAATTTTGCAGAGGCTGTGGCATCGCTAGCCGAACGGTTCTATCAGGGCAGGGTTTGGCGTTGAACATAGTAAATTACAGTACCAACTGCGGCCCGGACGTCAGAAAATGACGCCGGTCGTCGGACGTTTGATGGAACGTCTTCAGCGACTGTTTTTCTCGCTCCATCCGTTGACCGACACTAGGATTGTCGGACCAAAGTCTTGCTGTGTGTTCAAATCTTGGTTGAAAGCCCATCTCGAAGCCGCAGCCTCCTTTTCTGACGTCGCAAAGCGGTAAGAACGCATCTCACTCACACACATCGAATTGACTTCCGTGTACAAGGAACGCGATAAAACCACGATGTGAAATCACGACGATATTTCTGTGGGTGCTCGATAGCTTTTCCAGTCGTGCGCGAACTCTTTCCGCGCGTGATGTAGCAGCCTCCACCGCGTGCGCGGGATAATCCCAATGTTCAGAACACTCGGTGAAGTCGAATTGAGGAAATCGTTCTGCCAATCCAGCTCGAGAGATGCCTTTGTTACAGATTGCATCATGCGCCTCGCGGAGGTCAGGCCAAACCTGGACCGGCACCTTCCGCGGCAATTCGAGGATTGACGGAAAGGCGTTTAGAGCGGTCTGGATCGTGCGAGTCATGGGCGAAATGACGATGAGGTCGGGCGCAGCATCGAGGCGGATTTACCTTGTGGCCTCTTGGCCGGCATCTGTCAGAGGTGGGTCGCGATAAGGATAGCCACGCTGTACATTGTGCAGTGACTGGCCGTGGTGGATGATGTGGACGCGCGGCGGAGGTTCTGCAAGGTACGTCAGCCGCCTTCTGTTGGTGTATTCAAGCCCCCGCTGGCAAAGTCGGCACTGTACCCATTGCGTGGGTCCCGGCTGTAGATCCCGTCAGTTCCCGGGTGGAGCGACGAGCCTCTTCCGACTTGCGGTCCGAACGACGGGTTTTGGAGAGGTACTTGCCGCGTGTAAGAAGATGAAGAAGATGAATGAGATGAGCTGGGATGATACGAACAAGATGATGAGCTCGTTGTCAATTTGGTCTTGCAATGATCCAGCAAATTCTCACTTCACACAATTTTCGAGGGAGGGATCGTGGCGCATGCATGGCACCAGGCACCAGGCACGACAATACACACATCACAGTACCATCTCCAATGTTTATGTCGCATTGGGAAGACAAATCAAGGATCAAGTTCTAGTGATCTAGTGAATATACGGGCGGTAATGCTTAAGGCTGGGACAAGATGGATCATGGTGTGTCGGTGTCCGTTTTGCCTCGTGTGCTCGCTTACTACGGTACGATAGTAGAATAGCAGAATGGGAGGATCGTAATAACAACCGTCGGATTGTATGGGCACAAGTACATGCAGCAAGATGTATGCGCCGTGTTGGTATCCTGGGATGCTATCCCGAAGCAATAAGCAGTAGCCGAAGATGGGAGATGGAAGGTATAGAGCCCTGTAGTTATTATCATAATGCACCAGAGCATGTGCCGAACAGAACAGGCAAGCGACAGGATCCATGGATGCACCTCAATTGCGCCTCTGCTGTCTGTCCCTATACGGCAAATACACTCACTCCAGGGCTCTCTTCACTGCCGGTCGAGGGCTGCAGCTGCTTCGACTGGAGACGGGACAATCCCGGAGACGGTACATCGAGTACATCTTCTGCACGACATGCCCATCTATACCTGGATGGGAACCACCTGAAAGTATGTATCATCAAGTGTATACATACACAGCATGCATCCATATGACAATATTGGATGCTGCAATGCAAACTCCACCGCGGCTGCGTCCCTCGCCTGGTGCTTCGGCCGAGAAGCTTCGTCGTCATGATTGCTCATGTGTACGCCCGACCTGTTGTTCTCCATTGGGGGCTGCCACAGATTGGCTGCTTAAGAGGCTTTCACGCTGACCCACCTGATGATGATGATGCTGATGATGATGCTGCTGCTACATCCATCCGCACTCGGCTCGGAGGATCAAAGGACACAACTCGAATATCGCAGCCCCCCAAGGACTCTGACAGTATCTAGGTACTAGGTAGGTATGCATCTCCAGGGCAGAAGGGAGCAGACCAGTCCCAGCAGGGGACGAACGGGTGAGGTGATGCATGGCTATACCGTAATAACCTTGGGAACGAGGCGTAAGTGAAGATGGTTCCTTCCGGGGCAGCTGCATCCATCCATCCCTCCATCCCTAGGCAGGTAGGTATGCATCCATACACCGGTCCCGAGTCCCTATGCCCACATACAGCCCACATACATCTACAGTCAAATATTTATCATTGGGAAGCCACGTCCGCCATCCAATGCCTCCTATACTTTCCAAGGTTCGCCTTCCAGGCTTCTCGCCGTTCGTCGTCACTACTGTTCCTATCATTATATTCTTCTTGTTCTATACAGTTCCATCTTCCGCCTTCACGATCTTTACAGAAAACGTTGAGGAGCAGCAGCATTATTAGCAACAACGGTCCGGCGGAAAGAACATTCCGCTCCCCTACGCTTTTTCCCCACACGCTGTACGAAAAGACCGGCTGCTCGTGCTGCGGCGGCGGCGGCGGTCCACGTCGGAGGAAAAGTATCGATGACGCCAGCCATGGCCCAACCCGAAACAGGTAATTCACAGGTCGCTGCTGCTGTTAATTCCGTCACTACTGCTGCGAACGCCAATTCCTCCACCAACGATGCCAGCAGCAGCAACCACGGCAATCCTCCTCCTCCTCCTCCCACTACCACCACCAACAACAATCCCGTAGCCACCAGTTATCCCAGTGTGACGATCGCAACACCTCCCACTCCACCCATCTCCGACGCTGCGAGGCTGCGCAGGTCGAATCTCCAGGCCGAGATGGACGCCTCCAGATCGTCACATTCGCGTCCGCGTCGCCGTTCGTCCGCCTTCTCATATTCCAGCCTAGAAGATGCAACGACGTCATTCGCCGACGACTTCATCAGCCCGCGCACCAACAACATCAGAAGACACAAAGACGACGAGGATGTCACACATTGGCACTCGACTCCACTTGCCTTTGCCATCTTGCCAGCAGTGGGTGGCCTACTGTTCCAAAATGGATCGCTGTTCGTGACCGATATCCTTTTGCTCGGCTTGGCCGCCATTTTCCTCAACTGGAGCATCCGTCTGCCGTGGGATTGGTACTATTCAGCCCAGGCCCTTCGTCGCGAATACCCCGATGTTGAGGAAGAGGATGTTGCCGTTCAAGATGCGATTCCCGAGGAAGACGAGGATGACATTGCTGTCGAGACGGCATCGTCGGTAGGCGGATCGCCTCGGCCACACTCGCGTCGCGTTCGCAGTGACGACAACGGAAACGCGGATGAGGCTACCCGGGCCCGACGCGCAAAAGCTGCCGAAAGTCTGCGTCAACAAGAGCTATTAGCCCTCGTCGCGACATTCGTCTTCCCGATGTTGGCAGCGTACCTGCTACACGTCATCCGCGCTCAACTCTCGCGTCCTTCGACCAACCTGGTCTCCGATTACAACCTGAGCATTTTCCTGTTGGCCGCAGAGATCCGCCCATGTCGACAGGTCATCAGGTTGATGTCATCCCGTACGCTGCATCTTCAGAAAATTGTGGCGGGTGGTCCGCCATCGGCTGGATCATCCAAAGAGAGTCAGGAGCTACAAGCGGACATCATCGCACGTCTTGCAGAGCTCGAAGATCGCTTGGAAGCCAACACCCTGGTCCCATCCACTGTGTCCATCGCGCAGAAGGCGGATGTATCCGACCTGTCGTCAGATCTACGCAAGCGCTACGAACCGCGCCTAGAAGGGCTCGAGCGTGCCGTGCGCCGTTATGAGAAACGAAGCATGACATTAGCTATGGCCGTGGATAATCGTCTTCAGCTGTTGGAAACTCGATTGCAGGAAGCTCTGAGCCTCACAGCGGCGGTAGCAGCCCAAACCTCCCAACAAAATGGTGGGGTCCTCGGACGCGTTGGAACCTCGTTGAGCCAAGTCGCCCTTGCTCCAGTCAAGATCATGATCTGGTCAGCCGCGCTACCATTTCAATTGATTGACGACATCTACGTGCGCTTCAAGAACGTCATGCTGGGACCAATGCCCGCAAAGGCTGCTGCCAATGGCTTCTCCAAGAAGCGAGGAGGTGTTGCATCTGACAAAGAAAAGTCGGCCAACACATCGAGCACCAACGGTGGCAGTCTGCGGGAGAAGGTGCTCACGAGGAAGATGGTGCGCTGATCGTGGGCGGTCTTTGAAGCAGATATGAGAATTACGATTAATGATATGAACGCTGACGGCGATTTGAAGGAATTTTCGGCTTTGCTTTCAGAGTTTGTTAAATATTGTAGGTTTGATGGAAGGAGGACCGGCGTCCGGGCGAGTCGAAAGGAGAATGTAATATCGAGATGAATAATTCAACTCAACTCTAACATAGTTACACAAAAGTGTCTTTTTCGTGTATTTTTGAGCAAACCCATGAACCTGTATTCTGTGGCTATCTGTAATCTCAACGATTCGATATGCCAAAGCGGAAGATACTATCCCTCAACTCCCTCTTCGTCATCATGACCAGGTCCACCATAAAGAATCTCACACACGCCACCGATCGGAATATCCATAACCGCATCAGTTCCCTCCTTCCACAGCGATCTCCACTCCAAATCCTCCCTCGCAGGCCCCCTATGCAAACTCGAAGTTCGACTCTGGCCCCCATTGACACCCCTCTGACCCTCTCTCAACGGGATCCGACTCGAGCTCGTACCCCTCGCCCCACGAGCACCCCTCTCCGGACTCCCCGTCCTCCAACTCGGGCGATCATTCCGAACAATCTGTCCTCTGTCATCCACAACCGCAATCTGCGCCGCTTCGTCGACCAGACATTCAATGCTCTGCAGCGGCAGCGTGAGGTGGCCGAGATTATACGCCGCGAGCGCCACGTAGATGTACAGGACTAGCATCACCGTCCAAGCGGGAATCGCGAGCGCCCACCAGCGGTTCGGGTAGTAGTAGATGCCGAGCTGATGTAGAAGCGGTGAGGGGAGAAACGCCCATAGCACGTAGACGATGAAGGCGAGACTGCTGGTCAGATACAGCGTGAAGCCGTAGTATTCGTACGTCGGCACTTTCGGACTGGCGCGTGGGATGGTCTCCGCGTTGCGGTATGTGCTGTTCAAGGCGGATGCTGCGGCGGAGTTGGGGGTCTGGATGCCTGTTGCATCGCGCATGTGCGGGGTGGCTTCATCGCTGGAGAGATCCGGCGTGCTAGGTCGACTGTTCTGGGTGCTGAAATTGGGTCGCAGGAGAGATGTTAGAGAGGGTGAGGGTGGTAGAGGTGTAGGTGGACGATTGTAGAATGGAGGCGCAAAGGCTGAAGGGCCGAGGTAGGTATGGCTACGGGAATGCTGCATGGCCCCGGGCCTCGCCAAGGGATTGTTGTTTGGATATCTTTGCTGGTCGTTGTCGTTATCTTCGCTGTCGCTGGAGTCGTCATCGTCGTCGGACGCGCCGCTCAATAACAGACTTGGCTCTCGCGATCCATTGTTTTGTGATGTCGCTCCAGTTTCTCTAGGAGTCAGATCGACATTTGTCCGAGCACCTTGCGCATTCTCAGCGGCTTCATAGCTTGGCTGGCTGGGAAGGTCAGATCGAGCGGTCCCGCCGACTTTTAGTGGTCGCCAGGTTGACAAATTCGGGGTCGATCGAGACGGACTTCCAGAGAGATTTGCTTGCTCAGGCTTATTGCCTGTTGGCCGGTTCCTCGATGGCATTTTATCCCCACTCAATAGCTGTGTCTGTGGGTTTCATGGTACACATATGTGGTCAGCGTTGAGTTTGACTCGAAGTCGCCATGCCCAGATATCTCAGATCATCGAGTGTTCGTTGGTCTGTTTGTCATAATAAAAGGCAGGAACTGAGTGGCGGACGTTGGTGATGATCTTGTGCCGACCGACGCATACCTAGGTATCTGCGGATGCGCAGCGTCGAAGGTCGCGGTCATGTTAAGAACATGGTGTTAACACAGCACTGGGCAAACGAAGAATTCCAGGGTTTGTGCACATGAACCCTCGCCGCCACTACTACCACATCATCACGAATGCAAAATTTCTTCAGACAGCTATGCCTCACCATTTGCTTTCATGGTTATGATTAGTTTGAGACCGTTTAAGTACATTCGGTCGGAGATATTTCAGAGACAGATATGATATTCGAGTGTGCTGATACTATCGACAGCGGCTCGACATGAGGAAAGACAATTGTGCATCCCATAGCAACCCAAAAGAACGCCATACTTCGCCATCAAACATGATTCGCTCCTGCCAGCCGAGTGCCGGTGTGGGCGGTACTGTACACACGAGCACAAACAAGCAATTAGACGCTGCAGAGATCGACACTTCCGAACATGTTCGTCCATCAGCCCTCGGATCATCTCATTCCCAATCCGATCGACTCAAAGGACGAGCAGTCGCGGCCAAGGCTCTTCAGTCGCTGTCATCACTGTCGGCAGCAGTCACAGCAGACTCTCTCGCCTTCTTCTTCTCCTTCTTTTCCTTCTTCTTCTTCTTTCGCTCGGCACGCTCCTCGGCGGTTTCACCTTCATGCTTCCGCTTCTTTTTCTTGTCGGCATCCTCAACCCCGTTAGGCTCTTCGGCTTCCACCTTGCTAGGGGCAGCCTCGATAGCATGCTGCTCAACGGCGGGTCTCGACTCGGAAACAGCGCCATTGGCTCCCTCCGGATCGTTGAAGTCCTTGTACTCCTGCTTCCACTGAGCAGGCGTTGCTTCGTTCGTGCGACCATACTTGTCCAGCTTACCGCTCTCCTTGAGCTTCTTCTTCTCGGTCGCGATGGGTCCCATACCCCATCTACGCGGGTACAGATCACGCTCCATGATACATCGCTTGACTTTGGCGACAACTCCGTGATCGCATGACGAGAGCTCCACGGTGCTCATCTGGGCAATGGCGAGGGCGATGGCCTCGCCCTTGGTGGTGATGAGAACAACCTCTTCGTGAACTTCAATACCAGCTTCGTATCGGAGTAGACCGGGAATCATGAGCTTCGCACCATAGCACACGGCGTTAACAGCACTGTCCTTTACGACGATGCGCTTGTATGAGACCAACAATGTCTCGAGCGGCTTGATGACCGTACGGAGGTACGACTCATCGCGCTGGTTGTCGTGCAGCCATTGAGCATCCAAAACGTCGTGAAGCGTGACCATGCCTTCCTTCTCGTCCATTGCTCCAGATCGCACACGGCGCAGCTCCTGCATGTGTCCTCCCACACCGAGCAAAAGACCGAGATGGACACAAAGCGTTCGGATGTAAGTACCAGCTTCGCAAGATACCCAAAACACCGCGAGCTGACGATCGTTGTCAAATTCGATGAGTTTGCTTTCGTAGATCGTGCGTACTCGCAATTGTCGCTTCACGGCGGAGATGAGCGGTGGTCGTTGGAAAAGCGCGCCAGTCAATGTTTCGAGTGCGCGAGCCAATTGGGCCTCGCCGCCGGGCAGCTTCTGGTGCATTCGCAATACGCAGACATATTCCTTTCCTGCTCCTTGCTGGCTCTTCACAAGTCTGGTGGCGCGATCGATACAGACGATCAAACACCCAGTGACCTTGGGATCAAGGGTACCAGAGTGACCAGTACGGTCGACGCGAAGGATTCGTTTCATCCATGCCACAACTTCGTGCGAGGAGGGATTTGAGGGTTTATCGAGGTTAATGACTCCAGAGGAGATGTATGATTTGATGTCGCGGCGTAGGGGCGCGCAACCCGCCGGAATTGGTGTGAAGTGACCCGTTCGCACGAGGACTGAATCGCGATTAGTTAAGGGCAATTCGCAACAAAACAATGGCAGGATCACTTACGTTGATCCCAGTTCTTCAGAAGAAGAGGCCATTCGCTGGTGTCCACCTTGTGCTCAGTGGCATCTGGCTTGATGATCATGTCGCTGTCGCCATCGGCGTCAACGTTCTTCTTGACCGCCGCCATTGCTCCTCCGCTGTCGCTAAAACTGCCAATTAAAGCAATGCTTTATGCGCAGTGCATGAATATGCAGTCGTTGTAAGTTTTGGAAAATGTCGGACGAGCAATGCTGCGAAAACGTAGGATTGGTGCTCTATGCGAGCTGTTCGGCTTGAAGCTTAAAGAAAATGATCCTGAACTTTTTCCCGACCAAACGTAAATCTTGGCAAGCCTCGGTGCCTGAGGTTCAAATTATCGCGCGCGGCGTCATATTGGGGACCATTAAACTAATCATAACGCTGCCCATTTTCACAGCGATGTGTGTAGCACTGCCATGTAAACAGTACTGCCCAGAGAGCGGCAGACGCACATGGAGTCATCAAAGTGTGCAGATAGCGAGACTGTACAGCTTTGACTTGGACTTCGATTGAGTCTCACGTCATATGTTTGAAGTATCTATGTGCGGAATTGTGCGCCCCAGCATCGCCCAAATCCACATTTGCTGCAGGTCACGGCGCATTTCGAAGCCCATCGCCTCTCTCAGATTGACCATGGGCGCGCATACGAAGGCCGCTCTCATCACGGCTACGGTCTACCTGCCGTTGCTCCTTCTTTCGAGCCTTCTCCTCGAATTCGCGCATTGCATCGCCGGCCAACTCCAGTTCGCTCTTTTCCTCCCTCCGTTTGCTCGTGGAGCCGGAATGCTGTGCCGCCCAAGCACGGGTCCTTTGCTCTGCTGTACTTCCAGCTATGGAAGCTTTAGTTGGAGTCTGTGTCTCCATGGGTAAAGGGCCCTTGTTTGAAATATGAGCAGGCTCTTTGGTGCTGCCATCAACCTGGGAGCCTGCCACTGTCTCGTCAATGATAGCCTCCTCATCGCCACCACGAGTATTCTTCTTTCGCGGCCATAAAGAAGGAAGGACAATCTGCTGAAATCTTGGCTCGACACAGCGGTCGTCCAGAAATTGATGCATTTTGGCCTCCACCAACTGCGCTATCTTGGGCACGTCCTGTAGTCGCGCCCGCGAACCAATAAGTGATCGTACGCTCAGGTCCAGCCGATAATCGTCAAGAAATGTGAATGTCAATGTAGTTGGCGATTGTCCTGTGGCGCTCGTAGGGTTTTCGTCATTTGTGCTGGCTTGGCCAGGAGAGACCGCTCCAGATGAAGAGGAAACAGGTGCAGCCTGTGAAGACGGCGAGAAAGAAAGACTCAGCGTGCCTGAAAACCGGACCACAGACACGGCGAGTGCGACCGGGAGGACCGCAACAGATGGTTTTGGATAGTTCAATACGAGCTTAGTCTCGATTCCCAGCGTCAGCACATCTGATAGATCCACGTCGATTCTTGCTTGTAACCTCTCTCCTCTTGCCCCAGTAAGTTCTCTGATTGTATTGCCGCTCTCATCCACAGGCATCACTCGGCAATTGCTAAAGATCGGAAATTCATCTCCCAAACTGATTTCGGTGACGCGGATCTCGTCTAGAAAGTCGGGTCTTGACGAGCCATTGAGAAGAGTCGTCAGGCTGGTCAACACAGCTTCATCCTCCAGAGCATCAGCCCGCAGCTGCGCAATAGTCTGCGCGATGAGGACGTTGAACCAGTCCAAGCTCTCTGGTTGGTGTCCCCGCACGTTGTAGTATGTCTTTTCGAGAATCTTTTGGACGGTCAATCCGCCATCATTGCGCGTCCTGAGAACCGGTACACTGGGCTGCGGTCGCAATGCGACCGACAGTGTGCGTTGGCGAGAATGCGAAAGCGTTCGTTGTTTGCGAGCTGCAGCGCGCGTTGAGGCTCGTTCGTCTGCAGATGGCGCTTCTCCAAATATGAAGAATTTGATGAAGACGAACAGGATCGCCGCGAGGGTCAATTGACCGAGTAGGAAACCCCAGAAGAATGACAGGGAGGAGATCGAAGAGGAGGTGGATGTGGTCGATAAGAGTTGCTGGCCACCTACGCCGATATCAGAGATCGTTCGGTTCTAGCATTGCATGCATTGTGAGCTCAGCCGCTCTGGAAGCTCACTCTGATATGACTGCGCCTTCGCTTTAGACATGGTTGCTGCGTCGACTTCGCGTCGGGCTGCGTTCAGTTGCCTCGGGCTTCTCAGGATTTGAGCATCGTGGAAATCATGTCTAAGTCCTAGTCGATCTTGTGGGAGACTGCGAAAGCGCGAGAGTATAAAATCAATGCATTGGGTGCATGTCACCGGAATGCCTCATCATCCGCATTGACAATTTTTCGGCCTGTTGGATGACGTTGTCTGGCTGCCCGCCAAACGCGCGTTTTGGGTGAGGTCTACCAGCAACCATTCCATGACTACTCACGTGAGTCGAGGACGAGAGAAAATGAGAATTGTAATAATCGAATATTAACATTTTGATCATCACATCACCCAGTCCTCGCCCTGGAAATACCGTCTCCGCCTGTCTTTAGTAGATGCGCACCACAATTACCAGGAAAGCATCTCATAGTATTGAGCCTGAGCCGGTCTTCTTGAGAACGACATGTCGTGAACAAGAATGCCGTTGCGTCGGCCATCACATCAGTCGCCTGTTGTGTCCATCGATGACCCTCAGCTTCGTCTACCAGCATCCACAGGTCCTCCAGATGAGACCAAGCCAATCATTCCCAAGGTATGGCTGGTATTCGGCGCCACAGGCCATATTGGTCGATCATTGGTGAAGGCAGCATTGAACCACGGCGACAAAGTTACGGCAATCGGTCGCATTGCGGAGAATACTCGGCAACAGATGCAAGGCTGGCATGAAGACTGCATAGGCGATCTCTGCGATGTCAGAATCCGCGATTCGGTCGAGTCTGTCATCCGAGCGAGTGTGTTGCATTGGGGTAGAATTGATATCATCGTCAAGTAAGCTTAGCTGCTTCTATCAACAGCGGTAGATAGCGACGTCGGTCTGACATTTTCACTAAATAGCTGCACTGGTTATGGTGTCATTGGATCGTGTGAAGACCAAGATGACCACGACCTGCGTTCACAGTTCGAGACCAACTTCCTCGGCACACTCAACATCGTGCAGCTTTCACTTCCTTTGTTCCGCGAACAGTCATCTAAGCGGGACGATGTAGATGAGCCCGCTGGACGTTATATTATTTTCTCTTCAACATCGGGAGCTCTCGGCGTTCCAGGCCTCGGGCCATACTGCGCGACAAAGTACGCCACGGAAGGTCTCATCGAAAGCATGCTCTATGAGGTCGACACCTTTGGTATCAAAGCCACTTTAGTGGAGCCCGGTCACATGCGCACCAATGAAGCTAACGGGTTGGATGATGTTGGCATCGATCCCGAGGGTCCGGTTGAGTTGCGCAAATATGGTCATTTTCTCATCAAAGCTCCTTCCGCACCTTACGATTCGCCGACGGCCCCCGCTGGCCATGCACGTCGTCTGGTACAATGGCTGACTGACCGTCAACCGGTGAGCGCTATCAAGTCTGCAGAATTGACGTGGCAGCTTGGCCATTGCCGCTACCCTCCATTACGCTTGCTCCTCGGAACCGTTGCGGTTGAGAGTGTGCGCGATCGCTTGAGAAGTGTGATTGAAGAAATCGAAGACTGGAAGCATCTGCAATTTCCGGAACCCAATGACGTTGGACAGCGTGATGAGGATGACGATGATGTTGACGAAGCTCTTCGGGGCGAAGACGTTATTGGCGAAGACGAGGCTGCATACAAGGATGACAATGACGGCGGCGTTGAGCTCGATGCAGACGACACAATTATGAAGACCAATGAAGATCTCCTACCTATCGATGACACCTGTGATGGACGCTCCTCGTCCGTATTGGGATGATTGATGCTTCAATAGTAAATGGCTCATCCGGTAGTCCTCGTCATAATGGCTCGCAATGCAGACGAGGAAGCATTCGTCTGCGTACTGCAGCACAGAACACGAGCGAAATCAGCAGAAAATTGCTCTTCAGTCATGAAACCATACAAAAGGGAATGCAAGGGTCCCTAGCAGCGTTTCATTTTCGCCAGAACGACAACGCGCGCAAGTGAGCACTTGATCGCGCCAAATTGGTGACAAGGGACTTGATCAACGCAAAGCATGCAATGCGGCCATCGCGAAGTGGAGTCTACGTCACTCAGCTAAAGGTGCGATGTGGACATGAGATAGTCAGCCGAGTACCGACACATGTGCTTTGGAATTGCTTGCATATGATGCAGCTAAGAACTTCGAAGATGCACTCAAGCGAAGACTTGCAGGAACGGCATCTTGGACGCTTCGACTACTTCATTTCCAGTTTCGGGGTCTGACGTAAACAGAACATGCGAGCCTGCAGGCTTATCTTCGCCAGCGCTGTGTGCTGACACACTGTATTCTGCATACCTCGCTGCATGATGCCCGCACTTTTACTCTTCGGATCGGAACTCTCTCCGGACGCCAAGACTGCTTTTGTGCAACAGAGTATTCAGACAAGATAACAATCCGCGTGGGGTACTCCCTGTCATTACCAAGGTTCTCAGGGGTCCATTTGCTCGTCGACAAGAATGCACCCAATGCGAAGGTCCACGTCACAGAGGATGGCTGCATGATGCGAGTAAGTTCATTGCAGCGTGCATGAGACGTACTGGAATACCCCGGACCCCATTCTGGTGTCTCCTTTACTTTGCTTCAGCTGGACAGATCCTCTATGCAAGACTCGATCCACGACTCTAGGCCCAAGCAATAATCTTGAAGCAGTGTCACTGAGTGTCGTTTCAAGTAGATGCATAGTGTTGCGGAGACGTGTGAGGTGGCCTCTTGGCAACGCGAAAACATTTGCTCCAAAGATACCTCTCTCCTCCGCATCCCTATGCTGCTTCTCGTTACAATGCTTCAGCCTCGCGTTGATGTGACATGATTCCCCAAGTATGTGGTATGATAATTTACCGCCACCTATCATGCTGCGAGATTCATATGTGCGAGTGCGATACGCCGACTGTACCCGTTTGGATACGTGTATATATACTTCGGTCGACATGTCTAGCAATGGAGCCATCCTGAACATGGAGTGATCCTACGACCGAGATCCTTGGTCTCATTCCAATCCTCCGTTTTCAGTCGCGATAAGAACACAAACTCTCTCAAGTCGCGCGGTCTCCTCAATCTTACCGCCAAGTTGGATCAAGCCTCATTCATCAAGGCGCAAATAGTCTCCACGGCAGACTAGCGAGCGGTCACAAATCGTAAGTTTAGCAAATCATCCGAGAACATCAAGCGAAGAGAAATCTACTGACCTCCCTCTCCATTGCAAAGTACATCACGAAGGACCATGTGTCGACAAAGAGGTCGAATCATCCATTGGCAGCAATGTGGCCATCGATCGGAGTACGTCCAGCTACACGAAGAAGACAACTGCGGGAAGTGCGGTATTGCCAGGCATCCACCGCTTGTAGAGCAAATATACTATTACCAACCCTGCGCTCCGTGCGTTCAGGCCGGCAAGTACATCATGCCTAAAGACAGGCCGGGTCAGTGGATAGTCAACAAGATTTGGTGGGATAGAGCATTGGGATTTGCTCCTCCGAAGGGGAGTTAAGTCATCTTGCCCGCATGATGCTCGCTCAACGAGCAATCGGGGAGCATATGGAAGTTGTGTTGATGCCAGGGCAGAATCTTGCGTGCATATATTGTTATGATAGGGTGGGAATGCAATTTTTATCGAACGCCAATTGGTTCGCTTTTGCTCGACCGCAGCTTTCCTGACTCTATCCTGCGTCTAGAGAAACGATATAGTGTTCACTTTACAGTATGTTAGACGGCATATACAACGTGAGAATTGTTACTTTTATCCACATTCAGAACACCACATACAGAAGCTGCAAGTTCAAAGTAGATGATACTCGTGACTCGAACTCAGGAATCTGAATAAGTTGTCTGGGATCATTTTGTATGAGACGAGCAGTACAGTGAACATGATGTAAAATTCTATACGCATCCTTACGCTGGACATGAGAGCCTCCAGAGACAAAAGGAACTCCTAATAAACGCCTTCGCTAAATCGCATCGAACCCCGGGCAATCTATATGTGTGATGTTACAATATTAATACAGGACGTTTCTTGTTTTCGTAGTCGCTCTGGACTAAACGGTGGCTTGTTTCAGAAATCCAAGTCTGCAATCGATAAAGGATTTGGAAGCACATTATTTGATATCCCGAAAGAGGATTTACTGGACCGTTGACTTTATTGGCTCAATTGTTGCAGAGCAGACGGGGACGACAGGGCAGTGTGGCCCTTGAAGAAAATGCTTGCGAGCCAAAGTCTAAGAATAAAGTGTCTGGTCGACGTGGTGGTACAATGAAGAGTGAAGATGGGATACCATGCTTGGACTTGCATTTAAATCCGCGATGAGAGGTAAGCAGCACACCCTTGTGCCGCACTTCGCCATAGGCTCTCCTCGGATCGTTTGAGTGAAATAAAAATTGTAAATTCGGTGTCAAAGCCTTTTACCAGTCTTTGCAGTGCTTGTTCATCTGACTGCAGGCTCGCTGCGTAGGGAAATTTGTCGCGTCTTGTAACTCAAATAATCAATCGTGGGTGACAGCTCTACCTGCATGCCGTCGCTGAGTCCATCGCCATCACTTCACTTCTCGTCACGTTGTTCGCGACGAGACCCAATCATCTCTCATTTCTTCTCCTCTTGCCCGAGCCCGGACCCTCATACGGTGGCATCGGGCCCCTCTTGCGATTTTCCTGCGAATAACCTTGCTGCTGCGACTGCAACTGCTGTAAGCCATGGCCCTGATGATGGTTACCTTGCCCCTGTGGCATTCCCGAGAAAGCGTCTTCCCGGCCACGACCTCGTCCTCCACGCTCCTCGTCATTGCGGTACGAAGGCCCAGATCCATCGCCGACACTAACGTGAGTGGAAAGAGGGCCAGGTCCGCTGTTGTTGCTATTGCGGAAGTCGTCGCGGACAGGGCCAGGCCCGTTGTTGATGCCGCCGCCGCCAAGGCGGCCGCTGTTGCGGCGTCCGTCGTCGGAGTTTTGAATGCGTGATGGCCCACGCTCCCAATTTGGTGGTGGTTGACTGGTGAGGTCTGGTCGGCGCTGATTCATATCGGGACCTTCGTTGTTGCCATCTGGTCCACGGCGCGGACGTGGAGAGCCATCTTGCGCATGGCGGTCACGACCGCCTGCTTGCAGACCCGCTTGCGGAGCATTGGAATGGCGGAATGAGGAATTGTCATCCTTGAAAGCACGAGCAGGGTGGCGGTCGTCGCCTCTGTCTCGACGGCGATCACTGCCGCCATTGCCGCTGTCGGATTCCTGCCAATTGTTGGAGGACTTTGCCTGGAAAAGATCTGGTCGATTGCTTGATTGATTAGGAGGTAACTCATCGAGCGACTGTCTGCTCTCGTGCACCTTGTGGCGTCCCATCGACTCATTCGGAGTCTCAGGCGCACCCATGGAAGGCCGACCAGTCGCTGGCGAGAAGGAAGACGCGTTTGCCTGACGAGTAGAGGCGCCCCGGAAGTTGACTCCTTGACTCGACGGCGTGCTCGCAGGAGGCGGTCCGTTGGCGTTGCCACCCGCCCGTCCGGAGCGCCTTGCAGGACCCGAGGGCGGATTCGCGCTGGCGGGGCTCGGTCCTGCCGAGACAGGCCCTGTGCGAGGTGTGGCGCGAGGGCCGGAGGGCGCACCCGTCGTAGGAGAAGCATTGCCTCGGGGACCAATTGGTGCTGTAAAATTGGTCTGAAGAGGTGAAGGCTGGTTGAGCTGCGCCAAGCGGCTAGGATGGACAGGTATGGCAGGTTCTGGAGCAGGTGTGCTCGGGACAGAATTAGGTGCAGACGGTCGATCAAAGTGTGAGATGCTGGGTTGCCGTGAAGGTCCTCCTCGTTGTGGTCCGATGACTTCATCTGCACGATTCAAGGACGTCGGCTGGGCACCACCTCGATGACTGTTATCAGTATTCCGCCCATCTCGTCCATTCGGGCCGGCAGATTGCCTCGGCCCAGAAGGCGCAGTGTCCTGTGGCGGAGGTCCATTCAGTCTACCATAGCTAGATTCCTGGTTGGCACCATGGTCCCTGCCTGCTCGTCCGCGCTTGGGACCTGTCGGCGTGTTGTCATTGTTGGAATCATGATGTGATGGCTGATCGTCCATGAGCTCACGCGGTCGACCATTGCCTGCTCTCGAATCTGCCCGAGGTTGGAAGTTGGCTGACGCAGACCGTTCATCATGCCGTGGCTCGCGCTCTCGTCGTTGGTCCTTTTCGGGATTTCGTCGCGTATTCGCTGGACTGCCGACATCGGCGTTGATTAAGGCAAGTCGTGCTGGATTTACATTGTGCTGCACGTCGACGGATCCTTGCCCCGGCCCACTAGACGAGGAGACTGGACGCGAAGGAGACGGTGCATCAGGCAGTATGACAGAAGAAGGGATGCGAGTGAAGCGTTCTGCAGGCGGCGCACGGTCCGCATTTCGATGGCCAGTATCCATCCGGTCGCGCGAATCAGGCGTGGGCTTGTTGTCAGCATTACCATCTCGGCGCGAATGAGATGCATCGTCGCGAACATGGCGTGCGTCCGCTGCAGAGCGATCGTGCGGGCGCTCGTCGCGAAGATTGCTTCGCCCAGAATGACTCGGTGATCGAGGCCGACTACTTCTTGAAGCCGGCGACTGATCTCGTGAATGAGGACGGGCGTCGTTAGGACGGTCCAGTCGCCCATAACCCTCATCACGAGAGGAGAAACGCGATGCAGGCTTTGCCGGAAGGTCGCGTTCGTTTCTCGGGGTGGAATCTTTTGCGGGCGGCCTTGCTGGAATTGAGGCAGGTGGTTTGGAGTCGGATCGCGGTCCGTTGTGCTGTGGAAGAGATCGGGTATCACCCTGATTCGCAGCATTGCTTAAGTTCGACTCCGCCCTCTTAGTGTCCTTTGCAAAAGCTTGTCCAGATCTGCTATCATCCGATCGGCCCGCCCCCTTTGCATCCTCGTGAATGACGGCAGTAGCCAATTTTTCAATTGTTTTCGTGTCCGGACCATTACTCTTCTTCTCGTCTTCGATCTCTCCATCCTCTCGACCACCAACCACGGACTCCTTTCGGGAATTACCATTGACTCGCGCACCGGAACCCGGCTTGAACTCCGACGCCGAAGCATCCAATTTCGCGCCGTCTGGCTGAATCGACGAACTGCGCCTGGCACCCTTTGCACCGTCCTTACCAGGATCATTCAGACGGAATTTCTGCGGCGTCAGCCAGTTCTTCTCACCACTTTTGAGCGGACCGAGCAATGACATGGCCGCAAGTTTGAGATCCTGGCGGGTGTCCTTGTCGGAGAATTTCTTGACCACCTCGATCATGTTCTTGCCTTGAAAGGAGAGCATCGGAAACACGATGTGCACGGATTTCAACACGATGATTGCGTTGCGCACATGCATGTACTCGTCCGATTCGAAACACGCAGTCAAAGCGCCATAGAGGAAGGTATGAAAATTGAAGAGTAACCGACGGAACTCCTCCCAATCCATGACGTTCTTCGGGTCGCCTTTCTCATCGAATGTCTTGACGAAGCCCGGGAGTTTCTTCTTCGCGCCGAGGGCCTCCTTATCATAGATGGACTTGTCACTGTGCCACCTATGTAGGAGCTTCATCGTCTCACAGATAAATCGGCCGAAGTTTTGTGCCTCGATGGCAGTGTATTGGAACATGAGCGACGCGAGCAACTGTTTCTTGAAGAGCTGACTAAGCAGATGCATAAGACTGAAGCCGGAGGTGCCGTTGTCATGCATCATCTTCAGCATGTGGAAGGAATACTGGGCATCGATTGATGAAAGCATAGCTCGAGGGAGGAAACATTCTTCGAGGAGACCAAGGTGTCGAGCGTCCTTGGCGGCATGTTCTTGCTTCGCGCTTTTCGCGACGATCTTGGGAAACCAATGCTGGTTTTCGCCGTGGTTGCCACTGATACGGCTCCGAACTTGTAAGTATGCGTTGAGGTGTGGTTTGGTCTCGTTCGAAAGCCGGTCGCGGACTTCCTGCAGTGCTCGCTTCTTCCTGTCTCGTTCCTTCAAGGCCACAGCACTCATATCTGAACGGTTCCCGCTGATCTCATTCATTTGGCCATCGATGCGAGCGATTTCCCTCTTATAGCTGTCGGTCGGCACCCACAAATCCGGATGTGCGAGCGTCCAGAAAGTGACGTAGAAAGGAATGCTGACCCGCGCAGCCAATTCAGGAGCAACCTCTGTAAGTCGCTCAATGACCGGCAGCAACACCGGATGCCACGGGCTCTGTGTCGGATTGTTATCCTTTTCCTCATTGATAGAAGTCTCGGTCTTGAGCTCGGGTGCATCTGGGACAGCGCCCTCCTCTGCGCCCTGCATTGCAACATCGTTGGTAGACTCAGCTTTGGCTTGCGCCGCTTTGAGCTTCTTCTCCTCGATCTCGGCCTTCTTCTTCGCTGCATCGGCTTCACTCATGCGATGACGGATCGCCATTCGAGAAATGGACAATGCGATACCAGGCTCGATGCCAAAGTCTCCCACCAATCGTGCGGCTTCTGGAACCAGAGACTCAAACAGATCCGGTTTGAGATTAGTCTTGAGCACTTCGAGATATTGCGCGAAAATGGCATGAATCTTGTCGAGGTTATTGCCCAGGACCTTCAGCGGCATATCGCTCGAGCCGTCGTGATGGGCGTACATTTGTCGTTCCTGCGCGATAGCTACAAGGATTTGTCCTACAAGCTTCGGCTCCGCGAGGGCTTTGATCAAGCGCTTCGCGGACTTGTCTTTGACGTGTCTGGCGTCGGATAATTGTCGCATAATGTGACTCTGCAACTGCTCACCTCCCGCCATAGCGAGCACTTGAGCATCGTTGAACTCGACATCTGATCGAATGCCAGCCATTTCGACGAGGATCTGCTCGATCATCTCGAGATCGGTGGCATTTCCACTGCGGAGCTCAAATGCCAAGTATTGCAGAACAGGTGTGGGGTCGAGGTTGGAATATTTCGTGTAGAGTGAGGCCACGAAATGTGACAGTGCTTGCAACCATGGGCTGGTCAACATTCCATCGGCTTGCTGTCGGTCTCGACCTTGACCACCCATCGAATTGATGAGACACCAAGTCAACACATCGTACGCAAGTGGTGAAAAGAAACGCGTACACTCCACCAAGCTTGGAATCATATTGCTGTAGCTCTCCAGTTGATTAACCATCTCCATCACGACGACTCCTGGCGAGGAAAGAGTCACTTTGGCTAACGCGCGCGATTGTTTCTTGCCCGTGTCATTGGAAACCCGCCGAAGGACGAGGCGGACTTCGGCCTTGTTACGGTCGAATGCACTTCGCATCTCAGGCAGACGAGAAGTCCTTCCAGTGAACCACTCGGCATAGATGCCATAGCGAGTAGCGGTTGGAAAGAAGGCGAGCAGCTCATAGACTTCTTGGCTCAAATGAGGGTTGTGCTTACTCAAGCTCAATGCAGGGACAAGCAGGCGCCTCATCATCTCCAGCCATCGAGCGCGGTTATCTTCTGATTGATCATGCGTCAGGCTAGCCTTTGCCAGCCGCAATAATGTACCGTATAGCTTGACGTTCTGTCCGACCTTCAGACCGAGGAGGCCAAGGAAGGTATTGCAGAGCAAAAATACATCGTCGAGGGTCTGACAAACAGGGATGTTATCGCTCCAGTCAGCATAATAGTGAACATAGGCGATGCCGTCTTCAAGATTGTGCACGTCGTTGTGAAGCCATCGCATCGGCCGCATCTGTTGCCTCGCATTGAATGACAACCGGCCATCGGATTGGGCGACCGTGTCTGCAACCTGTTCGCGTGCTTGATTGAAATCGCCCACACTAGCCAGAGGCTGAGAATCCTTCGCCATCTTGCTCAGCATGTGATTGGCGATGCGATGAAGTAACGGTGTCATTGACGGTTCCACTTCTAGAAGCCATGGGAATCTCCCAATGATATGCAGCGCCTCAGGAAGTGCTCCGATCAAGAGTAAAGCTTTTAGTAACTGTAGTTTCTGGTTCTCCGGCGTCGGAAGGTCGTCGGCAGGTTCCTCTTTCTTATCCTGTCCAGGGGTGGCGCCCCCAGCTCGCTCCTTGTCAGTTCTCGTATTGCGGAGTGCAGGCGCCGTATCGTCTGTGAGTGCAGCAGCCATCGCGAGAGCGTTGACACCCGCAGTTGGCCGATCTTTAGCATCCCGAGCGGCCTTTTCTTTTTCCAGGCGTGTCCGTTCTGCCGGCATTTGCTCGTCGGATGGATGAAGGTGAGGGTAGAGATCTTTTAGTGAGATGAATCCGATTTTGATCAGAAATGCCGCGAGCTTCATAAGATTATCCGGCAGTATGTCTGTCGCATGGCGGGCCGCAGAGGCATAAAAGCGTAATTTGAAGCCCAGCAATTGGGCAGCATCGTAGTTGCCCTGAGGAGGAAGCGTCCGCGTCTCTCGCATGTGCCGCCGTTGCTCTGCTAAGTACAGTCGCTTTTCTGGATTCGATTCTTTGCCTCGCGAATCTAGCTCCACTGGAATATTCTGCTGCAGAACAGGAAGCACGGCTTCGTAATTGATGATGTGCCGACTTCCGAGCTCGAAGAAGGCATCCGTGCCCTTATCGGCGACAGAGCGCCAGAACTTAACATCCCTCGTCGTCCTTAAGATTGAGAGTCGTGAATCTTCGTCCTCGCTTGACGTCACCCGACCTGAGCCGGGCAATGCCCAATCAGGAATTGTGCTGAAGCCTTGATCCTCGAATTGAATGTTGTCAAAAGAATCAGCATCAGGCCACCAAGAACTCGCGCGGTAGAATTTGATGAGGAATGGATAGGCCTTGACCAAGAGATTTGCGCTGACATCCAGGGTGATATCCAAGACACGGCCAACGTCCAAGTCGAAAGCACCAACCAACGCCTTGACTCGCTGGAAGGCATCCTCCGCGATATTTGGGTTGTCGTCTCGTCGGCTGCATGCGTCCTGAACCGTGTTGAAATAATCCGTCACCAGCTTCGCGTATCCCTCACTCTCCTCCCGAAGCAAATTGAAATTTGCTTGTTTGTAAAGGATATTCGTCGATTTCCGGGTGCGCATCTTCTCAAAGGTATCCCGCACCAAGCTGAGTGCTTGCAGGAGAGGAATATCCAGCTCCTGGCGAAAGACCTGAGGATCAATCAAGGTAGCCGCTACGAGCGCGCGGAGTGTAGCATTTTTCTGATACTCCTCATCGAGCAGCGATATGGTGTCGATGAAATGTGATGCGACATCCACATCATCGACTGCCTGCCGCGCAATGATGATCTCCTTTATCACAGCGCCAGCCTGATTGCCCGTCAAACGACCATGTAGACAGCTCTCCGTCAGCTCTTGTAGAACTTCGCTCAAGATCATCTCATCCGCTTCCGCTCCCGCCGCGACAATTGTTTGACTCCCTCCTGTGCTCCATCTCGAGATGACATCGCTGGTGATGTGGTCGTAGCAGTCATGCTTTGGAGGAAAGCTGGATGCTGAAGTAGCAGCGGCCGACTCGGACGCGAAAGTTGCAGGTGACATCCTTGTCGCCGGGCGAGCAGGACTCTCAGTCGGACCATCTTTGGTCGCACCTCGCTCCGGTCGATACGGAGATGGCCTGCTGGATCCATCATCATCCAGGACCTGCCGCTCAGAAGGCCGTTTCCTTTTGGGCGCCATCGTCGATATCGAGGGCGATGGCTGAATGTTGTCGTCTGGGTCGGAGGCGCTCAGAATTCGACCATGTGTCGCCTGAGAACAATCGTGATCGATGGACTCCGCAAGACTGCGCGCCAAAGAGGTTTGAAAATCGCCAGCCTATGCGGCGGCCGCGACTCGTGTAAGTGACGCACCGGTCACCATTCCCGCGCGAATTGCACTCGAAGTTTACTGAAAACCACAGTGATACTCTCAATGACACGGTAGGATGCGAATCGTGATGTCGTCGTTGTCGCGCGAGGTGAATCTTTGAGAAATCCGCATCTCAGGATCGACCCGTCAATTACTGGCGTGGAGCAGACAGGACTGAAGCACGAATCTCCGGTGGTCCGTGCACGCCAACAGCAGCAATCCTACACCTCCAACTGCAGTCGAGGCGGAAAATGACGGAAAATGATGACCATTATTCTATCTCACATTATTTAAAACTCGCAATAATTATTTAAAGGCAGTCATGAATGATGAAGTAGTTTTTGACAAAGTTCCTTTTCATTTTGGTTCGTGACATGGACATATCCAAAAACAAGATCGAGCGCCCATACAGGCCCAGATCATCCACAGTAAATATTGGGTGAATAGACTCGGGTGGGGAACAACAAAATGATGATGAGGATAAGAATGAGAAAAGCACCCCTTCATGTTGCCATGTCAACAAGAGAGGAGTTTAAACAGAGCTCATATCGTCATAGACGTTTCCTGCAGAGAAGCGAAAGGGAGAGAAATCAGAACCTCATTCTCGATGGGTTTCCCGAAGGGGCTAATGCGTAAGAGAGGTTGGTTCTTGCGAGGAAGAGAGTGTGAGAGACATCATATGTGCGTATGTGCAAAGGCCCAAATTTGGGTAAGATGTGGTATCGTGGGTTTCCCGAATTGGGAGGAACCATTGCTGCAAGTGAGAATCAAAAATGAGCAACGAAAAGTGGCAGGAAAGAAAAGCGAAAATTGATAAACGCCAGAGGGGGAAAGATGTCCGTCCCATTCTCCCTAATCCGTGGACGAATTTCACCATAAAACGCCGGTCGCTGAAGATGAGAATTTTTTGCAAGTTGGAAAATCAGAGGTAAGGGGCTCTGCGAATCACGATCATGATGATGCGCCGCCGAGGCTCTGCAGGTTGACGAGCTCATAGTACCGACCACGCTTGGCGAGAAGATCGGTGTGTGTGCCCGACTCGACGACACGGCCGGCGTCAAAGACGAAGATCACATCGGCCTTTTGAATGGTGGACAGACGGTGAGCAACAGCAATAGTCGTACGACCCTTGGCAGCCTTGTCCAGAGCAGCTTGGACAACTTTTTCTGACTCGGAGTCAAGCGCGGAGGTGGCCTCGTCGAGGAGAAGGATCTTGGGGTCGCGGAGGAGAGCACGAGCGATGGCGATACGTTGCTTCTGACCACCCGACAACATGCTACCCTTGTTACCCACGACAGTGTTGAAGGCCTCGGGAAGCGAGAGAATAAATTCGTAGATGTTGGCGTCCTTGCAAGCTTGAATAATGGCCTCCTCGGGTACGTCCTCAGGGCGCTTGTCGGCACCGAGCAGGATGTTGTCGCGAACGGTACCTTGGTATAAGGTAGGTTCCTGCGATACGAGGGCGATGTGGTTACGGTAGTTGGCAACATTGAGGCTGGAGATGTCGTGACCGTCAACCATAACACCTCCCATGACTGGGTCATAGAAGCGTTCGAGAAGGGCGATGGTAGTCGACTTTCCGCAACCGGATGCTCCGACAAGCGCGACGAATTGACCAGGGCGGATAGTGAGGTTCAGACCACGTAGAATTGGCTGCTCAGGGCGAGTCGGGTAACGGAAGTGAACGTCGCGGAACTCGACCAGACCCTTCATGTCACTGATGTGAGTGCCCTCCTTGGACCATGAGTCGATAGTGGGTTGACGCTCGGTGAGAGCCTTGATCTCGACAGCAGCGTGCTTCGCCTTACCCATGTCGGGTGCGAAACTGAACACAGTACCAGCGGACTGGGCGCCGAAGATGACGGCGGAGAAACACAGGAAGAATTCGAACAGGTCGTACTCGTGAGTAGAGATGAGGTTACCACCGTACCAGAAACCCAGAGCAACACAGCAGAACATCAAACTCTGCGAGGCGGCGTAGAGCGAGCTGGAGTTCAAGATGGTAGACAAAGACTTCGCACCTTGGCTGTTGAGTTGGTCGGCGTATAGTTTGAGCACGTCCTCTTCACGTGTCAACGAAGCGACAGTGCGAATTGCAGATGTAGCCTCGCAAGCGAACGAGGCAGATTTCTCATAAGCCTGCTTAGCACGGCCTTGGAAGCGAACCAACATCCAGAAACGGAGGAAACCGCATCCGACAATAACGGGGACGGTGGCAATGCAGACCAAAGCGAGTTTCCAGCCGATAGCGAGTGAGAGGATGAAACCGCCGATGAGGGTAGTGAGGACTTGAAGAATCGTTCCGAGGGTGGTACCGGACATACCAGCGAGATGGGTGGTCTCCGTGCTCAAGAAAGAAGTCAAGGAACCAGCCGAGTTCTCCTCGCGATCGAAGAACTCGACGTCCTGTCGGAGCATGTAACGGAAGGCGCTGTCACGAGCACGGTGGACCAAACGCTCACTGCAGTAGGCAAAGGCGACACCCTGAATGATCAATGCGACGAACTGAACCATGGCCAGCATGAAGAACATCCATGCCCAGAAGCTTGCCTGCTCCTGGAGCTCGGCGTATCGGCTCGGCGGCTCTGCCAATGCAACGATGGACTTGGAGAAAAAGACGGATTGCACAGGTTGAGCGCCACCAGCAATGATGGCGAGGAACAGACCCAACAGCATGTAGGGGATTTCCTGCTTGTTGTATCCACCAATCATCTTCACCAAGGACCAGGTGCTGTATTTCTCGTGGTCGACGCCTTGCTTCTGCAGGTTGGCGAACTCGACGCCGGCAGCTTGTTCCTGGGCCTCAGTCATTTGTAGCAATTCGAGACCAGCGCTGTCATGGCTTCCCTGGTAACCGGGAGTGCCAAAGCTCTTATCCTCGAAAGCTTTGTCGTTGAAGCTGTCAGTCACGGGAGTGTTCCAGCCGTCTTCGGAAGCGGCGATGCTTGTGCGAATTGCTCCACTTCGGCGGGCGAGGCTTCGTCGGTGCAGACTTTGCTGACTGTGTCGGTTCATGAGTCTCGTCTCGATCTCGTCATCCTCGCGCTGCTTCTCTTCCTTCTCCTGAGCAATTCGCTGTGCCTCGACCAAATTGTAGTAGGCACCCTTTTTCCACAGAAGCAATTGATGAGTTCCTTGTTCGACGATTTTACCCTTGGACATGACGACAATGTTATCGGCGTTCTTAATGGTGCTGAGACGGTGTGCAATAACAATAGTGGTTCGGCCTTCGGCAGCCTTGTCAAGTGCAGCTTGCACAACGCCCTCGCTCTTGGTGTCAAGAGCGGAAGTCGCTTCATCAAGGAGAAGAATCTTGGGGTCACTGACGATAGCTCTGGCGATAGCGATACGTTGCTTTTGTCCACCACTGAGCAGGAAACCTCGTTCACCGACATTGGTTTGGTAGCCCTCAGGAAGTTGAGAAATGAAGTCATGGGCGTTCGCCTTGCGGGCAGCGTCCTCGACCAGATTGCGTGTCTCGGTCTCAGACATGCCCTCGTGGCGGGTACCGATAAGACCGTGTCGAATGTTCTCTGCGATTGTGGTGGCGAACAAGGTAGGCTCTTGGGAAACCAGGCTGATCTGCTGTCTGAGCCATCGCAAATTGAGGTCTGACACTTTGACACCATCGAGAAGCACCTCGCCTCCGACGGGATCGTAGAAACGCTCGACAAGGCCGACGATGGTAGACTTTCCGGATCCAGAGGCACCAACAAGAGCTGTTGTCTTACCAGCGGGAACAACAAGATCGACACCATCCATGACCACAACCTCGGGACGCGAAGGGTAGATGTGCTTGACCTTGCGAAGCTCGACTGTACCAGCCAGTTTCTCAAGAACGCGACCCTCGCTGGATGTCGGGTCGAGTGGCGACTGTCGGTCAATAGTGGCGTAGATCTTAGAGGCAGCAGCAACAGCAGTGGTGAAAGCCTGGACATTGGGGGCGACGTTTCCAAGAGCAAACGCGCCGATCATAATGGACAATAAGATGGTGAGGACGTTGGTGAGAGTGGTCTCGCCGCTGACAATGTACTTGGCACCGAGCCAGAAGCACAGCGAGTACGTCAAGAAAACGTACATCATAAGGAAAGCGATCATGCCACCGGTGAAAGCCTTCATGCGGAATCCGGCACGTTCAGCGAGAGTCAAGTGCTTGTCGTACTCCTTGGCCAATTTGTCCTGCGTACCAAAGGCAATGGCATTGCGGATGGAGCTGATGACTTCTTCGGCAACGGTACCACCTTCGGCATATGATGCGAGCGAGTTCTTCTGGAATTTCACAATGAATTGACCAAGAACCGCCATGGTGAGGAAGATGGCGACGATGGTGGAGGAGAGAATGAGAGTGAGTTTCCAGTATTTGTAGTAACCGATGGCGTACGCCGAGATGAAGGTCGCCAATGCGGTCAGCGACAAGCCGACCTTCTCCGAGATACCGTCCTGGATGAGATTGGTGTCGGCAGTGATGCGGGTAGTGATCTCACCAGCTCCAAGCTTGTCGAAATAGCCGATGTTCTGACGGAGGATGCTTTCGAGGTAGCGCTGTCGGATTTTGGCGGTGATGTGCTCACCGGCGTAGATGTAGCCGACGGTACAGATGTAGCTGGTGACAAACTCACCAATAGCGAGGTAAACAAAGTATAGGGTCAACCGGCTGATCTCCGAGCGGAAGACGTCTGGTGTGACAGTTCCGAGGAAAAAGCCTTGGAATTCACCTGCCAGGTTACCAAATACGACTGTCATCAGCGGCATGGCGGCACCCGCAGCGATGGCACAGAATGCGCTGACCCATAGGATGATCATGTCGTTTCGGGTCGCATATCGATATAGCTGACGGTAGGTGACTGTGACGGGCGGGATTTCGAGTTGTCGTCTCAAGATCTCGGCTTCTTCCTCCGGGAGAGCCTTGAATGGATCTTGGTCGTCATCCTGTTCTTTCTCCTCATCCTTCTCGTCATACTGTGGTAGTGGGTCTCTCATTGAGGTGATGGGTGGTAGCGCGGTCAATGCTCCAAAGGAGCTGGCAGATTCGAGTCGTTGTAAGTGTGGCAGCGCGGTCATGGACAGGCGTGCCGAAGAGTCGCGCCAACTCTTTCGTTGGGTCACTGGCGGTGGCCTTAGTGAGTCCTTCCGTGTGGGTAGATTGTTCCGTACAGGCACAGGCAAGGCAGTGGACGCGGCCGGCGGTGGAGGTTTATGTGACTCGCGTTTCTCGGAGTAGACGTCCAGTAAGTCGTCACGCCAGGCCTCCTGCTCGTGGTCGTCATCTTCCTCATCGATGGTTTCACCGTAATCTTTGTTCTTTGAGATGCCACTGACGGGTCGTGGCCGTCGCGGCTGAGACTGCCGTGGAGGAGCCCGACGTGTGTTGTGAGGCCTCCGAAAGGAGTCGGATGGTCTGAGATCCATGACTGTGACACCCGAGCAACGGTGACTGAGGTCGGAGGTGTTAGATGATGATGCAGTGAGGTTGACGAACCGGCAGCATGCTATATTAAAGGTCGGCCGGGATACGGGAGAATTATGACAAACAAGAGAGCGGGAGAGGCAAGGAAAGAGAGAGAGCGTGTGGTAGGTTGTTGGTGTGTGTGTGAGCGAGTGTGAGGTAAGAGTGTGTGTGTGAGGTGCGTGTGTCTCTGATTCTCTCTGGTGGAAAGGAAACCTCGTGGGCGCAGCGAGAGAGACACCCAAACCAAACGACGGCGAGCGATCTGCTCTTCTCTCTGGCTGCAGCAGCGGCGCGATTGGGGGAAGGACCGAGTGCGAGCGATGATTGATGGGTGTGATGAAAGGGTGGAATGAATGAATGCACGGGAGGCTAACAAGACTTGAGCCGGGATTAGTCGCAACGGTCGAGGTGCAGATCGACAACGGCTAAACCATGAACGTGTGGTGACAGCCGAATTGAATCGGCGGGGAAAGCATAAACTCGTCGGAACTGATGACAGAATGGGGAGATCTCTACGACGGTCCTGACTACGGTTTTGGTCGCGTTGCCCATACATGGATGGTATCGCATGTGGAGGTCCTGCAGAATGAAGCATGACAGGTCCAGCCCTGGTGAGGTTCCCGGGAGGCTTCATGTGCTGGAAATACCCTCAAAGGCACTACACACGCGTTTGGCATTGGTGGAGAAGGAGGAGAAGGCGGAGTAGACAATTGCCTGCTGTACTGTGCTGTGCCGTCCTGTACTTGCGCATGTTGGTGCCCACTTGGAGAGCTGTCAGCCGTGTGCATGTCGATACCAGGCTGCATACAGGTTTATTCCTCCGTTGCGCAGTCGATCATCACCACACTAAGCGCATTCTACACCTCAATAGCTACATATCGTGCAGCTGGAATAGATAGTCTACCCCAACCATTGCAACGTGGGCATGTGGCCCAGCTGCATCTCGAGCAGGCGGGCATCAACACCGCCCAGAGGAGGCGATATCGAAGGATAAGGTCCACATACGACCTCAATAGTTACAGATCTTCGCGTTTAGGACGAGGATGGGCGCATAAGACCCCTCATCATGCTTACAGGACACACCAATACGATGGACAGAAGTGTGTATGAACCGACACACGGGACGAGGTTTTGCCGGCCCATGATGTCTCTTCCCTCGCCATTCGATCTATTATCGGAATACGTCTAAGATGCAGAGAGGGTCTTACACAGAGTGAAGGCCTGGATTTCGGGTTCAGTCGGTATTTCTCAGAGACAGGCATCCGATCCCTTCATTTTTGAATAGATGAGAAAGCCGTGCGTGAGATTTGATGAATAATGAACGAGGTGAGGTGATCTGTGATGACGATGGAGCGTGCATCTCAGACAGAGTTCAAGGGACGCGCGCTGTTTAACATCTGGACACACGATGATGATGATTTTGATGATGTCGACGATCATGAGATTTCCGTTGCGATGGGGGGTTCCAGAGCGGATACGACGATCGGATCAGATCAGTCAACGATACGTTCGCAATGCCATCCCCAGAGCCGGTTCCCTACAGCGCAGAGTTTATCAATTGCAGGAGAACAAGCCAGAGAGCCATCCATTTGTACAAGACCGTCACAAAAGACAACAATACGATACGATGGTTCATCATTAGCACATCAAACGGCAGAAACTCCCCCATAGTAGGGACAATCTCAGCCCGGTATGAAATGACACGGCCAGCAATTGAAGGGAAACCGTGCCTCCCCTGGACCGGGACCGGGGCCGTTGGCAAGGAACAGGTGAGGTCGGATGACGATGTGCAAGTGTTTTCCTCAAATTTCCAGATGCCTCGGCGTTAGATTAAAACCCGCCGGGTTCGGGAGCTATCAGTGACAAGCGGGCTGCACTAATCCTCATCGACCTCTAGCGCAGCGCAGATCTAACCTTTATCGGCAATGGTGGCGGAGGTCGTGGAGGTCGTGGAGGAGGAGGTGGCCACGCCTAGCGGCACTAAATGTAGCATTTCTCATGTATTTTTCCTCGTTCCCTTTCTCTCGCTCTCACGAGAATAATTGATGAGGGTGTAGGACGGGAATGCGGGTGGCACTGTACCTGCCTACGATGTGCGCGCGACCCGCGTGCGTGGGTGCAGCAGTTGCGGCGTGTGTCGAGCCAGTTATCACGGGTGCGAAGGTTGGACGGTACCGTCGTTGAGATGTCTCGTTCCCTACTCTTTGTCCACATACTCCGTTGCCTCTGCTACTATGCGCGCGACACGAGCTGTTGGCAGATAACGGGCACGCATTACCACCACACGCGTGAAGTGCAACTGATCAGTTGAATCGCAATATCTGAGAAAGCGTGTTGTTGTCCTTCGCGTGTGATCGCACAGGAGTAAGGAGTACTGTGTCAGATCATCCTCGCACCGCCGGGTCTGGGCCTCTTCTCTTACTGTGTGCGACTGAGATCGGAAGAACTAGACACGAATCTTGTTTGGAAATTCATTTGCTGTGCGAAATCTGAAATAGATTCCAGCTGGGAGAGACATGTCATCAGGTCGATTCCTTCCAGTATTCTATGCGACAAATGATACTGCACAGTACTGCTGTCCTATGGATCGCTACGACGGCGGCGGCGTAGGCGGCGGTGGTGCAATGTCTCTCCCTCATCCACGGACTCCAGCATGCCGGTCGCAGAACTACGAGACCTGCGCCGGCTGTTTCTGCGCCTCCCAGTCTCTTCCATTTTGTGTTCTTTGCATCCAAATCTATCACGCTTGCCTCGCTTCGTCATGAGGCATAATTCTCGTCGTCATTGTCTACAGACCTGCTTTTCCTCTGCTGTGATGATGACAGGCGTGCCAACATGGTTTACCAGTCAGCCACGACTTTATCATTCCTTCTTTGCTGACAGGGAACGACGCGGAGTTGGCTGAGAGTGACCCGGAATCCTACGCGCAAATCAATCGGAGGTGGCGTGCGGAGAATGACCGCATCTGGAATCCCCATGTGCTTCCATCTGCCGCGGCGTGCATGAATGTGTGCCTGACAAGAATTGACGAGAAAGTGCCTGTCTTTCGGGTACTGTACCTGTCGTGTGTCTGTCCTGTCCTGGAGACTTCCCGAGAGAGAGAGATACATCGAGCTGAGTACCTGAACATCCCCGCATCTGGCAGCGAGTGAAAGAGAAAGCCACATGCAGTTCCAGATACCGCCGCTTCACGACATCAGCGCCTGAAGGATTGAACGCTGGCATGCCACTCTTGCCTACACTTCTCCATAGCATAGTACTTGAGTAGGCACGGTAGGATGTGTTCTGTGGGATGAAGTCACAAGACTACTGCACCTCCATCTCTTCTCCCCGCAAATTCTTGATCCATCGTCTTCGAGTGACAGCTGCACCATAGCCGACCGGTCCCTTTTTCCACTGCGCAATGCTCGTCCCGCACTCAGACCCCAAAAAATGCCGTGGTGATTATCTAGAGCAAGGTTTACATCGCGTCAAATGGTACCTCGCATGACTATCTGATTGAATGTGAGAACTCAAGGACTGTCTCAGAACAAGACATCGCAACATCTATAGGTCACGAGGGCCGTGGAGTAAAAACCTATAAAGCAAAAAAAGAATGACCGTTCAGAGTCGCAACCCACGCATGCAATTTCACACCCCTTCGGATTGCGCTCTCCATGCCCGAAGAAGCCCTTCTAGCATGGGCGGTAAGCGCCCTTGGTGATGATAATCAGAAACATGACGGTGATGGCGGAGGCGGTGGTGGCAACCTTGGAAGTAAGCCACGCCACGCTTGTGATCTACAACCCATGTTCACCACCTATCCGTTTGATGGTCCAGCTAGGCGTACTACAAGAGCAAAGGTGTCTCGCCGACTCCGCATTTTCCAGAGAATTTAGGCCCCAGAAAGCAGCAACCAGGCGGACGACACAGAATCCAGAGAACGGGAAACAAACTCTCCGCAGTTCTTCCGTCGTGAAGGAACCTTGGAAGTCACTGAACCGCCACGGCATCCGGGCTACTGTAGCAGAAGGCGCGAGTTGCCCGTGAAGCCGAATATTTGCGTGTGGTCGCATTGATCGTCAGTACTATTCTTCAAATCAACTTGTGTTGCGGCTATCAGTACGAGTGCGCCATCGCGTCGTGGTGGCTGAGATGATGGGCTTCCGTTGAGGATCGCCACTATATGTGGGACGTGGAAGCGATCATCTACAGTATTTCTGCATTTCATGAGTGCGAAAGGCGAGATGGACGCCACAGATAGGCTTATCGCTCGTCGAATGATGATCTCGAGGTGTTCATTGAAAATTAATTGGCACGTGACTCAATGTTGGGTTATCGGCGTCGCTCTGCTCCAGTGGTCTGTGATCAACTAGGCGATAGGCATTCTATGGTGCTCTCTCTTTCTCTACGGCCAGCTCTACATGTGGCAATCTAGTCCGACTGGCCAGCAGTGGGAAACTGTTCACTGCAAACTTTCAATGTGCTATCGCGGAAGACCATCGTTGCGCGTTATTATCACAAGACAGTCCGACAGAGTCATGGAGATGAAGATGCCGCGGTCTGAAAGCCAAGCTTGCATGCAATTCAGGTGCCAACCTTGACCAACCTCCCCACGATCTTCATGAGAGAACTAGCTTCCAGGTTTTTCGAAGTTAAGCATGCCGAAGCCGCGATTGGTTCACCCAACAATGAATATGGCAGCGAAATGCATTCCTTCCCATCATACTTCGCCGCGAATCAGGGCTGCGCAACGACGACGCGCGGAATATATCAATCGACAGTCCACACTCTCTCAATCTTCAATTCAGAGTTGTAGACTTATAAATTGGCGCGATGCAGTTGAGCTCGGATCCTGTGCAAGCAAGAAAGAGTCTACCACTGCAGTCCAGCGACAAGGCTTCGAGCGGGGCAGAGTGTCTTCATTGCTTAGCACTGCAGTCTGAAAACTCTCTTTCTTCCAACGAATGATGACCGCGATCGTGAGAAATGATCTCAGCATGCGATCAGCAGCGCAATGTTTGATCGAGCTGATTTACGCCCAGATTTCACGGTGTTCTCAATAATGATCCCGGTCTTTTCAAGTACACGTCTAGACTTGTTACACTACTGTAGTCACGGATGATCGACACGATCTAATGTAGCAGTATTGTGCGGAGTACTTTGAAATATTGATTATTTCACTCTAGTTCGGAGGCTCGTGTCTTCAATTCATGATTTATCACATGATACAACACCAGACATGGATGTTGACGCAAAAAACCTAGCCGCAATATCCAGAAATCTGTGCATTCGTACCGATGCCGACATGTCCATGTCCAGCACGGCACTGAGCGATGGGGATGGGTCTTCTTTCGCGGGCAGAGTGTGCACGGCATTGGGTAATGCCGATTGGCCGCTCGTGATATCGTCCCCGGACGAGCAGAAGCACAACACAACTTGTCACGATCCTAGATTCCTGGAGCCGAGGGATTGATATTTCACGATACGAGGTGTGTTTCTGCCCTTCATCTGTGGGCTGGTGGTGGCGGCGCCGACGATTGCATGCAGGTGCATTCTTGCGCACATCATCAGCCACCAGATTCCTCCGTGGACGCCCATTTCTAGGGTTCCCAGTTTCTTGTCGTCCGACGTCCAAACAACTTCTGAGCTAGGGTTTGGGTTATAATAAAAAAGCCATGGAGAGAAGGAACACCATCGTCACGACACCATGTACCTACTGTACATGCTCCAGCAGAGGGATCATTTCCTACAGGTATTACTCGAACTGAGAACAATCCGCATGCTGATCGCATGATGTGCGCTGCTGCTGTGCCTCTCAATCCGGGCTTTGCTCCTCTTATTTTCGGTCATATGTGGAGAACATGCTTCTTCCATGCAAACGGATAATGCAGGTGCTCTGCTGCCACATCTGCCCGCAGTCTTCACATGGATATCGACATAGTTGGGCTTATCCTGCACGGGCATATCGTCGTCGGCGATATATCGCTGTCGGCATGGGCTGACTGATAGCAACGATCAGGTGGGTCTTATGCACGTGCAGAGAGAGAGGGAGAGGAAGTCGCTGTTTGGCGCCAGAAACCACCACGTTCTTCGAACGACTGAATACCTATATCCCGCTGCCTACCATCGTCGTCAATCATCACAACCATGTCCGTGCCCTCCTCGTTTTCCGTTGAGAAGATGGATATGGCATGCGCCGTTCGCGTGCATGTGGGCGATCGCGCAGGCAGGCAGGCAAACGCAGGTCTATCAGATGTGGCACGGCCATCCATGAGCGAGATCACACAACACGGGATGTCATGTGTGACTACAGTACATTTTGAGTTTCATGTCTATCGACGAGCGATTTCCTTCCATCTCTCCCTTCTGGAATCATTCCAGATAAAGCGCGAGAGAGAGACACGGGGGGCTCTCGACGGACAGCAATTCGCTGTCCGAGCCCGGAAAATTGATCGGCGTTTGACGCTTGCTGTTGCGCGTCGTCGCCGCCGCCCACGCGTTTGATCGGTTCGTTGAGCTTATCATCACGTTACATCGTGATCGCATCGAAGGCAGGACGTGGGATTTCGAGATTTCCAAAGGACTTTGGTTTGAAGTTTGTCTTGTGACGACGAGTACATATCTCTCATCAGGAAGATCTACCTCCCCACTCACTCGTCCATGCGCTGTATCCAACCACGCTGCCACGGGTGTGCACCGAAGGGCTTGCCTACCAGCCACGAACGTGGCACGGCTTCCTTCGTCGAGACCCTCTTTTTCTTTTTCCAAATACCTAGACGAATATGCTTTTCCACGAAAATAGAATCGCGATTATAGTTCGCCCGAGTCCCTGACGATTGGGGTGTACCATGGTGGATTCTGCTGCGTTGTGTCTCCCGGTTGGGAAAATGCTCCACTCCCTGCTAGGCGAGAGGTCTCAACCATTCCACGGTCCTCGATTCGACTGTGGTTGTTGCAGGAAGGAGGAAACGCTGGGTCGGAAAATGCAATGCAGTATAGTCATTGTTACATACAGTTTACACCGCCAGGCTTCTTCACAGCCTGCAGATAAGTGAAACCCTTTCTTCTGCTTCCCGCCTCTGCATCAACCACATCATCAACGTCGTGACGTGCCGCCAAAGCCTGTCGATTCATGCCGACTGCTGCTCGGACCCGCCATGTCACTCCCACCAAAAGCCGACTCGCCCATCCCGCCGCCGACCCATCGAGACTCACGAGCAGGTTGTCGCGCCGCTGCACGACCTGAGTTCCGGCTGCCTGCTGCGTATCCCGCTGCGGCTCCCGCCGCGGCTCCAGCGGCCGTGCCAGACCAGAAACCTGGCTGCCAGGATGAATTCCGAGACCTGCTGTTGGACGATGACGACGTCGATGATTTTCCGCGTGGTGAACCTCCATATGGTCCGCGAGGTGTATATGGTGGAGGAGGGTCATCGTCGCCATTGTTGTCGTTCCCGCCGCCACCTCCCCAGCCAGCGTTTCGATGACGTGGGCGTGGGTTGGCGTTATTGTTGTTCTCGCCGTAGAATATGCTGTAGATGATCACACAGACGATCCCTTTGCGAGGTGGTGTTAGTGGGCGCTTCGAAGTGTGCGTGATACCGTTTCAACGGTTTCTAACGCCGCAGTTGCAATCCTGTGATGCATCATAGATCCACTTACCTCCGAAAATCAACCAGAACAACATCCCAGCGATCCAATCGCCCCCATCTTGCTCGACACCCGGTCCGTTCTTCCTCGATGAACTCCTCCATTTCGAGCCAAGTTGATCGCGATACTTCTCCTCTCCAAGCGGGGTGAGGACCAATCGATACTCAACAGCACATGAGCCCTTGAGGACATATGGATCGTCCGGGCTATCATATCCTTCACATATGACGTCCGTGCTACCCAGCTTGAATTCCGGCGGTAGAGAGGCCTTGCACGTCCAAGAAATATCTTCGGCGCCGTACTCCGAACCAGAGTTTCGGCAGCGCATGACATCGACATTGTAGAGTCCCTTCGCGTTGCCTCCGATGCATTTTAGCTGTGGTAACGCGGATACCCGTCGATGTGTTGTGTCGTGTCCATCTCGTAGTGTGAGTGACTTTACGGTCGATAATAGTATCGCGTCGCTTTTGCGAGCATCGACAGTCGTTGCTGCTGTCGTGAGGAGGAGGCCAACCCGAAGACACTTGAAAATATGCATGCTGCTTGTAGTATGGTTCTGCGGACGGATCGAAAGCTTCCGAGGAAGGGCTACACTTTGATCCGATCGCGTCTGACCAATATTTTCGAACCAAGTGATTATACGAGGGTGACCAAATCTGATATTCTGTATCCAAGAACTTGCCGTCGTGGCTGTAGATGACAGATGTTCGTTAGGGTCGAGGGTAGCGAGTGATCACAACCCTATCCAGTGGAAAACGTGTGCTGAGTCAGCGTTCACGATAAAACGTCATCTTCAAATGTTGCCGCGCGCTCGAAGAGTTAGATTCAGTCGCGTGCGAACAAGCGAATCGTGGACCCAACACACAACGTCAGCTCCTGACCGGATTATATGCGCAAAGCCTGTCGCATCAGGAACAAAACCTGACCGAAGCCACCGAAGCCACCAAATCCACAAACACCACTCATAATGCCCAAGGCCGAAGTAGGCAGCACGAAATGGGTCGGCAACAAGATGAAAGCCAAGGGCCTTCAGCGCCTGCGGTGGTACTGTCAGATCTGCGAGAAACAGTGTCGCGACGATAACGGCTTCAAGCAACACACCATGTCCGAGGGCCACGTGCGGGCCATGTTGCTCGTCGGTGAGGATCCGAAGAAGTTCATCAACGACTACAGCAGGCAGTTCCAGCGCGATTTCCTCCAACTGCTCAAGGTCGCGCACGGCGAGAAGAAGGTGCATATGAACAATTTCTATCAGCAGTACATCAGCGATAAGGAGCATATCCATATGAATTCGACCAAGTGGCCGAGTCTGACGGAGTTTGCGAAACATCTCGGTCGGGAGGGATTGTGTCGGGTGGAGGAAGGAGAGAGGGGAGTCGAGATCGCATTCATCGATGACAGCGCTGCGGCGATTCAGAGGAAAGAGGAGATAAAGAAGCAGATGCAGAGTGGCGACGGCGATGTGGAGGCGAGATTGCTCCAGCAGCAGATTCGCAGGGCGAAGGAGGCGGAAAAGGAGCGGGCGGAAAAGGAGCGAGCAGAAAAGGCTGCGGCTGCAGCACATCAGCAGACTTCAAATAATGACGGAGATGGAGCGCAAGCTGCGATCGAGGAGAGACCCGCCGAGCCGTTCAAGATGTCATTCGGGCTCAAGAACAAATCGTCCACCGCACCGATCGAATCCAAAAATGAGGCCGAAACTTCCGAAATTGCCATACCGATCACAATCTTCTCGACCAACGATAACGCGCAAGCCACAGCTCAAGGTCCAAACCCCGAAACCGCATCAAACCCTCCAGCTCCGCCAACGACCGAAACCACAGAAGCCAGCACGGACAAACCGGCCGGTCCACCCAAGATGTCGTTCTCACTAGCCGCCAAGAAAGACAAAGCCGCATCCAACCCGCTATCAAGTAAGGCAAGCAAGAATCCCTTCAAACAGAAAACGGCCACCACGATGGATGTGCGACAGAAACCTATGAGCAACGCTGAGCGGATCATGAAGGAGGAAATGGAACGTGAACGACTTGCGGAGGAGAGAGGGGGAAAGCGGAGAAGGCTTGCTTGAGTGAGGACACATTTGACATTTGGGATTTGTTATTGGAATGCCTGTGTGGTTTCACCACCAGACGAGGTTGGTTTAGGGAAGGGGGCTTGTATTTTTGGATTTAGCGAGGCGTTTCGGCGATGGAATGTTGAGATCGGAATGATTGGAACGTATGTGTCTTCTGTTGCTCTGCGATTTCCTGTGCAAGTACCACGCTCCTCACGAGACGTTCAATCTACGCGGTTGACGACAAATAGAATGTCCTTCCATCACGGCACACACACAATTCTATGGAAATTTCTCAATGATACAGGCGTGACATCGCCCTCACGTAGGTCTTGAATGTTGTTGGCGTACCACTTCGACGAGCGATGCATCGGCCAGCATCTCCGACGTGTGTACCTCGCATGGCTCACATACCTTCCCGTACCACAACTATCGCAAGCGCCCCAGGGAGAGGATAGGACGTTGGAAGGATGCTCCTCCCATGACCGAAATGGATCCCAGGAGCAAGGTCCGGCGATCATACACGCGCCCGCGTCTTGCGTGTTTCGACAAGCGATCCAAGAAAACGAAAAACAAAAAGAAGAAACCAAAAGCCGCTTCTCTACTGCTGATATGACCGTCGCCATTCACCAAATTTAGCAAAGCAAGCGAGAGGTGACGGGGAACACACACGAGTCTTCCACCCATGGGCCTGTCCATTCTCGATCAAATCTGGCCGGAAGAGCGTTTCCGCGCCGCCTTCAGCAGAAGAGAACGTAGCACAACCCCTCGCGCAGGCGAATGGCGATGTACGAGAAAGAAAAGAACACATCTGATGCTTACTGGGTACGAAACGGCCGGAGCGGTCGCGATGGGGGAGGTTTTCGCGCGCTGTTAGCGGGGAGACGTTGGAGTCGTGCGTCCTCGCGGATGAGAGGAGCGTTTCGGATGTGGAGGTTTTCTCTTCTTCCTTCAAGGATCTGTTGATCTGGAATACGCGATCGTTCATCAGATCGAAGTGCATCTCCCACCTATCGAGGTCCTGAGACCGTGAAGGCGATCGCTCCACACGTGGTTTAGATTGATTGAGGTCGCACCTCTGAGGCGGAGTAGGTAGGATGAATACCAAGGGAAAGATTCTCAGATTCGAGATTGTGGTATATATCCTGTCTCGACTCTATGATAGATGAATCCCTGGACAGTCACACAATTCGGGAACAGTCACGTGACATATAACTGGCAGTGTCGCAAGAACTCTTGGACAGTGGCCTAATTCTCTCCCCCGAGCATGCGTGGTTTGAGATTGGACGGGCTGACGTGCAAGCAAGCAAGCAAGCAAGCAAGCAAGACATCAACATGATCGATGATTGCTGCACATGCGAACGAACGAGAGTAGGAGAGACAATGCGCGAGACATCGCAGGACAAGACAAGACATTTTACCAGGTTGGAGGGCCGAGAAGTCATGCTCTCGGGTGGTGATGATTCAGGTCAGAGATGGCGGGAAGCCGGGGAATCGAGCCGGCTGCTGTGTCATCATTATCGTTAGTCATCATCATCATTAGTCATCATGATCCAGAAATATTCAGGGAGATTGTGATAGCTCGCCGTCACATGTGAAGATGTGATGAGGATGAGCGGTATGGAATATACTGCGGAGAGACAATTATGTCACCCTTTCTCCCGTCAAATCATAATTTGCATTATTATTCCACCCACATCACAGGAGTGTCGTCAGTCCTTCCAATTCTGAAATGTACTGCGGAGAATCGCCACGCCCGGCCGTTTTGCGTGCTTCTTTCCCCCGTAAGTTCCAACCGGCCGCCCGCCCCCGCTTGTCCGCTGTGCCCGTGGGCCCCCCCTTGATGAGATGAGAGCAGCAGCGGCCAAACATCCCCCGACCAACAACAAGGAAACAACGCAAAAACGCGCGCTGACAGCCCAGACCTCACCACGACGCCGACGACGACCACTCTTCCATCAATTCCACCACGTAAATCATCTCCAAAATCCACCAAATTCCAGCCAGAGTTTCGCTGCACGATTGCGCATCGGTGCATACCCATCACTACATGCCCGACCCGCGACGGTGAGAGAGAAAAACACCCGGCCTGCGTGGCTGGGGGCAAGGTCCCGTTGCGACCGTGGCCAGCTGGCTTGTTGTGACTCACACACGTCCTCTACACTCTCTGCGTTTGCACAAATCTTGCATGAATCGGATGGTCTCTGCCTGAGGCAGCATTTCTGATTGGTGCTGCCCGGCCCACACGCACATACACACATACACACACATATAAACCGCGAACATGTCCAGACCGAGTATTGCCCGGCATGTACGCCAGCGGAAGTTGAACACCAAACAACCGCTGCGCATCATCCGGGAACATGAGATTGATGAAATCCCCGACGATGAGACGCAGCGACAGATTCATCAAGTCGAGACGGGTGTGGAAAAGGGCGAAGAAATCGTAAGTCCTCACCTGCCTGTCCTATGTTCTGACCCCTTTCGTTGGGCAGCAGGTCGATGTGCATGTATGCATGCATGCATGTTGACTCGGTCATGATCACCTCTTCGCTTCCTTCCTCTTCCACCTACCTTGACTTTCATTCATTGCACGTCCGCTGACATGGTTGATGCAACCAGGAATTCCACTTGCAAGCCGTCATCTCGGGTCAAAACGCTGCCGCTCTGGGCGCCAAAGCCGAGAAGCAGAATTACATCCCGACTCCAGATGCGACCCGAGCCAAGGATGTACAGTATGATAGTCTCTATCCCAAGGTGTTCCGACAGCCCACGACCTACATCCGCTTCAGCTCGACGGTCGAGGATTCAATAGGGGTCCAGTATTGCATGAGTGAAGAAGACGCCAAGTTTCTTGCCCAATTGAACGACGGCCGAGATGTCCACGGCCAGCCGGTCAAGGAGAAGCTCAGCCAATGTTCCGAAGACGTCTTCGAAGAGGCCATGGACTTCTTCGAGGAGACCAGTCAGCGTCTCCAGCCGTTTGCAAATGTCGATAACGCCCCCATCTTGTCTCTCGAAGAGATGGAACAGGCGAGGGAAGAACCCATCTCGGCGGACGCGCAAAAATTCCTGAAGCTCATCTATCAGTACTGGGTGTCGAGGAAATCCAATCGACCCATCATGCCGGCGATCAAAGTCCGTCTGCTGGACACGACCTCGGATATCGACGATGCAGATCCGTATGTCTGCTTCCGAAGGCGAGAGGTCAGGCAAACGCGCAAAACTCGAGGTCGCGATGCTCAAATCGTCGAGAAGCTCAAGAAGTTGCGCGTCGAACTCGAAATGGCTCGAAATCTGGTCCGCATGGTTCAGCATCGTGAAGAGCTCAACAAGTCCAGCTTGGAATTAAATCGCAAAGTCTTTGACGGACGTCGCAAACTCAAGGAGGTCAAGGCGACCAAGGGTATCAAAGGTGAAAATGGGGAGGATGAGTTACTTCTCGTTAACCAAAAGGTGAGTCTGCAACCTGCTCCGAGGATTTCGTCTGTAGCCAATGCTGACGTGTCGTTCCAGCCTGCGCCCAAGGTCAAAGCTCGACAAGACTCGAGTGTTGCCCGGCCCGCCACGATCCGTCTGCGCTCTTTGGGCGAGCGCACAGCTCCAGAAGACAACCTCGTCCTGCTGTCCGACAACCTCGCCGATGCGGATGCTTTCGTCAACCGGACGATCGAGAGCCGCAAGGAGCAGCACCGGAAATGGAATGCGAACTGGCACGACCGGACATGGAACCCCATCACACCACCACCGGAGCCCGCAGACGACCAGACCAAATGGGCACCACTATTCCCGCAAGGGAACGGATACCCGACACCGCCACCTTCCCAGAAATCCGGCAGCCCGGTGGACGGCGATGGCGACATCGACATGCAAGACCGCAAGCCCTCAACGACCGACCTCGAAGACGCATCGAATTCCTATTCCCAGCAGCAATCCCGAATCCACATCGTCCAAGCATTTTCCGCCACCCCGCTCGCGCCGCTGATGAGCACCTACTTCAGCGACAGCCAGGAGACCGGCGGCAGCACAGCAGATTTCGAAGCCCAGCAGAAGAGCATCCCACAGTGTCGCGTCCGCTACGGCCGCGGCGGACGCCGCTTCCTCGAAGCCCGGCGCACGAAAGTCCGCGCCATCGTGCGCGCCGGCGCGGGGGTCGTCTCCGACGACGACGATAGCGATGACGATGATGTCGAGCGTTTCATCCCCGTCTCTGATGACAAAGTCTTTGAATATCGAATGTTGCTCAATCGCGGTGGTCTCGGCGGAGGCGGCGGCGGCGGCGTTCCGGGTCCTGTGAGGTCTGAAAGCTCCAATGGTGAGCGGCGGACAGCTGCTGCTGCTGCTGCTGCTGCTGCTGGCGGTTCGAGTAGTGAAGAGCAGCAGCAAGGCGGGGCAAATGCGGCGGCGAATCCCTCGCCGAAACCAGCTGCTGTGACGGGTAGCACGGCATGAGTGCGGGTGACGGGGAGGGTCGTTTTTGCCCCCCCTTTTTTGCGATTTCTCGTTGTCCTTTTTTTGATACCACCAATTGTTTTATCTTTTTTCTTGTAGAATTAAAAACGAAGAAAATATTCAAAACCTGTTTTACGAGCGGGCAAGACTCCTTTATCTTCCCCACTTCTCCCGGTCTGCTGTGCCCCTGCTGTGTCTTGCGAGTGGCCTCTCCACAAGTTTCCTTGCGTCGGAGTCGAGCGGCGACATGTACCATGCCATGCCATGCCATGCCACACATGCTTGCGTCCACATGATCAATCGACCAACCGCCGGTTTACCGCTTCACGCGTGTGCGCCGCGACTGGTCGCTGTCATCGTCATCCGCCATGCGTTTCACCGGCGAAGCCTGTCGTGCTGGTCCCGCTAGGCCATGAATCGCTTCATGCAGGACGCGTTCCTCACCTGCGATGAGCTGCGCGGCCATTTCTCGGCGGCGCTGGATCGGGCTGGAATTCTCCTCGTGGATGGCAGGAGGGAGGTTTGTGGGATACATGGCGAGGCGATCCGTGAGGATTGCGGTGAGGAGGTGGTGGGCGGGAGGCTCGAGGTGGGGTTTGGGGAGTTTGGATTTGCGTTTGAGGGTCGTGAAGGTTTCTTTTGGGGCGGTGAGGGTGGCCAGGAGGATGAGGAATTCGTCGGGGTATTGGGGTTGGGAGTCTTCTTCTTCGTCTCCTTGATTGTTGTTGTTTTCTCCGGAGGAGGAGTGGGGAGGGGGATGGCTGATGTCGTATGCGTCGTCGAGAACCCCTTGGTCGTCCAGGTAGGTCCATCGCTCGTCTAGCTCGGTGTTGCTGAGGTCAGTGTTCTTAGATATCGTGCTCCGGATGAGATCGGCGGAGATTTCGACGACGTCGTAGCGGGTGTAGTTGGGGGTCACATAGCCGTATCGCCTGACGAGATCAGCGGTGGGCAGCGCGCCGTAGTCGTTGAACAGTTCCTCGCCGCGGAGGACGGGCTTGATGGTTTTCATGACCACTTGGTCTTCCTGGTAGAAGAGCTTGGCGTTGTTGCGGTCGGCGTCGGCGTTGAGCAGGTCGGCGAGCGGGACCATGCCTTTGGCGGGATTCTCTTCTTCGTCGACTTCCCATTCCTCGTCCTGCGCTTGGGGCGGCTGTTGTCCTTCTGTCGACTTTTCCAGATCGAATGCGTAGGCCATAATTGTACTTCCCATGCGGTGACACAGCGCCAGGAGATCGCCGTCGCCGAGCGCCTGCGCTTGGAAGATTTCCTGATTCGATCGAACGATCGGGAGGAGTTGTTCCGCGAATGTCCGATCCGCTGCCTCTCGAGAAATTTTGTCCACTACCGCACTTCCCTGGAGCATTTGAAGCTCCGATGTCGACCAGAACATCAACGTATCAAACGACGTGGGCAGTATATTTAGGTACGCACTCCACCTCGACTGCGACCCTCGCGCATTTTCAAAAATCATCGCCAGGATGAGCTGTAGCCAGGGATCTTCAATGTCCGCCAGCAACTGTGACGGGATATCGGAATTCTCTGCGGTGAGGATCGCGGCGCGAGGAATGGCGAAGAGTTCCTCATCTTCGGCGAGGTCTTGCAGGGCGACTAGAAGGTTTCCACCGAGAATGTATCAGTCGAGCGTGTTGGCACAGAGAGGACGAAGAGAGTCCTCGCTCAGAGTGGTGGATGGGTGAGGATTACCGACTCCACGACCGGCGTGACGATCCCGAAGATCTGCAATGGTGATTTTGTCCGAGACCTTCGCGCCGGCGTGTTGCAGCCAGACGGAGAAGGACTCGGTTGCGGCTTGAAAGACATCATTCGCCATGGTGTCGGTGTGTACCGAATTGAAGATGGGGTTGAGATGATGTTGTTGATTCGTGACAAGGTCAGAGGCCGAGCGTCAGAGTCAGAGATCGAGCACTTAGAGAAACGAATATTACCTGTGGGAAAGGTGCTACGGGATTCCTAGCTCGATAGCTGGGTAATTATTGCCCATTGCGAAATGTCACACACACGCACAGTCTGATATTACTGCATCAGGTGTGTTCTGCACAGTACCCGGCACTTTTTTTTGGCGGGGACCCTTGGATTTCGCCCATATTCCGCTCTCTCCTCTCACCTCTCTCTGTGGCTGCAGCTAAGAACGGCCGCAGCCGGTATCGACACTATAACATCACACTCCGGCCTCGTTGCCCACCTGTCAACAGAAATTTACCTAGGTAGGCAAGAAATCTATAACTTCACTGTGCCCGTACGTTTGCTTTCATGTATCACGCCGAGGAGGACTGCAGTCCTTCGATTAATTGATTGTGCTGTGTAGGCGTTCCCCAGAAGTCGCAGTCCAGCCACCCACATGCGACACGAATCCAATGTTCTGCTTCGACGACGACTCGTCACCCGGGGCCACGAGCATTCACCGTAGATACTGGTTGCTGTGGAAGTCATCTCATCCGATGTCTACATGACGCCAAACAGAGCATCGTGTCTTCACGAGCGTAAGATGGGCAGGTTGACTCCCGCCAAGCCCTCGAACCGGTGTGCCATTCGCGGGTAATTTCTGTGTCTTGCCATTGTGTCGTGGTGCTGCAGATACATATCAGAACAAGTCCAGCTTGAACGGATATCGAAGTCCTTCTCCTAGGCGCTCGCTTGGTAGCAGTCTTGCGGGTGATGTCTGCATTGATCCCCCCCTCATTCTCGGAAGACGTCGTGCGACATCCGCCCCGGCTCTCCTTCTCTCCATTGCCAAATTGGATCAGCCACGATATCCCAACGGTGGGATGCACACACAGCATCAATGAGATCACCAGTCCCACTTGGTTGCAGAGAGATTGCGACTACGCAATAGAGGTTGGAAAAGCAGTATGACCCAGAGCAAAAATCGGAACGTCGGCAGCGTTCGCTTTGTCAAATTGAACGCCACGAGCGTCGTACCATGCCCAGCACACAGTGTTCCCACATTGGATTCCCATCCGTGTGACTCTCGATCAACAGCGAGCCATGGGACTGGCATCAACAGGAATCGTGGCATCCCAGATGGAGCGTACACACGTGTAGATCTTCAGGAGAACGCTCTTGTTTAAATGCTCGTCCTTGACCCGTCATGTGTAGTTCTGTCTCATCACTCTCTCCTCCAACTACAATCATTTTTCCCTCCACGAAAGAAACAGCAAAGATGGTTTTCACCGAACTTACCAGCAAGGATGACTTCGAAAAGGCGATCAAGACCGAGGGCAAATACGTGATCGTCTACGTCTACGAGGGTGCGATGCCTCCGCAGGCCGAAGAGTAAGTTGCGAGCTGGACCTGCCTAACACCCAGATACGGTGGAATACGACCAGGGTCTGACATCCGGCTTCATCAGATACGCCGCCAAATTCTCCTCGTCAACAGCGGCCTATAAACTTGATAGCAACAAGTACGGCGCAGCCAAGGTCAGTTCATCTTCTCGATCCAGCTGGTTCACCCGTTGTGATGGACCCCCGGAGTGCTCACGATGCATCGCAGGAGTATCACAAAGTCACCACTCTCCCCACCGTCATTGCCTTCAAGGACGGCAAGGAGATCAAGCGTGCGACAAACGAGGCCGAACGCAAGGAGCTCGCTGCCACTTTGAGCTCGTGAAAGAGGTCGGAACGAGGCTAGGAGGAAAGTTCGATGGGAGACGGCTGGGTCAACCCGAAGATCATTGTTGAAGGACATCTTCTTCCTCTCGGAATGAATTCCAGGCGCCTGGGAGCTTAAGACAACCGTATGCAATGTTCGTCAACCATATCATTAATTGATCACCTTCCGGCCATGGATGTCATCCGTACAGAGCGTGAATTCAAGAATTCGAGGCTCTTTGTGAACGTTCCCATTATGTGCATGGTCGCATCTCGTGCGGGTGATCGATAGTCCGACATACGTCATGAAGACATATTCGTTGAATATCAAGCCGATGAGGATAAATTCGATATCGGCAAGGTTTGTCCTGATTCGACTGTCCGCGCATAGTATGTCCCCGGTAGTGTTCTGGGTTTGGAAGACGGACATGCATAGCAATGCCTCGAAACGTGGAAGCTGTAGTGTGCAACGGAAGAGCAAACGCGTGAATCTCCACGCAACATCGTGCCGCAAGCACTTTATCTTTCACGTGTCGACGCGTCTCGTGTGTCCAGGCATCAAGCCAATCAGAACCCTGAGGCACGCGTCAAACGCCTCCCCCTCCATGAATGAACGAACTCAGGGCTTCGGCTTTTCGCGAATTTATGCCTGCGGCTCTGCGTTGGGGAAGTGGAAGTGGCAAACGAGGATCCGCGACGGACGACTACCTACCTGATCATTTTCCAATGTCGCTCAGTCTTTTTCCTTGACAACACCATCTCCGACTCACTGCCAGCAAATCGACAACTAATTCACTTTGCCCTTTCGCCAAACTTCGACACACATTTGCTTTTCCTGGCGGGTGATCACTCAACATCACCATGGCGAGAGCCAAAGCGTCTGCTGCGCGCAAGACTTGTACGTTTGGCAGAGCGCAAGATTAATCGTATCCTATCATGCTGACGTTGTGGTAGCTGATGTTCCCATAACTCTAGCCGCTTCGAGAACTCGCAGAGGCAAGGCAGCAGCTTCGAGCACACAACCGTCGATCGCCAACACTTCAGATATTGACGACGACGAAGATGATCTGATCACAGTTGCTCAGCCTACAGTGCAGCGGCGTGTCATGGAAGCTGTCGTCATCCCAGTCATACGTCGCTCGGCATCTGGCAAGCTTGCAATCGACAGTGCTTCGAACAGCTCGGTCGAGGCAGCATCAATCGCAAACACCTCCATGGAATCCTCGCCAGACTATGAGACTCCTGCCACAACGCCTGGTGACCTCCGCAGTGCTTCGAAAACGACAAAACGAAAGCGATCAGCACTTGACCAGTGCGCAACTCCTAGCAGTAATAAGGCGACCGCGAGTACGGATGAGGCTTTGGCTGTCCAGCTTCAAGAGGAGGAGTATGACTACTTCCAGGCCGGCTCGTCTAAGCGGGCCCGAGTTGTCGTAGACGACAGCGACGACATTGACAGTGTTTTGAGCGAGCCCATGTCAATCGACTCGGTCCAGCCCGCAAAGCGCCAGTCGTCGACGAAGCAGTCTGTCGCCGACCGCGAAGTTGTGGGAAGACGCACGAGTCGCAGGGCAACTCGTAACACCACGGAAGTCAGCACATCGGCTTTCGACGACGAGATTGAAGAAGCCATTGATGACAGTGAGCTATCGGAGTTGGAAGAGCTTAGTGAGTTCGAGGATGACGAAGCATCCGCTGTTGGATCGGAGGACGAAGAGCTCGAGAACAGCGACATGGAGCCTGCGGGCCCTGTCGCCGCAGCTGAGGATGCGACCGAATCAGAGCAAGCCTCAGCTCAGGCTCCCGCTCGTCGTCGTCGCCGCGGCCGCCAGTCCGTCAATTCACGCAATGGAAACAGTACAGAGGCTCGGCGGCAGCGATTCCGCGCGCGTTTTGAAGCTATGAGGTTATCGCGCAAAGATCGTGAGCGGCAAAAGCTAGAAAAGTCGCATCCTGAGATTAAAACAATGTGGAACGATCTCGAGAAGATACCAGTACTCAAGCCAGACCCAGTTGCACAGCCAGTGAGCATCAATCGACAACTCAAATCCTACCAGCTGGAAGGAGTAGCTTGGATGATTGCGCAAGAGAAGAGTCACTACAAAGGAGGGCTGCTCGGAGACGAAATGGGAATGGGCAAGACGATTCAAGCCGTATCATTGATCATGTCTGACTGGCCTCAAAAGCAGCCAACGCTGGTCGTTGTGCCGCCCGTGGCTTTGATGCAATGGTCAGCTGAGATCACCGAATACACCGATGGCAAGCTCAAGGTCTTGGTGTATCACGGCCAGAACAGTAAGGTCAAGAATATGTCGCTCAAGGATCTGAAGAAATTCGACGTCATCATGATCTCTTACAACAGTCTCGAGTCGCTGTACCGCAAGGAGACGAAAGGATGGAGTCGTGGCGAGGACATTGTCAAGGAAGACTCATTGATCCACGCCATGCATTTTCATCGTCTCATTCTCGATGAGGCGCACAGTATCAAGTCACGCACCACTGGCGTTGCAAAGGCCTGTTTTGCGCTGAAGGGCACATACAAATGGTGTCTGTCGGGTACTCCGGTCCAGAACCGAATCGGCGAGTTTTTCTCGTTACTACGCTTCCTCGAAGTCCGTCCGTTTGCGGACTATTTCTGCAAGCGATGCCCTTGTTCTATACTACACTGGGAGCTCGACGTTGAACACATGTGCAAGGGCTGCAAGCATTCTGGGATGGAGCACGTCTCCGTGTTCAATCAGGAGCTGTTGAACCCGCTTACTCAATCCGAGGAGGTCGCTGATCGTCACAAAGCCATGGAGAAGCTCTACCTCATCACAGCTCGTATCATGCTTCGTCGCATGAAGCGCGACTATGTAAGCTCCATGGAATTGCCACCGAAGGAGGTGGTCGTACACAACGAATTCTTTGGTGAGATCGAACGCGACTTTTCCTCCAGCATCATGAGCAACACAGCCCGACAGTTCGACACATATGTCTCTCGTGGTGTGATGCTGAACAACTATGCCAACATTTTCGGTCTCATTATGCAAATGCGTCAGGTGGCCAACCACCCCGATTTGTTGCTCAAGAAGCATGCGGCGCAGGGACAAAACGTGCTAGTGTGTAACATCTGCGATGAGGTCGCCGAGGAAGCCATTCGCTCCAAGTGCAAGCATGACTTTTGTCGTGCATGCGTCAAGAGCTACGTGCAGTCCGTGGAGGAGAACGACGGAGAAGCCGACTGTCCTCGTTGCCACATCCCTCTCTCCATTGACTTTGACCAACCCGAGATTGAGCAGGATGAGGACGTGGTCAAAAAATCATCCATCATCAACCGCATCAACATGAAGGACTGGACCTCGTCGACCAAGATCGAAATGCTCATCTATGACCTGTGGAAACTCCGCTCGAAGAAGCAAACGTTGAAATCGATCGTCTTCTCGCAATTCACATCCATGCTCCAATTGATCGAATGGCGTCTCCGCCGCGCTGGTTTCAACACGGTCATGCTCGACGGTTCCATGACACCCATCCAACGCCAAAAGAGCATCGAGCACTTCATGACCAACCCGGACGTGGAGATCTTCCTCGTGTCCCTCAAGGCCGGCGGTGTCGCCCTCAACCTGACTGAAGCCTCCCGCGTCTTCATCGTCGATCCCTGGTGGAACCCTGCTGCCGAGTGGCAGTCCGCCGACCGTTGCCATCGTATCGGCCAGAAACGCCCCTGTGTGATCACGCGCCTGTGTATCGAGGACTCGGTCGAATCGCGCATGGTCTTGTTACAGGAGAAGAAGGCTAACATGATTAACGGCACTATTAACAACGACAAGACTTCGATGGAGAAGTTGACGCCCGAGGACATGGAGTTCCTGTTCCGCGGTACGTGAGAGCTACGGATGTTGGAGCAGCGGCTCTATTGCATTTTTACTCTATTCATTTCCCTCTCTTCTTTATGCCGTTTTCTTTTCTTTCTATGGCTACTTCTAGGGCGGGTGGGATTTGTTCACGACTTGTACGTTGTGACGCGGTTCAATGTTGGGCGGTATTGCTTTTTTCTTCTTCTTCACGGGAAGATTTCTTTCTCTTCTCTGCGTGAATGTAACATTATCCCGTCGCTCGTTATTCTCATGATGATGAGGAGAAAGAGGAGTCGACATCCTCATGGTGTCCTCCGTCTCTCTTATTACAAATGACGTTTCCTTGGACGATTATGGATTGCTCCAAGAAGGATCACCATACCAAATCAACCTTTCACCCTCCCGATGTGACAGAAGACATTCTTCTCTCTCTCGAAAATGTGATCCGATCTGAATCGCCGCTTGACAAAACTGTACTCCTGCTGTCCCTGGAAAGGAAAAGAATGCCCGTACGCGCTCCTGCCGATCATGCGCTTTTTCAAAATCCGACGCTTACCTATACACGGACAGTCACCTGCACTGCGATTCCTCTCGAACGTCATACTGCGGAGAAATAACCCTCTACAGAGGATGATGGTGCCGGTGTACTTGGGAAAACCCAGAGCACGATGACTGGCAGGTGCCTTATCGCTACAGTATGATCACACTGCCCAGGTGCAGGTGGTATGCATACGAGACGGAGTAAGCATCGCGCGAGGAGAAAGATTCTCCGGGTATTTTTGGAAAGTCCATGTTTGCACCGTACCCGACAGGGAGGCATGTACAGTACAAGCATTTCGTCTCGCGGAGATGTGACAGCGCAACACCCGCGGGATTCGTCTTTTGGTCTCAAATGGGTGCCAATCGCCAAGCGAAATTTCCGTCTCATCATCACACAGCCAAGACGGATGTCTGCGTCCTTTTGCTGTTCATCTGTCGAGTTGGGAGGGGATCCGATGGGACTCTCTCCAGGAGCACCGTTTCTCGGATCGGGAGGGAGAGGGAGAGAGAGAGATGATGGTGATGATTTATATGCAGTCGAGATGATTATTATAGTCTTGGGATGGGCGTACAGTATGTTCGTTATTTACACGATATGGCTGGCACACATGTATGAACATCTGGCGCGAACGGATGGCTCCATGCCGCATGGGATCTTGAGCCCGGAAGAGAAGACCAAATGCTGAGCTGAACGTGTGTTGTCGATCATCCTCCACTCGCCTGTCTTTATTTTCTCCGGGAAACATCCCTAGAGAGCGTGGGATGGATGGGGAGGAGGGCCGCGCTTGATTCCCTCGAAACACGCCCGTGGCATCTTGGCTCTCTCGGCGCTGTGTTGTACTATTTCCAACGTCACCATCATCAGGCTGAATACCTCAAAACGATGAGCTCGCGCACTATGTATATTTTCCTCTCAACAGCACGACGGCATGGTAATTATTGTCGTCCGATCAGAGGACAGACTGATGATGCGAGTGCTCGGCAAAGGGACGACGACGACGATGATGATGCAGGTGCAGCGGGAAGGATTCGAGGCCGACGTCCCCCTCTTCCGTCATCGTACAGTTCGCTCACTCATCTACTGCATGTTTCTCAGCCCCGGTCTTCCACGCAGCATCACGTTTTCATATCGTCCGACCATATCTGCCGACGATCCGTCACATGCTGTACTTTGACCCACGCGCAGTGACAGGTCCTCCCGCCGACGATCGCCATCGGTAGCATGTCCTGTTTCGCCTGTCCTCTGATCACGACATCGACGTTCAATCAAAATGACCGGACACCTACTGAGAGGGAGCCTCGTGGTCTCCGCAAGACATGCGTGATGCTCCTCCGGATTCCGTCGTCATCACCAGCGTCGTTTAGCTCGTCGAGGAAATCCTGGGTTCATGCGCGTTCCGCAGTCCTTCCTTTTCCCTGCGTCGTCGTTCAGCCACGAGAGAAATCCCTTCGCCGAGCACTTGTTCCCAGCTGGGAGGTTTTTTTCGGGACCATTCCCCGAGAGGAGGACACCTCAACGATGCAGGCCAAGACGTGCTAAAAATTATCACCGTTTGCTTGTTTCCCAGCCTGGGCTCCGTCAGATCTTGCGGTCCAGTGGAACTTTGTGCTTTTGTAGGATGCACCCTTTCGGACTATTCGGGGAGCGATGGATCCTCTCGCGCGCGCGTGGGAGTCGTCGGTCCCTGGACGGCCCTTCACCTGGGCGCAACTCCCAAGTAGGTCGACATGGCACGATTCATGGTCGGGTTTCGTTTGTTGTCCTGTTTCATTCGTGTGTCTACCTCTGCACTTCGCCCTTGCTTCGATCTCTCCTTCTCTCATTTCCTCACCATACGTGCACTTGCCATATATGCTTGACCTTTCTCAACCCTTCATCTCGCCTAACGTGGCTCACACTAGTGGAATCAGATACGATTCGTGTGAGATTTGACTTCATCTGTCTGTGAACCGGACAAGACCGTGAAGAGAAACAATTCGATTCCTCAGCCGTAAGCTTGGTCCAAGATGGCATTCTCCTCCCGGAGGACTCTCCGAGACACATTCCCAGACCATACTGGAAACGACGTTATTTCAACTTCTTTCGAACGGACGCACGATGTCATACCGCCCTCATTCACAGCCTCTAGAAAATCTTCGGCTTCCAGTCTAGAGAGTCCAAGCCCACAGGCATTACCGCTTTTAATATACATCCATCCAAGTGTCCTGGCTTCCGATCTGAGCGACATCCCCATCTACTTCCAGTCCCTCGCAGCCAGCATCTCCTCTCGTCCAGAATTGAAACAAGCACCATTTCTCCAAACCGATCTCGACATTTCTTACCAAGTCGTGATCTCTCCGCAGGCGGATGTCTTCGCATGCGTCGAGCATTATCGCTGCGAGAAAGACCACCGCGCTCGCCACAGTGATTCCATGATCGACTCTTCAATCCACAAGCATCGTCAAATTCCACATACCTACGCCCGTCAAGGATTGCAAACTCCTCCAAGAAGCTCGTTTTCCTCGGGTTCATCCTCCTCGACTTCTCTCTCTTCATACTCATCCTCTCTGTGGTCATCATCTTCCGCTCCGTCCGGCATCTGCTCCGCCGCTCACAGTAACCTCTTATTCTACCTCGACCGTCCCGACTGGCGTACCACTGGACCGGTGCTCGTCAGCTGGGGACTTGCGAACTTCTCACGTTGTCAAGTTGATGCGTGTAGTTCCGAGGATTTGATCGCTGCTCAGACCGCCATCAATCGCGGCCGTGTCAAACTTCGTGCAAAGAGGATTGCGGTTGAGGATGTCGGTGAGTGCCTTCATTCGATCTGGGCCTCATCCGGAGGCGATGGTTGGGCTGGCTTGGAGGAAGAGGAAAAGGTGCAAAAAGAGATGTTCCGAGAGCGAGAAGAAGGAATCCCCTCGTCGTCAGAAGAGGAAGATCAAGATCAAGGTCAGGGTCACTGCAGATATCCTGAGCGTCGCATGCGAACCAGCCACGATCATCATGAAGCCGATCCTCGTCATTTTCTCCAACTGGCACAACCTCTCGAAACGCTCTTACAGCTCACCACGCCCGCAACAAGTAAATCCCACCCGATCCTCCGCCAGAATGCCGTCCCTGGCTCCACCATCCCATCACTCACCGTATGGTCATCTCGCCACGGCACCCGGATGCCCGACTTTTCTTTCGTCCTCTACCTCCCAGGAGAAAAGACCACCCATCGGCAAGACTCGCACCATTCTTCCTCCTCCGGAGACGATGACGACCTCGACAACCTCCTCCCAGAGGATCTCTCCCTCCGACTCTTCCGCGCCCTGGATCTAGGAATCCTCCAATCCGTCCCCTGGCGTCTCGATGTCTTCAGCCATGCGCCCACTCTCCACCACGCGGTCAACCATTATCGCGAGGAGAGGGCTTTACGCATGTACACAGCAGCCTCGGCGAATGACCTGACTGCTTCCACGAGACGACAAGACATTCCTCCTCCGCTGCATTATGCACGTAGTCCATATCTCCGCTTCCGCTCGGTACTCCTCCTCGCGGATAATACGACGGAGATCACGAGCCATATGTCGCTTTTGATGTTCGATCCCGTCGCCTCACTTGACACCACACCGACCGAGCATACTGAAAAGTACGGAGACGACGACGACGAGCCCCCTCACAGCGATGACACCGATGACACTTCTTCCGATACCGACGAAGAAATCCATCTTTCCTCCCCCTCGTCCCGCGACCTCATCTCCCTCGTCAAATTCCGCCTCGGCTGCAGCGGTTTACCTTGTGATTCCCGACGACCACTCGGGCAAGCGGAGACACCTCGTCTCAGCCGGGTCTTGTTTGCGCTCTGGGATATTTGCCACTCTTCTGGGATCAACAAGCGGCCGGGGACGAGATCCGTGAATGAATTGCTTTGGTTTTGAATTTCCATTGTACAGTTAAAGTGAGCAAATGCCACAGCGAATTCTATGATGTTGAAGTGTCCAGCTTCTGCAGTTTGTACCTTTCCTATTTGTATAGCTGTGGCTCCGCTTTTGATCGAGGTCAAGGTCAAGGTCAAGGTCCGAGTCCAGACTTTCTCCCACTCCCAACACTGCACATATGGATTCTTCTGTCTCAGCGTAGTGAGACAACCAATGCTGCTGACCACGGACGTGCTGGGGAGGACTTGTGGCTGCTAATAACAAACCCAAAGCCTTGCTCCACACACACAGGCCCCGGACTAGATATGCATATCAGGGGGCGCTTGGCTGCTGGCCGTACCAACGCTGCGGGAGGAATGGCGCGTGGGAGGGTCGAATCGGACGAGATCATCTGTCCCATTGGATGTGGTGAATCTGCCCGTGGACATCGGGCCCGACCGAGATCGCATGAGATGAACGGCGATGAATGTGTCCCAAGCCCTAATGGCAATCGGGGTGGGTGAAGCTCCTGTTTACCGCGTCGGCCTCGCTGCGGGCCGCTCGCGACTCTGGCTGGTGGCTCGACCTAAACCGGACACGATGACCCTGAGTGAGTGAGCAAAGAAACGGCAGACAGCGTTAGGGACAGCGTTAGGACAGACTGGAGGAGCAGCACCACTGGACTGGAGGAGAAGCAGAAGCGTGTCCCAGGGCCCTGCTTCTTTTTTTTATCCCTGAGAGAGCTGTATTCGAGGGTATTGCTGGAGAGAAGAGGAGACTCCCGTGGCTGGTCTCACACACACACACTCTCTCTTTCTCTCTCGCTCACTACTGCATACGGTCCAACATTTAGCTTTACACCTGGAAAGGTCACCGTTTGTTTCAAGTCGTCTTCCTTCCACTACTCTCCCTGTACTATTACTCCCGCATTGTCGTCGCCGATTACCTCCTTCTCTCCTCCTCCTTCATCATTGTCGCCCATCTCCTTCTTCGTCCCGTTCCTCTCTTCCTTTTCCCAATCCTTGCCAGTGCTGCCGCCACTGTTGCTGTCCTCACCAGCGCGGGCGTTGGGGAGAGTTAATCATCCACCGCTGCTGCGTCCGAATCCCAGACTGTTGCCATCTCGACTGCTCCGGGCCGCGAGCTCTATTCCTACCATCGCTGACGATTCAAGAAGACCCATTTGACATCGGAGAGGTCCTGTTGCAAAGGTCAACTCCGGGATCATCGGCAGTAAAAAGAGCAGGCAGGATAATAGAAGGGATCACACGCGGATAAATTCTGAATGACGACGAGGGGAAAGAGTTGCATTCTTCCTTCCGCCAGTTCGAGTTCCTGCGCCCGGCTCCCATCCTTCACACGAATTGCACGATCATAAACCAGCCATGTCGAATACGTATGATGTCGGCACCAAGGCCTGGCAGCCCGACTCGACCGAGGGCTGGGTCGCCTCGGAGGTCACCGCGAAACAGGTCGATGGAGAGAAGGTGACTCTGGTTTTTGCCTTGGCAAATGGCGAGGTAAGTGCACGTTCTTGGTGCAGAATGAACTGCCCCGGATAGGCCGAGTGCCAGCATACGGCGACAGTTGCTTACAATGGATGATCTCGCAGGGCCGCACGGTTGAGACCACGCAGGCCGCCTTCCAGGCCGACTCGATGAGCTCCACCCTTCCGCCTCTGATGAACCCGGCCATGCTCGAAGCCAGTGACGACTTGACGAACCTCTCACATCTTAACGAACCGGCTGTGCTGCACGCCATCAAGCTACGATATGCGCAAAAGGAAATCTACACCTACTCGGGTTTGGTCCTGATCGCGACCAACCCCTTCGCACGTGTCGACTCCCTCTATGTCCCGGGAATGGTTCAGGTATACACTGGCAAGCCACGTGCCTCGCAGGCACCGCATTTGTTCGCAATCGCTGAAGAGGCTTTCGATGACATGTTGCGGAATGGCAAGAACCAGACCATCGTCGTCTCTGGTGAATCCGGTGCCGGTAAGACAGTCAGTGCCAAGTACATCATGCGCTTCTTTGCAACCCGCGAGCCGCCGGATCAGCCAAACGCGCGACCGCGAGGTCGTGTCGACACCATGAGCGAGACCGAAGAGCGGATTCTCGCAACCAACCCGGTCATGGAAGCCTTCGGTAACGCAAAGACGACTCGAAACGACAACTCCTCGCGTTTCGGCAAATACATCGAGATCATGTTCAACGAGAACACCGACATCAACGGCGCTCGGATACGGACATACCTGCTGGAACGCTCACGATTGGTCTTCCAGCCACTCAAGGAGCGGAACTACCACATTTTCTACCAGCTCGTTGCCGGTGCCGACGATGCCATGCGGACCGAACTCGGTCTCATCCCGGTCGAGCACTTCGATTACTTGAATCAGGGAGGCTCGCCCGTGATCGCCGGTGTCGACGATGCCAAGGACTTTGCAGAGACGCGTTCCTCGCTTGCACGTTTGGGAGTCGCGAATGAGATGCAAACGGGCATCTGGCGGATCTTGGCTGCTCTGCTGCAGATCGGTAACATCAAGATCGCGGCTTCGCGTAACGAATCACAATTGGCGGCTTCAGAACCGGCGGTCGTCAAGGCTTGTGAGTTGCTCGGCATCGACGCAGCGGAGTTTTCAAAGTGGACCGTCAAGAAGCAGCTCGTCACTCGCGGAGAGAAGATCGTCTCCAACCTCACTCCCCAACAGGCCACGGTTGTGCGAGATTCCGTCGCAAAGTACATCTACTCTTCATTGTTCGACTGGCTTGTCGAGACCATGAATGCTTTCCTTGCATCCGAAGAGGTTTTACAGCAGGTTCAATCGTTCATCGGTGTACTGGATATCTACGGTTTCGAACATTTTGCCAAGAACAGCTTCGAGCAGTTTTGTATCAATTACGCCAACGAGAAGTTGCAGCAGGAATTCAACCAGCACGTCTTCAAGCTTGAGCAGGAGGAATACTTGCGTGAGGAGATCGATTGGAAGTTTATCGATTTCAGCGACAATCAGCCGTGTATCGATCTCATCGAAGGCAAGTTGGGTGTCCTCGCGCTCTTGGACGAGGAATCTCGATTGCCCATGGGCACGGACGAGAGCTTCGTGAACAAGTTACACCACAACTACGCCAACGACAAGCACAAGTTCTACAAGAAGCCTCGATTCGGCAAGAGCTCCTTCACCGTCTGCCATTACGCCGTGGATGTCACGTACGAAAGCGACGGTTTCATCGAGAAGAATCGCGACACTGTGCCTGACGAGCAGCTCGAGGTGCTGAAGAACAGCTCAAACACCTTCTTGGGAGAGGTTCTGGAGGCGAGCGCACTCGTCCGGGAACGGGACACCACCGCCATGGCACCAAAGGCTAACGGCGCGCCGAAGCGGAGTGGACCCAGTTCTGGACGCAAGCCCACCCTTGGAGGCATCTTCAAGAGCTCGCTCATTGAGCTGATGCACACCATCGCTTCGACAGAACCTCACTACATTCGTTGTATCAAACCGAACGAGGGCAAAGAGGCATGGAAATTCGAGGGACCCATGGTTCTGAGCCAACTTCGTGCTTGCGGTGTCCTCGAAACCGTCCGTATCAGCTGTGCTGGTTACCCTACACGATGGACCTACGAGGAATTCGCCATCCGCTACTACATGCTTATCCACTCCACACAGTGGACCGCTGCCATTCGGGATATGGCCAATGCCATCCTGAAGAAAGCACTCGGCGAGCACAAGGCAGACGGAACTGACAAATATCAGCTTGGTCTGACGAAGATCTTCTTCCGTGCTGGTATGCTCGCCTTCCTCGAAGATCTGCGCACCAACCGCCTGAGCGATGCGGCGATCATGATCCAAAAGAACCTCCGCGCGAAATACTGGCGTCGGCGGTATCTTGAAGCCCTCAACAGCATCCGGACTTTTCAGGCCCTCTCCCGCGCGACCATGGCCAGGAAAAGGGCAGACGAAGCTCGACGACAGCGAAGCGCCACGACCATCCAGCGCGTCTGGCGCGGACAGAAAGAACGCAAAAGGTTCCTACAGTTCCGCAACGATTTCATCCGCTTTGAAGCGGCGGCCAAGGGCTGGATTTGCCGAAAGATGATCCTCGACAAGCGATACTCCGATGCCGCCCGCGTCATCCAGCGCTCGTGGCGATCACACCAGAGCATGCGGACCTGGCGCGACAAGCGCCGCAAGGTCGTCCTCATCCAGAGCTTGTGGCGTGGTAAGACCGCGCGTCGCGGCTACAAGACTCTCCGTGAGGAGGCCCGTGATCTTAAGCAGATCTCGTACAAACTTGAGAACAAGGTCGTGGAGCTCACCCAGAGCTTGGGAACCATGCGGAACGAGAACAAGACGCTCAAGGGCCAGGTGCAGAACTACGAGAACCAGCTCAAGAGCTGGAGAGAACGCCACACTGCTTTGGAGAGCCGTACAAACGACTTGCAGCGCGAGGCCAACCAGGCTGGTATCACCGCCGCTAAGCTCGACCAGATGGAGGCCGAGATGACTCGTCTCCGTGCTACATATGACGAGAGCACCGCCAGCATGCGTCGTCTGCAGGAGGAGGAGAAGGCCCTCCGCGAGAGCTTGCGGGTCACAAACCAGGAGCTCGAAGTCACACGACAGAGCAAGACTGTCAGCGAGACCGAGAAGCTCAGCCTTCGTCAACAGCTAGCCGACCTCCAGGATCAGCTTGAGCTTGCCAAGCGTGCTGCACCCCTCAACGACATGACCAACAGCGTTGGCATCAACACTCTGGGTGGCCAAGCTTCAGGTCTGATCAACTTGGTCGCATCCAAGAGGCCGAAGCGTCGCAGCGCTGGCCCTGAGCAGATCAACCAAGACCGCTTCAGCGGTGCGTTCAACCCTCGGCCTGTGTCCATGGCCTTTGGCGCGATGAACACTGCTCACGCCTCTACCTTGTCAGGCTCGACGTTCAACCCTGGTCTCGAGAATGTCGAGATGGAGCTTGAGAACCTCCTCGCGGACGAGGATGGCCTCAACGATGAAGTCACCATGGGTCTCATCCGCAACCTCAAGATCCCCTCGCCAGCTTCAACTCCCCCACCAACGGACAAGGAGGTTCTCTTCCCGGCGTACCTCATCAACCTCGTCACCAGCGAGATGTGGAACAACGGTTTCGTCAAGGAGTCCGAGCGCTTCCTTGCTAACGTCATGCAATCCATCCAGCAGGAGGTCATGCAGCACGATGGAGAAGAGGCCGTCAACCCCGGTGCCTTCTGGCTGTCGAACGTCCACGAGATGCTCTCCTTCGTCTTCCTGGCCGAGGATTGGTACGAGGCGCAGAAGACGGACAACTTCGAGTACGACCGCCTGCTCGAGATCGTCAAGCACGATCTCGAGAGCTTGGAGTTCAACATCTACCACACCTGGATGAAGGTCCTCAAGAAGAAGCTGCACAAGATGATCGTCCCCGCCATCATCGAATCGCAGTCTCTCCCTGGCTTCGTCACCAACGAGTCTAACCGCTTCCTTGGCAAGCTCCTGCAGACCTCCAACGCGCCCGCCTTCAGCATGGACAACCTCCTCTCGCTGCTGAACAACGTGTTTAAGGCGATGAAGGCCTACTACCTCGAGGACACCATCATTGTCCAGACCGTCACCGAGCTCCTCCGCTTGGTCGGCGTCACCGCCTTCAACGACCTGCTCATGCGCCGAAACTTCCTCTCGTGGAAGCGCGGTCTGCAGATCAACTACAACATCACCCGCATCGAGGAGTGGTGCAAGTCCCACGATATGCCGGAGGGCACCTTGCAGCTCGAGCATCTCATGCAAGCCACGAAGCTGCTCCAGTTGAAGAAGGCTACGCTCAACGACATAGAAATTATCCAGGACATCTGCTGGATGTAAGTTCCTCATGCTATCACCCCCCTCCACTTCCACTTCTTTCGCTAATCATTCATCTTCCGCACAGGCTCTCCCCCAACCAGATCCAGAAACTCCTCAACCAATACCTCGTGGCGGACTACGAACAACCCATCAACGGCGAAATCATGAAAGCCGTCGCGTCGCGCGTCACCGACCCCAAATCCGACGTCCTCCTCCTCCAGGCCGTCGACATGGAAGACTCCGGGCCCTACGAAATCGCCGAGCCCCGCATCATCACCGCCCTCGAGACCTACACCCCCTCATGGCTCCAGACCCCGCGCCTGAAACGCCTCGCCGAGATCGTCAGCGCCCAGGCTGTCCTCCAACAGCAGCTTGAAGCCGGCGGCGGCGGTGGCCAGCAACCTACTGGCCTGGGCTTTGTCAACGGCAAGGGCGAGGAGAGCCTGGACGTCTTCGAGGGCCAGTGGCCCGCGGTTCCTAATGGTAATGGCCGGAATGGCTACTCGAGAGATGTCGTCAGCGACGAGGAAGACGACGAGTGAAGGGGTGGATAGGACCCATCTGGTCCTTCCTTCTTCTTCCTTCCGCCTTCTCCCTCAACTGGTACTACTATGATAAAACGCGGCAAGACCACAGCAGGACCGGAGGAAATTTGGCGCTGCTTTCGTGCCATGGTTCTTGTGTGCGCATGCCCTCCTTGTATCTATGTCCTTCTGCTGCACTTGGGGAGCCATTTTTTCTTTGATGGCGATGGTTTCTTGACGAGGGACTCGGCCTCTCTCTCCCTCTCCTCTTGGGGCCGGGTTCTTGAAACCCCTTCTTACTCTCTGGTGTTGTGCTATATTTACATGTACGAAACCTCTTTTTTCTCTTCATCTTCTGATGATGAACTTGGGATTTCTAACAGGAGATTGTGAAAAGATGTGTTCTAGGTTGAAGTGGCTTTCAAGCTGATCTTGTCATGTCATGTCTTGCCAATAGCGCGGTCTTCGCCCATGAGAGGAGTGTCTTGGGTAATGAAAGTATGTCAGGATGGAGTTTCAAAATGCTGCCGTAGTTGCTGCGTTGATTTTAAAGGATTCACGGCTTCTACATAGTCATGCTGCCACAGTCATGCCTATATTTGTACGTATGGCGTCGAGAGATGCATCGTGTGCTTAAACATATGCTCATCGCTGGTGAGGATTGGATTGCCGCTGCTCTTCTCCCGGATCCGTCTGTTCGTGAAGCTGACGATATCGAATTGGTCCGAGCTCCATGCACGTCACGTCCGCCCAGCTTGACGTGTGTTGCGAACGATCCGCCATAACGTCCAGATGATTGCTGTGAAGACCGAGTATTCAATGTACCGGGGCATGTGAACCCACCAAATGGCGTATAATACCGTCGGCGGCGGCCAGGACGACGCCGCTCCGCCCATGTTCGATGTGCAAAAGGTCCAGCTACGCTTCGACATCTCCGCCGACTTCGTCGCCGCGCAAGTCGCGAACAACGTCCTCGTCCTTGCGCTCTCCACCGGCAGGATTCTACGCTTCGACCTGGACAACGATGGCGACATCGACGACATCGACTTGCCGAAACGACCACAGGAGATCGGTGTGATCCGCAAACTCTTCCTCGACCCGACAGCCTCGCATCTCTTGATCAGCACCACCGCCGGCGAGAATTTCTACCTCCATAGTCAGTCGCGGCAGGCGAAACAGCTGGGAAAGTTGAAGGGTGTGCAGGTGGAAGCTGTGGGATGGAATCCTAGTCTGCCGACTGCCTCGACGCGGGAGATCCTCCTCGGCGCAAGCGACGGCAGCGTGATTGAGACTTTCATCGAACCGCATAGCGAATTCCTCAGGAATCACGAGAAATATGCGAGGGTGGTCTACAACACGCAGGATGGAGCCGTGGTTGGGATCTATGCCGATTTGTTGTCGACTGTGCCAGAGACGAGAAGGGTGCTGGTCGCGACTCAGAGCAAACTATTACATTTCGCAGGACGGTCCAGTGGAGGGGGCCGGAGGGGTGAAGGCAGCGGGACGTATGCCAAATTATTCGAAAGCGAGGCGCCTTCGATACACGAGAGTCCAAGAGCATCAGGCACGAATCCTCCGTGTCTATTGGCGACATCGCCGGACATGCCAGACGCGTCACAGATTCAATCACCGGATGCTTCACACACAGACCGAACATATGCCTGGCTCTGCGCGCAGGGCGTGTTTCACGGCAAGCTGCAGACATCAGCGCCGGATCCGGCCAGCCTTGGAAGACAGGTGTTTGCTGCATCGAAACTCTTCGCCTCTTCAAAGCTGCCGCCGACACAAACATCCGCAGGCAGGAATCGTGCTACACAGCCACCGATTTCCTCTGCAGCTTTGACTCAATTTCACGCTCTTGCTCTTGTCGAAGGGCGGATCACGGCTTTCAATCGGCTGGATTCGAGTATCGTCTACAACCAGCAAGTTCTGGAACCGGGACAGACGAACCTTGGTCTATTCGCCGACCACCAGAAGAGAACATATTGGCTATTCACATCTCAGGAGATTTTTGAGATCGTTGTGACTGATGAGGCTCGCGACATATGGAAGATCCTGCTGAAGCAGGGCCAATATGATCTCGCACAGCAGTACGCCAAGACGGGCGAGCAGAAAGATGCCGTCGCTTCTGTCACGGGCGATCATCTCATCTCCCGTGGCCGGTTCAAGGAAGCTGCAGTCGTCCTCGGGCGAAGCACCAAGGCTTTTGAGGATGTGGCTTTGAGTTTCATCGACCATGGCGAACAAGATGCCCTTCGACAGTACCTCACCGTGAAGTTATCGACGCTGAAGAAAGACAGTACCATGCAACGGATATTGCTTGCCAGCTGGCTGGTCGAGCTTTATATGGCGAAGCTGAATCAGCTGGACGATACTATTTCCACAAAGGCCGAATTGGCAGCGACTGGAGGGACCGCTCTTGCGGCAGCGGCCGACATGACTGAGCAGCTACCTTTGGTCCGGAACGAGTTTCAGAATTTCGTTTCGAAGCACAAGGGTGATCTCGACCGAAAGACGACATATGAGATCATTTCTGCCCATGGTCGGGAAGAAGAGCTTCTGTTTTTCGCAAATGTGGTCGATGATTACGACTATGTTTTGTCATATTGGGTCCAACGGGAGCGGTGGGTCGAAGCGATGACTGTGCTTAAAAAGCAGATTGAGCCTCAGATGTTCTATCGCTACAGCACTGTCCTCATGGCCCATATGCCTGCCGAGATGGTGGATATCCTCATGCGTCAAACCGATCTCGATACAAAGAAGATCATCCCCGCCCTCCTCAACTACAACAAGACCCACGCAGAGAGCGTACCACTTCGCGAAAACCAAGCCATCCGCTACCTGCAGTACTGCATCAACCACTCCCACTCCACCGATCCCGCCGTCCACAACACCCTAATATCCATGTACGCCGCCCATCCCGCAAACGACGAGACCGCGCTCCTCACCTACCTCGAAACGCAAGAATCCGCCCACGAGCAGAACTACGACGCCGACTTCGCCCTCCGCCTCTGCATCTCCCACAACCGCGTCCAAAGCGCCGTGCACGTCTACCGCACCATGTCCCAATACGCCTCTGCCGTCGACCTCGCCCTCAAACACTCCCAAGTCACCCTCGCCGCCTCCGTCGCCGACCAACCCTCCCACGATCCGGCCCTGCGCAAAAAGCTCTGGCTCAAAGTCGCCAAAAAGGTCATCTCCCAAAACACCTCCATCAAACCGGCGATCGAATTCCTCAAGAAATGCGACCTCCTCCGCATCGAAGACCTGATCCCTTTCTTCCCCGACTTCGTCATCATCGACGACTTCAAAGAGGAGATCTGCTCCGCGCTGGAGGAATACTCCCGCCAGATCACCCAGCTCAAGACCGCCATGGACGACTCCGCCCTCACGGCCAAGAACATCGCCGCCGACATCTCCGCGCTGGAGTCCCGCTATGCCATCGTCGAGCCCGGCGAACGCTGCTGGCGCTGCCGCCTGCCGCTGCTCCAGCGCCAATTCTTCGTCTTCCCCTGCCAGCACGCCTTCCACGCGGACTGCCTCGGCGAGAGCGTGATGCACGTCGGCGGCGCGGCCAAGGCGAAGCGGATCAAGGAGCTGCAGAGGGTCATCGGAAGAGGCGTCGCGGTGGAGAGCAAACGGGAGGCCATGGCGAGGGAACTGGACGGGCTCGTGGCGGGCGCCTGTGTGCTCTGTAGTGAGATGGCGGTCAAGATGGTCGACGAGCCGTTCGTCACGGAGAAGGACGATGGCGGCGAGTGGGCGGTGTGATTCTGTAGCCCTGAATGGAAAAAATAAAACGGATCGATGCTTCTACTTTTTTGTTTCTTTCTCTCGCACCAATTCGATCGTTCTCTTTCGAGAGATTCTATAAACGAATGGTTGAAATTCGACGGCGCAGGACGTCGGCAAAAGTCCAACTCCGTCCGACTCACGTCCAGACACTATGGATTTCTGCTCTCGACAGCCTTCCCGCCGAGCCGAACCGAATGTAAATTTCTCCACAGCACGATCTCCGGAAACGAGCAGTAGATGCACGATGCCGGAACCACGAGACATCCTGAATGAGCGATTGATAGGAAGGACTCGTCCTCTACTTCTTCTAATCCCATAGATAAATCACGTTTATTGATCATAACTCTCCGCCTCCATGTCTTTGATCGGCAGTGACTTCCAACAGGAGTGAATACTCCCAAAGAATGAAAGAATAAGTAATGTAAGTAATTTTTAAGGAAGGTAAGTAAGTGAACACAACCGAAGTGTTTTAATGATACAAAAAACGCGAAGGGAGAGGGAGAGGGAGTAATGCGATGAGGACTCCTTTCTCGTCACCCGCTCTTATCCCTTTTTCTTCATTCATCTCTCTTTCGCGGTCTTCCCTGCCGGAGGAACTCCGTCGCTCCGATCGGACCTTCCCTTCTATTCCCGGAGTCTCTCCCGATTCTATCACAGTCCCCATGCATGTACCAGACATGTCGCCCTCCACCCATCGGTCAAATCCAATCGAATCGAATCGCTCACCCGTGGGCGGTGGAATGCCCCGTACACAACGAACCCGACACAAAAGCCCCCAGCACAAATCTCTCTCTGACAACCGGTCGTACATGCTCATCATCATCGTCGTCGTCATCGTCATGTGTCAACCAAGCCAAGCCAAGCCAAGCCAAGACAAATCATCAATCGATCAGTGCATCTCATCACCGCCTCGATCCTCCACCGTCTCCCCTCCCACCAGCAGGAGGCCCCGCATCCCTCCTCTCACCGGCAGCACCGCCCTGTGGCGGCGGGCCGGAACCTTGCTGCGGCGGCGGGGGGGCGGGATAACCGGCATAGGCGGCGGAGGAGGGGGTATTCCGCCCGTACAGAGGACCGGCGGCGCCGCGGTCGGGGTCCTCCCCCCTCGCGACGCGATCGCGGACGTCCCGGAGGTCCCGGAGGTCCGACGAGGGGTGGTGCGCGTGCGCGTGGTGCTGCTGCTGGACGCTGGCGGCGTGTTGGCGTTGCTGCTGCAGGCGGCGCTCGGCTTCGTGCATGGCGATCTGGGATTCGCGCATGGCTTCGGCGCGGAGGCCGCCGCCGCCTCCGGCGCTGGAGGTGCTTGCGTTCGGAGGAGGGGGGTTCGAGGCGGGAGGGGGGTTGGTGTAGCTTGATGTGTGGTAGGGGGAGCCGTGAGATGGCGGCTGTTGTTGTTGTTGTTGTTGATGGTGGGAGGGCGGGCCGCGGGTGGAGTAGGCGTGTTGTGGTTGGCGGTGGTCGAGGGATTCCTGATGCTGTTGTTGGCGGCGGCGATCGACTTCTTGGTGGCGGTGTTGTTCGAGTTGTTGATGCTGTTGGCGCTGTTGGTGGTCGTGTTGTTGTTGACGGTGGAGGTCCATGTGACGATGTTGCTGCTGTTGCTGCTGCTCGAGCTGTCGGTGCTGCTGTTGTTCATGCTGCTGCTGCTGTTGGCGCTGCTGCGAATGGGGATCTTGTGGCTGGTGACGGAGATGCTGTTGCGATGCCGCATCGGCGGGATGTCTCAGGTGCGCCTCGGCGTAATGCCGTTCCGCGTCGGCCGGGTGGTGAGGTTCTCTCGACGGTGGTGGGGCGACATCCTGCCGGTGATGGCTGCCGTAATATGAATCCCGCTCGCGCTGGTCCATCGGCGCCATGCGGCTGCGATAGGGATCCTCGGGGCGCTCCTGCGGCGCGAGTTGCTGAGGCGGTGGGCCACCGTAATATCGCTCGCGCGAGTGCATACTCTCGTGGACATGGTGCGCACGGCTGTGTTCCTGCATTGGAGCCTGCGAAAATGGCGGTGGCGGAGCGGCTTGAGACATCCCATAGGGCGTGGCGTGGATCGGTTGAGGCGTGCCATGCGCGCTAGCAGGTGGAGGAGCTTGACCGGGCTGTTGACCCAGTAGCGAGCGATGGTCACGAGGCGGCGGCGGCGCTGACGGGCCCGTCGTCAACGAAGGCGTGCGGGAATGTCCGTAGGGCGGTGGCGAGGGGTTTCCGCGGGAACCTTGCGCGAGGTTGCCCAGAGCTCCACGATGCAGGTAGCTTGGGCGCATGTCGCGTTCGTGGGCAGACGGCGGAGCATCGTGCGGCAATGGCGCTGCCGACTGTGAGAACTGTGGACGGTGCATGTGACTGCTCGTCGCCGGCGGCGGCGGCGGCTGAGCATAAGGCTCCCGGCGACTGGGCTCGACCGTGCGCGACCCATACGCACCAGGGTATCTCCCGGTAGTTGCAGGCGAAGCCGGGCGCGTGGGAGGGAGAGCGCTGTCGCGCATGACGCTGACTCGTGGGGCCGGTTCGGGGTCCGAATTAAGGATGCTAGAAAGATTCGATCGCTTGGGCGGTCCAGGAGCTGGTGTGGGAGCAGGTGGAGGCACGATCTTTTGCTGTGCCTGAGGCGGTGGGGCCTGCGCAAGACCAACGGGATCGATTCTTCCGAGAGACTGCTCCCCGAGCGGCGCGCGCGAAGCCACCGATGCTGAAGCACCCGAAGACACTGGAGGCGCGGGATACGACGAAGCTTGCTGCTGCTGCGACATCCAAGGATGCGAAGGGGCAGGTGCGGCGGACTGCGGCTGGAGAGGAGTCTGGAACATCCGCGGAGGGCTGCCGGGGGCCTGGCGATCATCGAAGAGCATACGGCGGTCGTGGACAGGCGGGCTGTGATGCGGTCGGTTTGCCGGGGAATGGCGAGCCTGCACCGCAACAGGTGGGACTTGCTGCTGCTGTTGCTGTAGTTGCTGAGACGCCGAAAGCGGCGGCTGCGACGCCTGCGAGGCAGATGGTGCAGGGGGCTGCTTCTGCTGCTCGTATAGACGGATTGCCTTTTCGCGTTCCTCGGCAAGGGCTTGCAGGAAACCGGGATCGTTCGCATTGGGGATGTCGCGACGGTGAAGATGCTGCGGAGGGGGTGCATGTGTGGTGGGCGAATGAAGGGCTCCATGCCCGGCGACTGCTGACGGCGGTGGGACGACAGAAAGAGGCGCGACAGCAGCGGACGTTGGTGGAGGAGCGGGCTCCTGCTTGGCCAAACGGAATCCAACTGTAGGCTGGAGACTTGGACGAGGATCCGGTTTGATATGTATGCCACCACTTCCCAGAGATTGCTGCGATTGCGGGTATGGACGTGTGTGTGAGAGGGTAGGAGGGGTCGAAGACATGGTCGTGGCCGGGGTTGACGCGGTGCCGAGAGGGCTCGGGACGATACGATGGGCTTGAACGGGCGTGCTCTGAGCGGGTGTAGCATAGCGAGGTTTGTTCCCGGTGAACTGCGGCGGGGAGGCATGTTTCCCGACTGCAGCAGCCGATGCAGGAGGATGCGCGCCTGATGATGGGTTATGGTCGTCCAGGTCCATGGCATCGGGGTTGTTGGCATTCGAACGCGGCGTGCGTTCTTGCGGCGGGAGCGCGGTACGGGGGTTCTCGTATTTCCGCTTGACGATAGGTGTCGGTGTGGGCGGAGCACCGATGCTCTCGCCTCGTTCTTTGCGCGCGTCAGCTTCGCTTGCGAGACGCCGGAGCTCATCGTTGCCACCACCATCGACCTGCCGCTGATAATGATTCTTAATCATGACCTGCGTCTTGGTGCCCATGTGAGTGGCGATGGCGTTGAAATCGGTGCCGAAATGCGCGATGTAACGCTTGAAATCTGTCTGCTCGGGAACGGACCAATAGCTGTTAGCACCGGATTTGCTTGAGGCCGCTGATGCAGCGGCAGCGGCAGCTTCGGGGCCCGCCTTGATGCGGGCGGGCTCATCCACGGCAGCCGCCATGTGGATCGGGAAGGGCTCCTGGTGGTTAAGCATCATCCGCTGGCCTTCGGGATGCATCATGGCCGCCGTGTGACCTGAATGCAGACCCGCCAATAGATTCGCCGCTTCGAGATTCTGGGCATGTAGGACTTCCTCCTTGGTCGGCATGACAGGAGCGGGCGGCTGATTCTGGGGTACAGGCGGAGCCAAGGCGGGAGCCGCGGCGAGAGCAGCAAGATGCGGTGTCTTGGCTTTCCGACCAGGCTTCTCACCCGTCCGCCTCTTCTTGGTGACCTTCTCAGCGCCGGCATCGCCATTCCCATCGTTCTTCGACGATGCGGTCTTCTTGCTCGGCGAGGGCCCGGTGAGCGCCAATTTCGACTCGAGTTCCTTATCCGCGAATGTCGTCGGCGCAGCAGCCCGACGCGGTCGACCCGTACCTGATTCGGCTACCGGGGTAGATCCATCCTCGGTTCGGTTGAGATCGGCCATCAGCGCCGAACCCCTCGACACGCGAGGCTTTCCGCCTCGTCCACGGCGGCCACCCTTGAACTTCTTCGCGCGATTGTCGCGGAATCGGCCGTCCCACTTGTTCGTGTAGTAGTGATGGATACAGTCCTTGTACGTTCGGCCAGGCAACAACGAAGCGATCTCGCCCCACTTCTTGGGCGTATCTTTGAATGCCGCGATGAAGATGTTTTGCTCGTTTTCGCTGAAATTGTCGGCAGGGGGCTCGTATGAGAATACCACAGTGAGATCGTCGGGATGTCGCAGTCGGTTCGCATCGATCAGGTGGTCGCGGTTGCACATCTCCACGAGCTTCTGATCCGGGATGACGGCCTCCTTGAGCATGTCGGCTTGGACCTTCATGGCTTCGCGCTCCAGCTTCTCCTGTTCAATACGAGCCGTCTCCTCGGATTGCTTGAGCACGAGTTCCATCTCATACTCGCTGCTGAATTTCAGCACGCGACGGCCTTCAATGGGCGCAGTTGCCAAGGGAGGAAGAGAGAGATCTCTCTCGGAGGTCGGTTCGATGGACTGCTGTCGTTCCAGGTTCTCCTGAGCCTCCTGGGCACGTTCCAACTCGCGACATTCGTCCTTCCATTTGCGATACAGGCGTCTGAATTCCTCCTCGGCTTCGTACTGGGCATCGTCCTCGGCCCGAACATCATGCGTCAGCTCTGCCATGATATCTGCATCGCGTTCGACAAGAGTCTTGATGTTATCATGAAAGACGTCCAGTTCTTGTAGAGGCACAGCCTCCTGTCCCTTGATCATGAACGGAAGCTCGATAGGCTCAGGTGTCGGTCGCCGGAGACGGCGCTTGGGCTCTTTGGTATCCTCGTCAATGTTGTTTGCGCCACCGGGCAGATTATCACCGTGCGGAGTCAAAGCGCCTGCGCCCTCGCTGCTTTCCGATGAATGGCCTGTGGGTGGGGCTGCTGGCTTGTCTGTAGAAGCGGGTTGTTCGTCGACGTCCATCTCCTGTTCTCGCTCGGCGATGCGCTCCAAGTCTTTGACCGATATCCGGGCTAGACGAGCAATGGATCCCAGCGGTGTGGTAGCGCGATATCTCGATTCGCTGAGGTCGGCCTTCTGAGATCGCAATTCTCGCTCCGCTCGCGCGTGCTTTGCTTCGAGCAGAGTGGCGTCCTCTTCTTCGTCGAGTTCATCCTCTTCGCTGCTGGTGTCGACTTCATCGTAACCTTTCTCAACAGTCTTACCAAAGAAAGATTGCGCCGCGGAATGGCCTTCCTGCCCGGCCGAAGCACGTCGAGGGGAAGTGTCGTCCACATCCATGGCATCGTCGTGAGGTCGGCCGAGCTCTGACCGTCCAGCATCCCTGTCTTCGGATTTGATCTGCGCGTCGTTGTCCGTAGATGTGCTGGGCCGAGAGGGTTGTCTTTCCTTTTCGTCTCCGTTGGCGTCGCGCTTGGCAGGGATACCCGGTCCCAACTTCTCGCTCCCATATGAAGGAGGCGGTCTCCTCCATTGATTCCATTGGAGATTCCGTGGTCCCGATGGAGGTGCAAAAGCAGGCATCGTCGGTCGATTCTGCGTGGGCGGACCGCGATCGATGGCACGCGGTGCGATCGGCAGAGCCCCGCGAGGCCCCTTCGGCGCATTAGGTATGCTCGAATGAGTGATTTTGGGAGAGACACTGAAGGATTGCCTGCGCGGACCGAGTGGCGCAGTAGGAGGGGGCGAATGAGCAGGCTGAGAGCCACCGTGACCGTGGGCCATCCCTTCCAGTCGGGGTGAGGTGAACGGAATTCGAGGAGAGTCTGGTCCCTGTACGGGTAGACTACGAGTAGCTTTAGGCCCAGTGGGGATAGCGGGATCGGCGAAACGTGCGGGCTGTTGCAAGTGAGGCGATATTGATTTGGAGGGATGTGGGAGAGGCTGCCGTGCAGCTGTGGGTGAAGGCGGCATAGATCCAAGGTATGCCGAAGGGCCTTCAGATGACGGAGGAGGTGCATTGCGAGCCAGGCTCTCCATGGATTTCACACCGTGTAGTCGCGGCGGCATGGAGTAATCGCTACTGTGTGAGCGTTCAGCGCGCGGTGCAGCTGGCGCATTGGCAGGCGGTCCAGACCTATCTTGTGTGGGACCCTTCTCGAGAGTGTCGTGTCTCGGCAGGGAATCTGCGCCTTCCTGAACGGTCGGTCGCTCACTCTCCGCCGGGTGCTCTGAACGAGCCGGCTTTTCTGGTGATGACGGCGGTCTTTCGGACCTCTCTGGATGGGGAGCTTCTGACCCTTGCCGTGTAGGCTTATCCTCCGCAAAGGGCTTTCGGGTCTCGACAGGACTTTTCTCCAATGATGACACAGGAGGTTTGGGTTCTGCAGGTGTCGACGTCTCACTCTCGGCGGGCGATGGTTTAATTTCCATCTGCAGCTTGGACGGTTGTGAGGGTGTCGGCGGCGGTGCAGCCGATGGCATTGCGAAACTGAACGCCGGCACCGGTGGAGCTTGAGTCGGAGGACTGGAGCCACGAGACCCATATCGATTCGCGATGGTCTCTGCTCGACCGTTCAAGTACGCAGGGGTCTCTGATGATGGTGGATCTCGACGAGCGTCTCGTGCAGGCGGCGTGGCCTGAATGGTAGAAGGCCGTCGAGCGGCAGTGTCGGTTCCTGTCGTGCTCTCGATAATGGCCAGTCGCTCCGGATTAATAGGAGGAGCTGCAGGTGCCGGCGAGAAGGCAGCGGAAGCGCCGGTCAAGGACTCGTTCGATGCCCTCGGCTCTAATCGAGTCACCAACGGCGGCGGCGGCGGCTCGCGTCGCATGCGATCCAAGTCGCGCTCTCGATCTGACCATTCGCCACCTCGGCGATCCTCGTCCCGTCGCTCGGCAAACCGGGGACGCTCATCGCGGCGATCTGCGTCTCGGCTGTCGCGTGAAAGATCGCGAGCGAACCTTCCGGGTGGACTACGGTCGCGGAAGATAGGCTCGCGGTCTCTATCGTCGATGGGCATACGCCGACCACCCCGACCTGGGCGGTAGTCAAAGTCGCCACGACCCCGGCCACGACCGAATCCGCCTCCCCGCGCCGTCGGCGTGAACGGCGAATTTTCCGAGAAATTCGAGCCGGCGGAGAGAGGTCCATCGCGGGATCCACGACGTGCACGAGTGGTGTCGAGGTCCCGGGGCGGGAAGTCACGTGCATCGCGGATGTTCCGCGGAGGAGATCGATTCCGCTGCAGCAATGGCGGCGGCGGCGAGGGACGACGATCATAATCGCGATCTCGAAACGGACGGCCGCGATCGCCGCCACTCAGCGGCGGGGCCTCACGCAGGACACGTGGAGCGGTGTTGGGACCTCCGGGCGGGCGTGGACCTCTTGGCGCGTCGGACACGGGTCCTCGGTGGGGAGGGCCTGGGGCGCGATTCTCAAAAGCGCCTATGGAGGATTGACGCCGGTCGGCGGAGAAACGCGAAGGCGAACGAGATCTATCTCGAGGAGGACCGCGGCCATAATCGAAGCCATTATATCGTGACATGAAGGCGCCTGCACCTCGTCAAGGGAATATCGGGCGCGTGTGCGCGCGCGTCGTGATGAATCGTGTCAGTATGATGGGATGGGAGGAGTTATGAGATGAAGGCGGGCGGCGGCTTTTCACAGACCCATCCGCCGCGGGCCTGAGGATCCTGAAGATGGACGAAACAATGCTGAAGAGACCAGCAGAGGCAGCGCGGCGCTGTGAGATGGATTTCCGGCGGCGTGATGATGATGACGGGGTGTCGTCGTTCTCCAGCTATAGATGGATGTGAATGCGTGTGAGAGGGAGATGCATGTAATGTCGTGCGTGTGTGTATGAGTGTGTGCGCACTGGTGATGGAGGAAAGGGAGAATCGAGAAAACGCCCCCAGCAGAGTAGCGCAGCAGCAGCAGCAACAGCAGCAGCCAAACGGTACCGGTAGCGTGAGAGGATGGATCGCAGGTGAGTGGCCGTTCAATTGTCCATTGAATGGTTCCCGCCCGCTACGGCCCGACGGGATTTCGAGTGTGCTGGTATCGCGCGCGCGTGTGTGGGTGTGTGTGTATGTCACACAGAGCCCGAGACAACGGTGATGGTGTGGAGAAGGTGGACAATCCGTGAGAATGCTGACAATGACGATAATAACGATGGTGTTGATAATGATGACAGTGTTGATGAATAATAATAAGCAGCCGTGCACCACGGGACTGAAGTACAGCAGAACAGTACGTTCCTCGACGGTCAGTGATGGATTAATTGACAGGACTGGCGGAATGGCAGGAAGATCAGGAGTATCATCACATGGACAGCCGAGAGGGAAGAGAAGATGTTTCACCACCATTTACGCGCTACCGCAGACTACTCTGGCCACTACTCTCTGGCCTCTGCTGTAACAGTCCGGTACAGTCCAGTGCAGTACAGTACAGTATCAAGGCACAAGGGACAAGACGAAGACGACGGCGACGACGGCGACGACTACGACAAACGCTGGAAACGGGGGCTCGGGAGCATCCTTGTTTGGTCCTGGCTCTGGCTCTGGCTCTGGCTGCTCTCTGCCTGCCCTGATGACTTACCAGGTCACCATATCGCACTAGCTCCAGATTGATGATGATGATGATGATGAGGTGTCCCTAGGTCGGCGTGGTGCGTGGTGCGTGTGCGTGCGTTTTTATCCGAGGGAAGCCTACTAGAGTTGCCTGCGAAAGATGGTCCAATCACACGCCAGCGAAAGCCTCGAATTATACAACCAGCACAGCCCAAGATGCCGGGCGCACAGGGATGGGGCTGTAGGATGCTATGTAAGATACTATGTAAGATACTGTACCAGGATACCACGCGTATATACGAGAAGACGAGAGCCTGAAAAGGCACCTGAGAAGAGTCGTCGGATTCGAGAAGTTAGACTCGGTACACGTCCTGTGCATGTGCAAGAACGATGGTGCAGTGCAAATGGGAAAGATGAAGAAGCGATGGAAGGAGAAGCAGAAGAGGAGGAGGAGAGGGAGCGGTCGGGAAACCGATCAGGAAGACACAGGCAGAAAAGAGAGAAAAGACGATCACGAATCACACACACCCACACACACCTGCATGTATGCACAAAGCACAATCTCTGCCCCTAGCGTCTGCGCCACCCTGCAGATGTGATGTGTGGACGTGCATGTGGAACGGGAACGGACCTGGAGGAGGAGGAGGTGTGGGTGACTGTGGCACAGTCCAGCGACCAGCCTGGAGGGAGGGAGGTTTGCCTTCTCCCATCATCGTGGCGGCACCTGCAAAACGCCTGATTATGTAACAGGGAAAAAGACCCAAGACAAAACAGGGCCGAAACACCATTGCGACACTAGCCACACACCCTCTTCCATTTTCCCTTTGGGTCTTCGTTCGGTCCCACCCACGCCATGATCCATGATCCATCATCAGTCATCATCACCGTCGCCTTCGTCTTCTTCTTCTTCTTCCTCTTGCGCACGTCCCGGCTCCGGGAAAAGGACGAGGATTTCGAGGTTGTGGCTCCCACACACACCCGCCCGGGTCGACCAACCACCATTCGCCCTCCACCCGCCGCCCGAATCTCGCTCGTTTGGCGATGATGGGTGAATGAATGAATGAATGAGTCGCAACCGCTTTGTCACGGCGTCTACGGCCATCATTCGTTCCTGGCCATTTCAATCATGGCATGGCAGTGAGATATGGCTTGTCCCACTTGTTTTTTTTATTTCACCATCATGGGATGTTTGATGGTTTCAATCCGGGCGCATACAGGAGCACCACGTGGTCAATTTGGCGTCCACCGAGTGTAACGCAGAGGAATCGCCAAGTACATATCCGGGCTTGCCACCGATCCAGAGCGAGCACTGATCTCGAGACGTGTGAAAACGGCAGATTTACCACGGATATGATTGATATGGCAACAGAGCGGGAGAGGAGGAAAGTGTAGAGAGAGGGCGAGGGAGAGAATCTCCAGCAATATTCATCACGGGGCTGCGGTGGCCTGCAGATGGGGACAGATGGGGGATCGCACTAGCGAAACGAACCGTCTAGGATTTTCCGAGATTCCCTCATCGTCTCATCAATCGTGTCACAGACACAGACACACACGAACACGCACACACACACCCCGAGCCGCCCGCCCGCCCGTCGTTCCGTCGCCCGTTACCGGGAAGAGTCTCTGCCCTGGGAGAGAGAGAGAGACAGAGACAGAGAGAACGACACGTCACGTGCGTGGACTCCACACCAACCGAGACAGAAGGATCAGGTCTGCCTACTGTTGTATGTACGGTAACATCATCCATCTGTGTTGACAGCGCATAGATCGATACGTAACCCCCTAACGATCATGGATTTGTATGCAGACGTGCATGTGTGCATATGTGCGTCTACATGTACCTCCGGAACCAGGAAGGTCCAGTGTAGCCGATACCTCACGAGAGCTCCGGGGATGCACCTGCAGTAAGGTATACGGGACTTGTGGTCTCCCTTCGAATGCATTCCTGATTACTGTGTGCGCACAGCCGGAGCAGCGTTCTGCACTTGAAAGACTCATAACCTCGGGACGCCGGCGTGGAAACCTTATTTCCGGCCCCGTCACGTGCGCTTTTGCCGGTTGCTTCCAAGGCGTCCACGGGTGTGTGCAAGGCACGCAAAGGTTACATGTAGGGCTTCTTTCGGAGCCTGAGGCATACATAGATAGGTTTCAGCTGGCCCACCTGGTGCATGGTGGGGAGGAGACGCCATCCATTCACGTCACGAAGGACGGGCATCGTCATGATCAGATTTCGAACCGAAAATTTCCCTCAGACGGGGACTACTATATTCTTCATTCGACACGTTCGCAGGATGTCAATGTCGACCAGTCGGATCCACATCTCCTCCTAATCCCAACAACATATAAATAAAATCACACAATGGCCGACTCCGTCCCGCCGTCGACCACTCCTCCTGCAGCAGCACCGACGGGTGCCACCGCTGCGGTCCTGAAACCTTCCGATCCGGTCCCTCAAGACTCGAAACCGGTGCAGGGCCTCGAATTCGATGATTTCTTCTCCAAGGGACGAAATGTCAGCGCGGCGGAGATGGTGGAGAATTTCGCCCATATGGGGTTCCAGGCTTCGTCATTGGGCCGAGCAAAGGAGATCGTGGACGGGATGGTATGTCTTTCTCACTCGTTTATTCCTCGTCTCCCGCTTGGATTGGAGCGTCGATCGATCCTCTAGCGGAAGTGAGGGACATGATGTCGTGAATGAAGAATTGACTGAGGACAAGATGGTGCATTGTGAACTTCACAGCGCACTTGGCGAGATCCCGAAACCGGCGACAAGACGACCATCTTCCTGGGTTACACGTCCAATCTGATCTCATCCGGCCTGCGAGAGACCATCCGCTGGCTGGTGCAACATAACCACGTCTCCGCCATCGTGACCACCGCCGGCGGCGTCGAGGAGGACTTCATCAAATGCCTGGCTCCGACCTACCTCGGCGACTTCGCCACGGCTGGGGCCGGGCTTCGCGCCAAAGGCATGAACCGCATCGGGAACCTCGTCGTGCCGAACAGCAATTACTGCGCCTTCGAAGACTGGGTGATGCCGATCCTCGACCAGATGCTCCTCGAGCAAGAAGCCGCGCGGACCCAACCCGCCTCGACCGACGACGACGACGACGACGAACCCTTCTCCTGGACGCCCAGCAAGGTCATCGCCCGCCTCGGCCACGAGATCAACGACCCCCGCAGCGTCTACTACTGGGCGAGCAAGAACTCGATCCCGGTCTTCTGCCCGGCGCTGACGGACGGCAGCCTGGGCGACATGCTCTACTTCCACACCTTCAAAGCGGCCGGGATCGGCCGCCACCTCCGCATCGACATCGTCGAGGACATCCGGAAGATCAACACCCTGGCCGTGCGCGCCCGCCGCACCGGCATGATCGTCCTCGGCGGCGGCCTCGTCAAGCACCACATCGCCAACGCCAACCTCATGCGGAACGGGGCGGAGAGCGCGGTCTTCATCAACACGGCGCAGGAGTTCGACGGGTCGGACGCGGGCGCCCGCCCGGACGAGGCGGTCAGCTGGGGGAAGATCAAGGTCGGGGCGGAGAGCGTGAAGGTGAGTTTCTATCTTTTTCTTTTCTTTTCTTTTTCTTTTTTTCCTTTTACACCTTTTCTCCCTCTTTTTTACCACCCTTTTCTTCTTCTTTGCTATTCCCCAAGTCCCTGGGGTCTCGCGTCGGAAACCAAAAGGAGTCGGAGAGAGGTTTTGTTTCTTTTTTTTTTTGGAAATGTCGCGAGCGAGTTTCTTCTTCGGGACTGACGAGCGCTGCCATGTAGGTCTACGCCGAAGCGACGCTGGCCTTCCCGTTGCTGGTGGCGGCGACGTTCGCCCGAGTCGATTGATGGGGAAATATGGAAGAGGGGAAAAAAGGGCTTTGGTCAGTGTGGCTGCTCTTCTCCATCCAGTTGGATCCGAACAAAGACATGTTTTTCTCCTGCTATTCAGTCGGATCCGAACAAATCCATGGTCGTTGTTTTTTTGGTTTTTGGTTTTTTTGCTTCTTGTTCCTCATTGGGCAATATATGTATCGTCGGTGTCGCTGCTGCAACCTTGTTCGGGTCTCTCCCTCGACGCTGCAGGGCTGTTCCAGAATTCATGTGTGTGTGTGTGTGTATGGAAGCGCACTCCATCCATACCTGGGTACATCCCTACTACCACGGATTTCTTACCCCAGACTTTTGTGACCACCAGACTACCAGACTACCTAGGCGGAGAGAGAGAGAGAAGGGGTCCAGGGAAACCCAAAACCGAAAACGAATGGCACGAACTCCGCCCGAACTGCGCCTAGTGGTAGCTCAGCCGCATCTCACGGGCTAAGACGCAGCAATGGATGATAGAATGCCTAGGTAGGTAGTAATAAATGGTGTATAACAGTACGGCTGGAGCTTGTGCTGTCCAGTACAAACCTTGGAATGCAGGTATATCATACATGATCCACAGCCACCACCACCACCACCACCACCACCACCATATGATCAATTCAGGTTTATCGGTCAGAGGAGAAGAGCGGAATAACATGATCATAATAACAATACCTAGGTGATCTAGTCATCATAATCAGTGCGTCCATTCATTCACACTCGCTCCACGTGACTCACCCACTCACTCACTCACTCACTCACTCACCCGCCAGGCAACAACTGGGCGGCGGAGCGGGCGGCCTCACTAACACTATTACTACTGCTACTTGCTTACTGTACAACAGCTCCAGTACAATCACCGCCGATCGGCAGTGAAGGCATATCTGCGTCACTTTGAGCTACTGTATTGTATATACATATATATCCAACAGCCCTGTGCAGTGACACATCCTCACCACCACCAACCTTCTTCTTCAACCCTCTCTCTCTCTTCTCTCTTCTCTCTTCTCTCTTCTCTCGTCTTTCTTCTCTTCCACCTACATCGATCTGCACATCCACACATCCAACCACCAATCGACCGCTTCTCACATCGTCACTTCACATCGTCACCATGGACGAAGCACCTCCGCCCACCATACCGCCCGTCCCGACCAACGATGGCTCGCGTGATGTGCAAACCGAAGACACTTCAAATCCTCCACCCGCGCCAACTCCGCAGACACAAGACTCGCCATCACAGCACCATGAACACCCACCACCGACAACTTCTTCTTCGTCACCTCCTCCTCCACCTCCACCTCCTGCTGCCGCGACCTCGACCTCGACCTCGACAGACCTACTACCGTCACCACCACCTCCTCCACCACCACTCCCGAATCTACCGCGGACATCGCCCTTTGGTCTGGGTGCCATGCCTGGCGAAGAATCGCCCTTCGCCGCCCTCGGGGGCCCAGATCCCACATTCCTCGCGGCATTGGCGGCCATATCCGACGGGAACATCGGAGACACGCCGTCCTTGCATGCCCTCGCCGCCCTCCTCCGCGATCACACTCGAGCCTTCTTCCCACCGCCTCCGCCACGATCCAGGACGAATCCGACCGGTCTGACCCGGACCGATACACCGCCTCCGCCTCCTGCAGCAGCGAATCAAGCTGCGTCAGAGGACGGCTCCCAGAACGACGACGACGACGACACTGAAAACGACGACGACGATGAGGATGATGATGATGGCACGGGACTGATCCGTCGGAAATGGCATGCGATCGAAGAGGACAAATCAACCCCTTCGGAAGATGAGCTGAAATACATCGAGTCGCAAGAGGAGCACAGCGCATTGGATCACAGACACTGGGAGGAGAGGACGTTCTTACCGGTCGACGACCCGGAAATGACGCCCGTGGAGTCGGGTCGGATAGATTGGTTGGTGGAGCACTACAACGGTACGAGAGAGGAGCCCAACAACCAAAGGATCATGCGCTCCCAGGTGGTTCGCATTGGCGGGCTGGACTGGCAGATCAAGTTCTACCCGCGCGGCAACGACACGGAATATCTCAGCGTCTACGTCGAATGCGTCAGCATGCTGGCGCCGGACTACGCCGAGTTCGAGGACTTCGACGACCCGCCGTTCCCGTTCCTCGAGGGGGCCAAACGTGTCCAGCATCGCCGATCCGTCGCGGCGCAGATCTCGGTCGTCATGTATAATCCCGAGGAGCCGCGGTCATATGAGTTCGAAACAGAAGCGCATCAATACCACAAGCGATATCCCGATTACGGTTGGAAGTATTTCACGCAGTCGCCGCGATACAGCTTCCACATGCGACAACATATGCGACAACGCAAGGCCATCCTGGCGGACGACAAGTTGGCGTTTTCCGCGTTCATCCGCATCGTCAACGACCCGACGGGTAGCATGTGGGAACATCTGGACGATCGAGATTTGACGTGGGCGCAACGGATGAAGAGCAATGTGTGCATCACCGGATTGCGATCGTCCAATCAGAGCATGTGGAAGGCCATCCCGGGGATCATCTCGCTCCACTTCAAACCGTTCCGGGACTTTGTCCGGACCGCGGATCAAGAGCGCTTGGGCAAGGAATGGTCTCTGCATGAGCTGTGGAAGATGTACGCCCGAAAACGACCTTCATCGTCGCGGCATGGTCGGTCCTCGCGCACGAGACGGGATGTGGTGCAGGAATTCGCGGAGATTGCGAAGCGATTGAGGACGGAGTTCGGAGAGACCGATCCGATCGTCGTCGAGTGGAACAAGCTACTGGGCGATTTCGACGCGGAAAAGGGAAGCGTCTGCGGCCCGAATCGTCTCCGAACGAAAGAGCACCGATCGATCCAAGCGGCTGTCGATCATCATCCCACGCCAATCGCATGTCCCGCGCTGCTGACCTTGGAGCTGCAACGCCATGAGCACGACAAGAAAGATCGGAAGTGGAAGAAGCTCAACCATGCCGTCGAGGTGCAGGACCACATCACCGTCGACGGCCACAGGTACACCCTCTTCGCGTTCGTCACCCACAGCAGCCGCCTCCATTCCTTCCGATACAACGCGTTCGTCCGCCCGCGTGGCGTCGGTAAAGGCTGGTACAACTACCGTGAAGGCCGCGTCATCCGCCTGACCGAGAAGCAAGCGCGAGACAAACATTCCGGCCGAAAAGAGGACGCCGACACCAATCCCGCCGATGACGACACCTTCCGCTTGCCGTTCGAGCATTCCTCCTCCGACATCGAAGTCTCCTCCGCGGTCATGTATGTGCGAGAGGATTACGCGGAGCAGACCTTTGCGCCCTGTCTCGAGGAATCTTGGACTCCACCCCTTCGCAAGAAGGATCGCCCCGAGGACGCGGACGCCTCCAAGATGACGGAGAGCGTCATGGACCAGGCGGAGGACGTCACCGCCGCGAAGAGCCCTGAGCCCGAAGCCGACGAGGAAATCCCGGATGCGGCGGCGGCGGCGGCGGATGGTGTCGCGCCGATAGAGACGAACGATACCCCCGCGATCGCCGAGGCGGTGCATCAGCGTGCTGATACCGTCGTTGGTGACGTTCCGGCGTCGGCGGATGAGGCTGGGACGGGCCCTGCGACGGATGCGTCTGTCACAGATGCTTCGACGACGACTCCAACAGCGGATGCCACGACGTCGGCATCGGTGCTCATGGATGGAGAGGATGTCGTCATGGCTGAGGCTGGGGTGGGGGTTGTGCCTCCAGCTGGAGCGGTCGAGACCGAAGCCGAAGCAGAAGCCGAAGCAGAAGTCGATGCCGATGCCGATGCCACGGCGCGGGATGACGACGGTGACTCGTCCTCGAGCGATGATGGATGGGAGAGGGTTGAAAATCGTGCATACGAAGAGAACAACGACCTCGACGACGACGACGACGATGATGACGATGATGATGACGATGACGACGAGACCGATAACAACAAACAAGATTCCGCGACCAAGGACGGCGATCCTGCCGAAGCAGAAGCCTCTACCACCACACCTTCCGACAAACCCACCACCACCACAACCACCACCACAAAACCTCCCATCACGCCTTCCATCACCGACCCTTCCCTGCCCACCCACACAATCGACTGGCTCGGCGGCCCCTACTACCACGGCCAACACCACCCGTCCACCCACCAACACCACGGCACCGGCCACCTCATCGGCACGTCCGGCGACGAATACCGCGGCACCCTCCTGGCGCACCGCCCACACGGCACCGGCACCATGGTCTACGCCTCCTCGGGCGACACGTACACGGGCTCCTGGCGCAAAGGCCGACACCACGGCCCGGGCGTCCTCACCGAGGCCTCCACCGGGAACGTCTTCAAGGGGACGTGGCGCAAGGGCCGCAAAACGGGCTCCTTCGTCCTGAGCGGGACGGTGACGGACGACGACCGCGGCGTCTGTCGCGTCTGTTACGAGGGCGCCCTGGAGGTGGCCTTCCTGGGCTGCGGCCATGTCGTGGCCTGTGAGGCTTGCGCCGAGAGGGTCGCGGACTGTCCCGTCTGTCGGAGGAGGGTCGACGGGAGGGTCAGGCTGTGGGGCGTGCGGGTGTTGATGGGTTAGGTACCGTAATAATTATGGGCGGTGACGTGTTTCTTGGGCAGATCGTGCTGGAGAGGCGATGGGTGGCCTGTGTGGGATGATATGTACCATCTGGTTTGTCGTCTCCCTTTCGCTTCCTCCCCCTCTCTCTCCCCCCCTCTCTCTCTCTCTCTCTCTTCTCCTCTCTATGCTTTCCTCGTCTTTGCGAGAATGGGACGGAACAAAGGGGTTGTGTCTCTGTACCATCACCCTGGCTAGACTTGTTCTTATTATCCTCATGGGCAATGCGTGACTTTATAGTGGTTCCTGAACGCTTTTCGGAATCGTCATTCATATCGACATACTCCTACTCCTAGGACACATCTGTCCATCTCGATATGTTGCCAGTCCACTGAAAGGTGGACCGGGATGTCTGTACTCCAATCATATGAATATGTCAGGGTTGTGAAAGTGTTTAGGGTCAACGTGGAGAGCTGGCCGTATAATCCACGAGACGTCTCACACGTAAAAAGTGACAGGATTTGTCTCATGATTTACCCCATAATTTGCCCACATGCGAGATCGATCTGGAGGCGGTGGTATGCACCTCGGCTTCGGTCGCGTGCCAACGAACAACCATCATCACTTTCATCGCCGGCCCTGTACTCTCTCTCCCCCCATCATTGGCTCGAAGCCGTCGACGTCGTGAGATCCGACATCAATTCATCTCATCTCATCCCATCACCATCGACCCTTCCAATTCGGACTCCACCAAAGGAGCATTTCCCTCTCCGACTTCGATTCCCTTTCAGTCCAACGATCTACGCGACATATATGCAACACGGACACCGATGATTCGATGTTCGACGCGGTCAAGCGCTGGTTCAACCGGAACCGGAACAACCTCCTCATCGGTGCCAGCGTCGTCGGCGCAGGTTACCTCGCCGGTCAATATGTCCTGGGCAAGCTCCACGAGGCGCGATTGCGCATGAGCGAGGAGAAGATCTCCAAGGAAAAGTAAGGGACTCCACAAAAGATTGAACAGGGGAAGAGGAGGAGGAGGAGGAGAGTCGGGAGGGAAAGTGACGAGAGGAGACGATTGGCTAACGGATCCCCTTCCAGCTTGAGACGGCGTTTCGAACAGAACCAAGATGATTGCACCTACACCGTCCTCGCCCTCCTCCCCACCGTCCGCGATGAGATCGTCGCCGCCCTCCCCGTCGAGCAGATCTCCGAGCAGCTCCAACAGGAACGACAGGAACGATTACGGCGGATCGGCGCGTCCGAAGCCGGCTCGTCCGAGTTCCCTTCCGCCGCACCCAGCACCGTCGGCGACGACGGGAAGAGTCTGACGGAGAGTTTCCTACACACCAGCCAGATCGGTTCGAGCAACCCGGACATCACGGCGGCACGGCCGAGGAGGAGCAAGGCGCAGCTGTGGCAGGACATGAAGATCAACTCCATCGCGCGGGCCCTGACCCTGGTCTACACGCTGTGTCTCCTCACCCTGCTGACGAGGATCCAACTGAACCTGCTCGGTCGGAGGACCTATCTCTCCTCGGTCGTGGCCCTCGCCTCCCCGCCCAACCCCGCCCACGCCTCGAGGATCTCCCTGGAGAACCACGACGACGACAACTACGACAACGCGTACGGCAACGACTTCGAGACCAACCGGAAATACCTCACCTTCTCCTGGTGGCTGCTGCACCGCGGCAGCCGCGAGATCATGGCCCGCGTCATGGCCGCCGTCAAGGAGGTCTTCGCGCAGGTGAACATCCGCGAGGACGTCTCGCTGGAGTCCCTCGGCGGGCTGATCATGCGGGTCCGGAAGATCGTCGAAGGCAGCACGGAGGAGGAGCGCCGCTCGACCAAGTGGCTCGGATACCTCCTCCCGCCCGCCGAGGACGAGTGCTTCGTCATCCGCCAATCCGGCACCTCCGACCACAGCGGCGACGACGCCTACGCCAGCCCCGAACGATCCCCCCTCCACGAGCCCGCCGCCGCCGCCGCCGCCCCCGTCGAGGACCCCGCCGCCCTCATCAACCCCTCCCTCCGCCGCCTGCTCGACGAGACCGCCGACCTGATCGACTCCCCGACCTTCTCCTTCGTCCTCACCCGCGTCCTCGACGCCGCCCACTCGCACCTCATCGACCACCGGATCGCGATCGAGGCCTTCCACGCCGCGCCGCCGGCCCCGCCCCTCGACCCGGAGGCGCCGCTCCACGCCCAGCCGCGCATCACCGAGCTCCCCACCGCCACCTGCAAGCTCGCCCACATCCTGCCGGCCTTCTGCAAGCAGGCGCACGCCATCGCCGTCGGCTCCGGCGAGCTCGAGTCCACGCTGGCGGGCGTCGCCGCCCAGGGCGCCAACGGCCTCGCGCTGGGCAACGAATACCTCGCCGCCGTCGACCGCGTCCCCGACCTCGCCGCCTTCGCCGCCCTGGTGTACAGCAGCAACTGGGAGTACGAACCGCTGGAGTTCGCCGGCCAACAGCAGCAACAACAGCAGCAGCAGAACCTCTCGCGAGGTCCAGGAGTGGTCCCTGCCGCCGGGGAGGCCCCCCAGAGCGCGGCAGAGGCGAGGCTCCAGCGGGAAGTCGACGACGACGAGGAGATGGAGATCATCGAGATGGTCCACCAGGCCGCCGCCCGCCGACAGCACCAGCAACAGCAGCAGGAGCAGGAGCAGGAACTCGCTCTCCAACAGGGCTTCGATGAGGCCCAGGCCGCCCTCGTCCAACAGGAGGAAAGCGCCATCCTCGTCCCCCACCCTCCTCCGCAGTCCACCCGTGAGCAGCAGCAGGAGGAGGAGGCGTCTCCCCTCGGCGAGAAAGCCCGGAATGCCGCCGGCGAGGCCACGCAGGAGCTGGAGAAGGCGTGGCGGAAGGCGACGGCCGCGGCGACGTCGGCGGCGGAGGCCGTCGAGGAGCACGCCCGGGCCGCGGTGGACGAAGTCCGGGAGAGCAAAGCGGAGGACGTCGTCGTCCAGGCGCGGCAGTTGCAACAACAGCAACAGCAGGTGCCGTCGACCCGGGAATTCTCCGGCCCGGAGACTGCCGTGCCGCCGCCGCTCCTCCCCCCTCCATCATCATCATCATTATCGTCGTCGGATCCCCCCGCCGCTTCCTCATCGCCCTCGCCCTTACCACCATCATCATCAACCACGACGACGAAAACAATCCCAGCGGATCCCTCGACCACATCCCCAGCACCATCATCATCGACACCAACCCCACCATCAACAACAACAAACACCCTCCTCCCCCAAACCGGATCTCACCCGGAGGAACCTGCAAATGCAAATGCGAACGCAAACGCAAATGCCGGAGGGGAGATAAGAGAGGAGCCCAACGAAGAGCCCACCGCCGTCCTGGAAGGAGCGACGCTACAACCCCCTCCTGCTTCGACTTCGACTCCGATTTTCCCGGAAGGAATCCCGGCGGAGATCGTTGAGGCGGATGCCGCTGGTGCCGCTGGTGGGGGTGATGTTCAGACTCTCCCTGAGAAGTGAGGGATGACGATGACGATGACGATGTGAGATCTTTCAGAGATGCGGAAGAGATGAGATGGGATGGAAGTCAGAGCGGGAAATCCCAAGTCGAAGAGGGGAGAGGATGGCCTGGTCTGGCCGAGGAGTGGGAATCTCCCTTGCCTTTCTTTCTTTTTCTCGCCTCTCGCCTCTCGACGCATCGGCTGTGGTTCTGTATCCTGTATCCTGTGTGTGTATCTTCTGTGGGTCCGTACTGTATCCCTGGTGATTTTCCTCGAGGGAACTCACAACCCTCACATCGTCGTGTGCAATTACATATACAACTTCACATAACATAACATAACATAACATAACATAACATAACATAACATAACATATCATACATCCATACATGTTCTCGTCACTGCTGTTTTACTCTTTTCCGTCTTCGACCTTTTCTTTTCTTTTCTTTTCTCTTTTTCTTCCGGGATTTTCTTTTCGACCTACGACTCCTCTTCTTCTGTTTCTTTCGAGTTTGCTGTTTTGTTTTTCTCTTTTGAGGTTTCCATCGAGGAGGAAAGGGAGGGGGAGGGGAGCGGGAGTGGGTATGTATGCTTTGCGGGACATCTCGCATTATTTTCTACATGGATTTTCAACTGCACTGATGTTGTCGTTGTTGCTACTATTGTTGGATTACTGCTGTTCGTTGTTCGTTCCACAGGATGATATTACAATCTGAAGCCTAAAAGGGGGGAGGGGGCATGTCATATCGACCCCGACAATAAGATAAGAATTGATCTCTGGCAGGAGAACAAGGATGCACTGATCTTCTCATCTCTCCTCTGTCCTCTCCTCCGCGCCTCTGATTCCCTCCGAGAGCGGCGCCATTCCTACCGCTGACCGACTTCACCGCCTCATTTACCGCCATTTCTTTCCGCCCGTGCCGCCGCGAGCGAATCCATCTTCGCCGCGGCATCGACCATCGCGGCGCCGAATTTGTCCGCGGACGACGACGCGCGGTGGTATACGCGCTCGGCGACCGTGTCGTAGACCTTGGAGGGGGTGGCGGTATTGGCAGGGGTGGCTCTGTTGGAGGAGGAAGAGGATGATGGTGGATGGGGAGTCTCGAGATGGTGGCGTTTGGCGGCGCTGGGCTGCCAGAGGGATGCGAGGGCTTTCTTGGGCATGGCGGCGGCCGCGGTGGCGAGGTCGGTGGCGGTGCTGTGGCGGGATCGCCGAGAGGAAGAGGTGGAGGCTGTCGTGTCGATGCTGTGTCGGGCATTGTTGTTGTTGTCTGGAGTGGGAGTTGATGATGACTCGGCTGGCGGAGTGGGCCTCTTGGATTGCCACATGCCGGTGGTGGTGGCCTTGACTGCGTTGAAGAGGCTGCTGCGTTTTCGGGCGACCTCCGGATTTTGTCGGCCACCGGCAATCCCTGGATTGCTCGTCGCATTGTTCCGCTCGGCTGCTTTCTCCATTGCTAGTGCGTGGGTTCTCTCGGCTGCCTGGCGGACGACGCTTGCGAATCCACCTGCGGCGTCGGCAGCGTCCTTCATGAAGCCCTTTGCAATTTCTCCCCCTCCGACGATATTGGGATGGTTCCTCAACTCGGCGAGATGTTCGACTCGTTTTGTCAAGTGCATGACAACTGGACGAGTGGTAGGCGAGGATGAGGCGGCTTCTTCCCTTTGTCTTTCAGCTAGGATTCGCCGGACCTCATCTTGGTAGGCCGTCTCGTAGATGTTACATTCATGTTCTTCTAGACCAGACGGAGACTCAGAAATGACAAACTGGGCGTCAGAATCGTCGTTTGCTCCTTGAGAATCAGGTCGGTCGACGCTCGGAAGATCATTGATGCCGGTAGCGCCGGTTTCGATGTCGTGCGGTTTGGAGAAATCCGTAGTGCCCGGCCCGACATTGAGGAATAACTTGTCGGCCAATGGATCTCGCGCGTGACCTTTTCCTACCTCTTCAGGGGCATTCGGCGCGTCCAGAGCTTGCTGAGTAGGTGTGCCAGCGTCTGCACTGTCAGACTTTGCATCTTGTATACCGCCTTGGCCGATGACTACACTGTCATCATCGTCAAGAACTTTCGTGTCGTGTCGTGATGGTATTAATGTGACAGGCGTGCCGGGAGATTGCGGTGACGATACAGGCGATTTACTTGCGGCGGAGATCTTCCCATGAGAACCACGTTTCATGTCACGATGGAGTCCACTTATGACCATTTCCTTTTCTATCCCTGCTCCGTGAATGTCTCCGTCGACGCTTTTCGACTTTTGCATTGTTGCAGGTGGTGCCGTAAGTCGGGATCCCGGCCCACCAAAGAGTGTTGCAAGGATAGGTGGGCTTTTGGAAGTATGACTCTTGCCGTCGCCTTGGCGAGCGAATAAGCCATTTTTGAAACGCCGGACGGCCTTCATGACGACGAGAAGGTGTTCCATGTTTCCAGTAATGGCATAGTTGAGATCGTGCTCTGTCGGGTCCGTGATCATCGCAGCGCAGTTCTCAGCGGCCGAGAGCAGCGGAGTCGTGCCTTTCGCCGTGACCCAGGGATGAACCTGTTAAATATCCCGTCAGCATTCGAGACGAATGTAATAAGTGGACAACAGTGACGGAGATGCACAAGCTCGTTTGCGTACGATACCCACCCTGATTTCTTCCATTGTAATTCTCCTCATTGGATCCTTCTCAAGTAATCTGCCCATGAGATCTCGGAAATCGTCGTCCAGCTCTCCCGGAAATTCGACGTCATCATTGCGAATACTTTCATATAGCTCAAGGACGCCTTTCCGCTCGAACGGGATTTTGCCATATCGCAGACAATACAACGTCACACCCATGCTCCAGATATCGGCTGCTCGGCCCGAGATAGCACCGTGACGCGCGACACACAACTCCGGAGGCATGAACGCCGGACTGCCGGCCGATTTGGCTGTTTTCAAATCATCATCGCTCTTCTTAGGGTCAGATTTGTCTGCTTCGCCGCCCACAGAGGCCTTGTCGAACATCTCGCTGACACCGAAGTCGACCACTTTGAGAACATCGTCTGCTGTGATAAGACAATTGTCGGGCTTGATGTCTCGATGAATGATTCCTTGCGCATGAAGATACTCTATGCCGAGGAGAAGGTCGCGAAACCAGGTACGGCAGACGTGATCGGGATAGGGCTGAGCACGGTGTTCGTTACCAGATGGGCCATCCTCGTCGTCCGAATCGTTGGCGACATCCAATTTCATTACGACTCCTTTCTTGCACATTTCCAAGACCATATATAGGGAATCCTCAGCCGGATCATCAAGGACCTCAATCAATGAGACGAGGTTCGGGTGGTCCAGTTTCTTCATGATGGCAATCTCCTCCTTGATTAGATCCAAGGCATTGTTGTTGTCGGGGAACAGCTTCTTCAACGGCCATATGGGTGACGACTTGGAAGGTGCTATGTGATGGAGTGGTGCGTTGAAACCGCGACTTGCTGCTGGACGAGGACGGCGAAGAAGACTGGATTGTGCTCGACGGCGCAACCGCGCTTTAGAGAATTCCTTGACGGCCTGAGCAGCAAACCTTAGGTCAGCAGCACATCTTCCAACAGTCCCTCGTATCTGTGCAGCTCTACTTGTGTTCATTCTCCTTCAAACCGCGAGATTTCGTCCTGCGCAATTGTATGCTCTGCACCAGGTCTCCGTTCGAGTCTATGCTGCCGGGATGTCCGTAACCACTCACATATTCTTCCCCATACTGATCCACTGCCAAATGTACAGCTCCAAAGCTTCCTCGTCCAATCTCTTGCTTGATGACATACTGATTGATCTTGTGCACGGCCGAGCCGTCATTATCGCTGTTACCGTAATGGGTCTGCGCGTCCAGCGTTTCCTTCACAGATGTCGTGCGCGATGCGGCGCGCTTGTGATGTCGTAGCGGAGCTTGGTAGAGTGGAGCCGACCTGATCGGCGCAAAGCAGCGAAACACATGTCAGCGAAATGTCGTGCTGCGATCGTCGCGATCCGCAGGGCCTATGCAGCGCCCCCAATGGGTACATACATGTGGTGGACGGGCACCGGCCGTCCGTGAGGTAAGGCATGGTCCGGGTCCGATACGACGATGCCAACGCCGTGACTGGAAACGAAGCCGTGAGCGAATGCGGCACTTGTCGTTGCTGCGCGTAAGGGGAGTGAGAATTCGGTTCTCTGTTCCCCGCTGTCGTCATGAGTTCCGGCCATTGTCTCCGCGAGCAAACGATCTCAGGTGGGTGATTTGTCGAACATAGGAATGGAGGAAGGAGGATCCACGGGAGCGAAATATAGAAAGAGGCGTGTTACACGGCACAGCGGTGGTGATCCCACAAGCGTCGGCTCAATGTTGAAAGAGACACACGCGATGGGATTGTTAATTATGTTTAGTCCCTAGGTGGATTTATGTCGTCAGCGGGCAAAGTAATGGATGAACTTCCTTCTATAGGAATATGCTCATTTTGCGCCGCCTTTGCTAGACGGGTATATAAATTTTTGGGGTTGAATGGCGAGCTCACACAGGAGGCAGTGTTGATCACCTCAATTTGGTGCAGAAGGAGTGGTCCTGGCGAGGTTATACTGCCATTGTTCTGGCCATTTGTTGTTGTTCATGTCTCAGAGATTAGAAGATCGCGGTTTCAAGGGTCTCGCTAGACCATCTATATTTAGCCCGATGTTTAATTCTTATACCGAGGTGGACATTACGCCGCAACAGTCACTGCACCTCCTATGCCACTCGATTGTTGCACGATCTTGCAACATGCAAGCGGTATATGTATCATCTATTCGAGGAGATATTTGCGAACAAGCAAAGGAATTGATGTTGCAGTCGTGACCGAAGAAACGCGCATTGAGGACCCTCACTTGTTCAGCGAAGTGGCATCATTATATACATCTACTATATCACACCCCGTAGCCTTTCACTTTCTGTTTCGCGGTAATGCCTGTATTGGTGCCTAAGCCCGAATCACCAACGTCCGCCTTTCCTTCCGTGATATCTCCAATGCATCCCGGAATGTCAACGAGCAATACGATCCGATCCTTGTCTTTGACGGACCACATGTCGATCTTGTCCGCCTTGCTTGCACCGATGCACATGATAGCCAAGGAATTATGCCGGTCGGTCCACACAGGCCATGGATAGCTGTAGAACGTCAGCGCTATCAGGAGAAGTAGATAAATCACCAAGAGCGTGGACAGTGCTGCCTTTGCCGCTGTCGACATGGCCGGATTCCGCGTGTCCTGACCCATGTCGTAGTCAATGCTCATCTTTCCTTGTAATGTTCCCAGGCCATCCATCCACGCTTTCTTGGAAAGGAACAGCGGCCGCGTCGAAGGCAGGTTCTATGTCCCATGTATTCCAAGTGAATGTGTAACTGATCCACATCCAAACTCCAAGATGTCTTAGCGATTCAAAGTTTGTTTCCAGGGGCTTTGTCTTGCGTCAGTGGGCATGCAGGCAGTGATGGAATAGTCAGTCATAAGATTGATTTGGATAACACCTGGCGAGCGCTCAGAATAGGCCATGAAATGCACCCGACGGGCTTTTGCACCCGGTGGGGAAGTCTTCGGGTGCGAGCTTCACAACGCTTGGCCCTGGATTCATGCGTAGGATGAATTTCCGTAGCATTCCAGTCCTGAAAATAGCAGGTGACTGTGCGCATAAAGGATCTGTAAGTCGCCGAAAGTCCGAACGTGCATTGCCTCCCAATTTGCACATTGGAGATTGTTTTGATGAATCTGGAAGCTCGGCATTACCATCATTTATGGATCTAGGGCAGCGGCAATTTAGTCGTCCATGCTCAGAGATGATATTATAGATGACCTTATGGGTAGAGGGACTAGCTTTGGATCACGGAAATCTGAATTGACCGTCGCTTCCCAAATGTCTACGATATCAGTGATGCCAGTTTTATGGTTCGAGTTTGTGTCCACGATTTGATGGTAATTATCTTTACCAGAAGTGACTGTGATGACGAGATACTAGCGCCTGAACTGGGAACATGTAGCCATAAGAAGCGGGAAGTAGAATGTCCTGCTCAAATGGACTTCGCATTCCGCAGCAACACTGGGGAGCGGAGGTTCGGCCTTTCCAGTGGCATGACTGCTAGTGTCTGACAAGCCTGGTTTGAGCCGGAAAACCATCTGCCGAATGTACTGATCCAGAACGGCGCCATTTTGGAAGCAATTATCCGGCCGAGTCCTTTTCCGTGATGAAGGCTTGAGTCGTTCGACCAAGAGATCGAGGACGGGACACGAACTTGAACACCATCTTTGAATACTAGTGACACATGTGCGTGCTGACATGAGGGCCAGGAAAGAGTTCACTTTATATACTGCGCAGATACAGTATACGGTATATTACTGGAAGCATCACGAACCAGAATTTGGCGCCTGTCATTGCTTCATCATGGCATCAGACCCAATGGGAAGAGCGCCATTGCGAAGGGTGTGAAACCCTTCATCCTGACTTTGTTGTCGCGAGCACGAATGGCCCAGAAATCTTGAACAATTTGGTCGCCCGATGAGACTGTGGTCTTAGGTTCTTCGATGCGCGAATGTGTTTGGATGTATTAGGGACGGGCGGTGCTTTTTCTAGCGGGAATCCTCGAGGGTGTTTGGCGCACAGCTCTTGTGTCCTCAGGCACGAATTCATCTCCTGTTGCGACGACACGTCCTAGACTGCGCACATGTGCGCCCATGTACAGCCCAAGCATACAGTAATCGCTCCCTTCAGCTCCACAAGACCACAATATACAACACCTTTCAAAAATTCACAGTGCACTCGTATGGAACAGTTGCCAGAAGAAGTCACAGATTAATTCCGTAAAGAAGAGCCAAGATATCTCGAGATTCTACAGCCAGCCATCTCCAAGTATGCAGCGCGAAGGAGTCCCTCTCACGCTATACTCCTTTTACATCTTCGATCGACACAGTAAGACTCGCCATGGCGCCCCCAGCGCTGCTCCAATACCTCATATCTGAACTGTAACCCGGGAACGAACCATAAGACAAGAAACTAATCAAATCCGGACCAAACCTTCGTAGCCGAATGTATTTACTCAAAAAAATGGACGCCAATCCCATCCACAGCTCCCTCCTCTTCAGGGAACACCACAAGCACACAGCAGCCAGCAACAAGTAATCCTCCCTCATCACAGCGCTCCTCAGTCCTCAGCGCGACAGCCTCATCAGCCCAAGCCCCTCCACAAACGACGACCACGACCACGACCACGACCACCGGCCCAACCTCCCATTCCCTCAGCGCATCCAGCGCCCTCCGCGCCCAGACCAAAGCCACCAACGACGCCAAGTTGATCTTCGGCACCATCTTCTCCTTGCGGCGGCTCGTGCGCCAACTAGGCGGGGCGGACGACGCCTTCCTCTCGTACCGCACGGCGGAATACAAACTGCATTACTTCGAGACGCCGTCGCAGTTGAAGTTCGTGCTCCTCACGGACCCTCGCACGGGGAGTATGAGGACGGTGCTCCATCAGGTCTGGGCGACGCTGTACGTGGAGTTCGTGGTCAAGAATCCGCTCGCGCCGGTCGAGCATGGTGGGGGCGATGGGAAGAGTGGAGTTGGGAATGAGCTTTTCGAGGGAGGGTTGGAGACGTTTATGGTGAGCAAATTTCCCTCCCGTTTTCTTTTCTTTCTTTCCTTCATTTCTTTTTTTCTCCTTTCCCTCTGACTCTCTCTCTCCGCGTTTTCTGCTCGTTACTCTTCGATCGACGCAAGGGAATGGATCTTCTGCTGACGGGTTCTCTCTCTGTTGTGAATGTTGTTTTCTAGTCATCGATCTTCAACATCGGCCAGCCACAGGTCCTTCAGCAGCATGCTTGATTGGGTGGATCGTCCAATCCAACATCGCCTATCCCGCTTTCAAGACACATGATCGGGGATCTCATCATCCGTATGGAATCAAGGCGCATGACTTCAAGCCTCCGTCACCTCCCAAAGGAGAGAGAGAAAGAGAGATAGAGGGGTTCGTTCATGGTTCAGGAGTGTTCAAATACACCAGGTAACCTGACGTTTCGTGCGACGCGATACACGATGCCTCGATCGGCTGCGCGATGGAAGTAAAGTGGTGGTGGATGTTTATTAGGGTTACGACAACTAACGAATAAGTATTCGGTTACTCGAAATCGGATGGATTTGCTGCGAAGACGGCCATGGTGTTGAATTTTCCAAAGAAGCTGAAATGATGAATGTTTTATGCATTAATAAATATATCAAATTTCATCGTGTCGTCATTCGTCAATCATGTCAAGATATGGAGAAGCTCTCGATGAGCTGCTTCAGCCGCCGATCACAGGCGAGGATCTTCCGCCCTCTCCGAACCTCCACAACAACCACGCGTATGGATGCAGGAAAGATACGACCTCCGTCATTCCCGCTTAAGCTTCCTACTGCTCTCCCCAAGAACTCCCTGCCCGCCCAAAGTCGACCTCGAAGACCCCCCCTGCTCCACCGCCGCTGACGTCGCCGACGACTGCTCTGACGATAACGAAGCGACCCTCTCCGCCTCCCTCCTCCGTCTCGCAAACGCTCCCTCCCTCCACCTGCCGCCGGCAGCACCCGCCATGGCATAGCTTTTCCTGACGCGATTCGTCCAGCGCCAATCCTCAAAGGCATCCCTGACCATGGCGCGGCCGACGTACGCGGCGACCAGCCCCCCGACGACGAAGATGCCCACGGTCCACATCCCGATCGCGACGCGGAAGGGCACGAGCGGGGTGTCGGCGCCGGCGAGGAGGTAGACGACGTTGACGAGGAGCGCGTGGGCGACCCGGAAGCCCGCGAGCCAGGTGTGGAACCAGGGCGGGGGAGCGAGGCCGGCGCGGAGCTGCAGCTCGCTGCGCGGGTGGCAGATCCAGGCGCAGCTGATGGCGAGCATGGCGACGAGTTCGGTGGCGAGGAAGTTTTCCAGGAGGAAGGTGAGGAGCGGGGATAGGGTCGTGAGGAGGCTGCTCGATGTTATGGGTGCGAGGGGGATCGGATATCGGGAGGGATGGCGTAGTAGGAGGGAGACGGGAGCTAGGAGGAAGCGTTTGCGTTGGGTGACGAGCGATGTTGGTGAGGGTCTGAGGGATGCGGCGAGGAGGTCGAGGAGCGGGGAGTTGATGAGGTCCGTCATCGTCATTGTGTTGTTTTTCGATGATGGAGGATTCTTCAAAGGTTTAGGATTCTGTCGAGAGTTGAAGTATTGCTTAGGATGTCATTCGTCTGGCTCGCGTGCTCATAGACCAGATCGATACAATCTTGAAATGATCTGCTCCAAGTGTGATGCCGAGCCGTGACCTCGACGTTTCCTCCAGGATCAGCTTCGAGTCCGGAATTACGCAGATCATGAAACGACCGTCGAGAGGGCGCTGTCTTCCTCTGAGTAGTTGTGGAAATGGCGTATATCTTCCTCGTTCTGTTGTCCAGCAACTAAGTAAGAGATACCACGAATGTCGGAGATACTCGCCGACTGATATGACTACCAGGCCAACCTCCCACAAATCACGAGTGAGGTTCGTTCGGCTGTTCAAGAGTACAAAATTGAAATGTTATTTGATAATGGGAATGATCATGCGAGCAAGTCGTTGTGAGGTTGATCTGACATGTGAAAGGAGGACATACTGTAATCACGATAAGATGACGTGCCAGAAGACCCTGAGCACAACTGTATAATTATACAATTGTGCATTTGTGTATATTTGTGTATGATCATAATTCCCCCATCGGTGACATCATGCACATGCACAAGAATAACAAGCATTGGGTGAGCTTTCTCCACATTCCTCGCGCGCTCCTCGGCTGTTGTTGACTCGTACAGGAAGTAAGTACAGTAGAAGACAGAGCTCCAGGTAGCAACATTAATAATAAGTGATTACCGACCTGTCCACCTGCATTGAGCATCACAGCCTCGATAATATAATTCCCCACCACACGCGACACTCGAACACACGCGACCTACTCTCACATCCACAAAACCAACCCATTTTCGAGACAAAAAAGAGCAACGACAATGGCATCCCGCCTCCTCTCCCCAACCCTCCTCCACGCCGGCTTCCGAACCCCCCTCCTCGTCGCCGCCGGGGTGGGTTTCTCCTCGGCCATCATCCTCTCGCCGCTGCTGCAGATCCAACGAGGGAGACCGCTCCTGCTGGACAGTTCGCCGGCGCTGGGGATCAATTCACGCGATTGGTCCTCTTCTACTTCTTCGCGCGATGCCAAAGTGCCCGTGGTGAATGCCAATGGGAAGCTGAACGCCGGCGCGGTGAAGCAGTTGAGTCTAGGGAGCATCACCGGTACGTTCGATCCTCGTAGAAAAGAGAACACCAAAGCACTTGCCCATCCTTCAAATTGAGTTTTAGCTGACAGAGACGGTTGAATCATGATAGGCCTCTTCGCCGGTCTAGCGGTAGGCTTCTTCTCCAAGCCCCTGGCGATCATCTTCGGCCTGGCGGTCGCGGGGGTGGTGACGGCGGAGAGCTACGGGATTCGCCTGATCCCCTATTCGATGCTGCAGCGATACATCAAGGGCATCGACTTCAAGGGCGCGGTGCGGGACAACGTGGCGCTGAAGGTCAGCTTTGGGCTCATGTTTGCGCTGAGCGGGTTTGCGGAGCTGTGAGGATTTCTGGATGCTGGGATGGGCTGGAGATGAATTGAATTGGAGATGGATTGTCTGGAGGAGTCTTCCTCCCTCTCTCCGATGAAGAAGAAAGGAAGGAAGGAAGGAAGGAAATGCGAAGGATGTATGGATACTTTGGAAGAAGGGAACATCTCCTCAGGAATCGTCCCGGCAAGAGATCCGAGGTCTCTACAAAAAAAGAAGAACTAGACAATCATGGTTTCCATTCAAGATAGATCACACCACCTCTCTCTGAAATCGTGTCTTCTAAAAGGTAAGAACGATCTTGACACACCAACATCGAAAAATTCCCTGAAACCCAACTGGACCTCTCCACATTCTTTCCATTCCCGAATCGATCGGACGAACGCGGGGGATTTCAAGGTTCAGAAATGGGACATCTATCAGGCAAAAACAGAAAGAAACCACCAAACTGTCTTTCCCCACGCAGTTCTTGTAGTAGTATCGACGGCCCCTTAAGCTTAAGAGAGGGCTTACATGCCCAGGTGAGATTCTATGCAAACAAGCCCTGGTATAGAGAGTATCCGTCCATTCTAAGTCATTTCCCACGGCGAAAAATCAAACCAATACTGTGGGACTCGGATCGTGCGAGTCGCTCGGGAATTCAATTTCCTAGCGTATGACTCTATCCAAGGAGGATTGCTTCCCCCAGAGTGCGACAAATGATGATTTTTCGTTGTGGCAGATTATGCTCTCAAAAAGAACATGAGTCGAGAATGGCGTTCATCTCTGCGAGATGGGATTGTTTTCCGTGGCTCGTGAGTTGTAGTGATATGTTCAATGTTCTTGTGTCCAATGTCTTTGCGGGACGTCGGGCGCAGTCAGTTGTATGTGTGTATGTGAGTGTGTGTGTGGTGTGTGCAGCTGGTGATCATTTCTCATCTGCAGGTCGCAAAAAGTGTAGCGGTTCAGCAGCTGATGGGGAGCTCAGAGTGCCGCGTATTAAAAAGAGGACCCCGTGGCGTGGGATGGGAAATCGCATCTCCGTGTCTCTAGGCCACTTGAAAGATTTGCCCAAATTTCTCGTCATGTTCCCTGGCAATCTCAGGGAGGCGTTTTAGGGTTTTCCTTCCGAAGTTCAATAGATTTTGGCCGCAAGCCGCATTGAACATTTTATCGACGGAATGCGTTGGTACAGCGAAGTGCTGCCTGTGAGTTGGATGTTCTGTCCGGATCGTGTCAGAACTCTAGTTGGCCGGGCGGCGAGGTACTTCGCGCCGACTTGCGACGACCGGAGGCCGCTGCTCCAGTGCTGAGTTTCGAAGATGGGAATCGCCCAATCAACGTGTGTCTGCGATCTCCTTCCGATCACCGGTGGACTCCCACATCTTCGGGAGGTAGGACTTCATATTCTCGTAAACGAGGAACGTGACGCACGTCGAAGGCAAGACGCGGACGAGATTCGGGCCCAGCCTATAATGATTGGATCGTCAGCAAGAATCTCCCGCGTAAGAAACTTCTCACGATCACGGCGGAAAGAAAGAGAAGAAAGGAACTCACCCTTTGTAAAATCCAATGGTGCCCTCCTTCCGCATGACCTGCTTGATCACGTCCCACGCACCCCTGTATTTCTTGCTCGCATCATACGTCTGCAGCCGCGACCGCACGACCTGATAGGGATACGTGATACTTCCGGCCAGCATCTTGCTCACGGCGCTGAGGAGCAAAAAGTCCATGTTCGTCAAACCCTCCTTGCCGCCGACTCTGCTCTTCGCCCAGCGGTTCTTCAACTGCTCATAGGCCATGAATTGAATCGCACCGTGGCTGACGCCGAACAGACTCGGCAACAGACCCCGATAGAACCCGCGGATCCCTTCGCTCCGGTAGAGCTCCAGCGTGCCGTGTTTGATGCTCGTGTAGGCGCCCGGGGCGGACTTGGCGGTCGACAGCATCCGGGTTTTGATCACCCAGATCGGGTTCGTGAAGACTGCGGTCAATATCCCCGACACACCTGATGCGATGAAGTAGTCCGAGCTGCGTAGCTCGTGCTCGCCCGTACTCGACGCTCTTGCCGCGCGCACCAGGTCCTTGATGTTCCCGTACCACATGAAATACAGGGCCCACGAGACGGAATTCCCGATCATGTTCGGCATGAGGCCGCGGTAGAAGGCGCGGACGACGCCCGCGGTGTCGCCGCGAGCGGTGATGTTGGCCGCATTGCGGCGGGTGTTCTCGACCACAGCTTCCTGGGCGATCTGGCGGATGACGTGGAGACTGCCGCCGGCGCGGGCTTTGGTGTTGGCCTGTTCGATCTGGAGGCGGGTCTTCACCACGTCGAAGGGGTGCACGACGAGGGTCGAGACGAGGCCTGCGGTGAAGCCGGCGACGGATTCGACGAGCGAGGGCGAGAGGCTGACGCTGGGTTGGCGGCCCTCGAGGGGCGGGTAGACGCGAGGCATCGTCTGGGAGAGATGATCATGCTCCTGACATGGTGGAAAAGAATTGAGGGATATCTTCGTTCTCGGTCGGGTGGGCGCGCGCCAAAGACTGTGACAGCAAAAGAAAACTCTCCTCGACCGTTGTTGTCCCAGAAGGTCTACGGTATTCGGAAAATTCTCCGTGGGCAGTATTAGAGAGAGTGGGAATGCTCTAGTCTGGTGAAGAATGACGGCGTTGCAAGTGTTCCTCCAGCAGCCAAGTTAGGTCCAAGCTGTTGCTGACGTGCTCAGAATGCCCTCACCCTCACTCTCACTGCTCGAGAATTATTATTATTATTAACGTACCCTATAGGCTTGTGGGCCACTATAGGCTTGTGGGCCACTTCCTATTCTCACTACGTATTCTTTCCTTCAACACGCGATAATTATCCACGTCATACAATGGATACGCGATTGACGCGTGATTCCTACGCTCCTGCTATCGCTGCATTGAGATCCGGTCAATTCAAGTCGATCCGAGCAACTGCGCGCGCGTATAACGTCTCAAGGACCACCCTCCAACGCCGCCTTGACAGCAGACCTTCCAGACAACAGCAAGGTGTCAATTCAAGGAAATTCACTGTCGCTGAAGAGGAGGTTATAATTGAAAGGATATTAGATATGGACTCGCGTGGATGGCCACCAACGCTTGCTCATGTTGAGGAAATTGCGAACATCCTTGCAACGCAGAAGGGCCTTGAACCTGTTGGTAAATTATGGCGACATAACTTTATTAAAAGGACACCACGGCTTAAGACAAAGTTGTCGCGAAGGCTGGATTGGCAGCGTGCACGTAACGAGCAGAAAGACGCGTATATTCAATGGTTTGAATTGGTGAAGAACATGATCAATTTCTATGGTATCCTTGAAGACGATATCTACAACTTTGATGAGACTGGATTCCGCCTTGGGCAAGCTGGCAACCACCATGTTGTAACTACAGCTGATCGGAAAGGAAGACCAACATTGATTGGATCGGATTCTTCTGAATGGGTAACCATTATTGCCTGCGTCAACGCTCGAGGCTGGCAGGTCCCTCCATTCGTGATCTTCAAAGGCGTAACGCTAAATAAGACTTATTTTGAAGGACTACCACCACGCTGGACTCTAGCCTGCAGCGAGAATGGCTGGACAAGCAATGCTCTTGGTCTGCGTTGGATAGAGCACTTCCATGGACATACGCAGCAAGCGACAAAGGGTGTTAAAAGGCTTCTTGTCCTTGATGGACATGGTAGCCATTTAACGCCTGAATTCGATCAATACTGCAAAGATCATAACATTGTCACTCTCTGCTTACCACCTCATTCTTCGCATCGTCTACAGCCTCTCGATGTTAGCTGTTTCGGTCCTTTGAAGACAGCATATACAGCAAGGCTTGAACGGCTCTTCCGAGCGTCTTATTATATCATAACAAAGGACGACTTCCTTGCCGAGATCCCACACGCGATAGCTGCTGCATTTACAGCTTCAAATATACAAGCTGGCTTCCGCGGTGCTGGCCTTGTGCCATTCAATCCTGAAGCAGTACTAGAGAAGCTGACATTAAGAACAGTAACACCTCCATTACAAACACTAGTACAATGGACTGCAGTTACGCCGTCAAACCCTCGAGAGGTTGATTCTCAGACAGCATATATTGAGAACAAGCTGCAGCGTTCAAGCACTTCACCGTCAGAAATAGTTGCTGCTTTGCGACAGAATGCTAAGGGCTATCATAAAGCAGCTGCTCAGCTGGCCCTTCTGCAAGCTGAAGTGTCCGACCTCCGCCAGACTGTACAGACGCTGAGCGCGCGTAAACAACGTCCAAGAACGCGTTATAAGGTTCAAGGAAGTGTTGACAAAGAAGGATTCGAGGCTCTTCTTATTGCAAAGGCTGTAAACACGTTGTTATCGGAAGAACAAGGCCAAGCTGAAGCAGGCTCTAGCCAGCAGACACGTCGTAAACCACGGTGTAGCACTTGCAATTTGGAAGGACATACGTGTAAGACGTGTCCTACTGTAGTATAGACATCCTGTCCCATAGAATTCCTAATCATATAGCTTCATTTCAATTATTAGTAGAAATATTGAGTATTCAATGCAGCTGGTGTCGAAGAGTGGCCCACAGGCCTATAGTGGCCCACAAGCCTATAGGGTACGTTATTATTACGGGGACCGGATGAACGCTGTCCGCTGTCGAGCCGTGCCCAGGTGCCCAACGTTTGGCTCTCCGACACATTATCACAGTACTTGGTCCACCGAAATGTTCAACACCGCCTGGTAGTGCCAGAGCTCCAATTATACATACGCACAATTATTATATATTGCCAATGCATACAGTCGAAGTTGCAGGTGCTGTGGCCAATTGCATATCATACATTATCCATATTTCAAAACGATTCAAATCGCAGATCTGGACTGTGTCGAGGCTTTGACGCACATTGACGATGGGCGATGTGGATGACTTTATTTACATTTCATACATAGGAATAGAACAAAACGCCCGCCATCGAGTCTGGCGCGGGATGCAGTCTGACTTCAACAGGCACTTAGGCACTTAGGCACTCGGGCAGTCAATCGGTCTGCTCGAAGTACGTGTCGAACTGGCTGTCGTGCGCGATGTACTTCTCAACATGTCGAGCTCGCCTCTGGCAAGGCATATATCTGTCGACGGCCGATTTCACTCTCATTCCGATTCCAAGTTGACTTTCTTGATGTGTGTAAGACCACGGCTGTGGCTGTAAGAGCGGTTTGAGCGCCACGGTATCTTCCTTTCTTTGTGTCCTGTGCTCCACTGCGCCCATTGGTTGCATTCCCCATGAACGCCTTTCGCATGCATTACACAAGGTCCTCGTCTACCTCGAGATCCTCCCAAGACACATGCACGCTCTAGTGGTGGTCTTTGCCGTGAGCCTCGTCGTGGTGACCGTGCGAGCTGGTCATGAAGAACTGTTCGTATGCAAGATATCCGGCGAATGCGACAGTAGCGATCCCCAGTCCAGGAAACGAGTTTCGGAATCGGTTGGCGCGAGTGAAAGGTCCAGAGTACCGCCAGGCCTCACTGAGGACGTGTCAGTCGGGGATTGTGCTCAAGTCGTTGGAGGAGAGTGATCATACTTCCGTGCCCATGGATCGGCTGCTTTGCTGGAAGCGGCCGCGGCCAGCTTGGAGGCGCTGAAGCCAGTGAGATCGGGTCGCGCCATCTTGTAGTCTGATTGATGTATTCGTCAGTTAAGGCGATTGTAGAAGAACAAGAACTGAAGGGCACTTACTTCGGATATGCGCAATCAGGTTCCCAATGCCGGTGGAGAGTCGGGACGAGATGCAGACTTACAGCACCAAAGCTACAGTCCAAGTGAGTCCATCGTGAATCTCCTCCTATGGTCCGACGTACTGCACCAGGCCAGCACTTTCTCGGCAAGCGCCGTGTCCCGTCGGCGGCGGTGGAAACCCTAACCCTAACCACCACCTGGATCACCTCGAATGCTTACCTAATCAGCAGTCCCCAGCAATTCGTCCCGAATACGCCAGCCAGATGCAAGCCCGAGCCCGCAATCCAACACAGTATGCAATACAATATAGTACAAGTTATCACTCCGCCGATATTCAACTGCACCAACCAAACTCAACGACACGCATCGACGACTTCCACTTGTCACCAATCTCTCGGCAATCCATGAACAGTCTGACCTGGTACTATTCTTGCAATTGCCTCCCTCGATTGCCCAACACATCATCAAACGCAGTCGCGTGCTTTTCCGACTCACGCATACGATCAAGCTCGCTGCTCAGACAGACTCATTCGACCCTCTGAGCAGCCCAAGTGGACAGACCAGAGCACGAGCAGATAGTTTCACTGTCACCTCAACTCATGTGATCTCTGCGATCGTGATCTCGCCCAAATACCGGAAATCGTCGACTTGCTAGACTGCATACCACGGTAGGCTTCGTTCAAGATGCCTCCCGCTGTGGGTCGAATGCACCCTTCGCACATGTCGAATCCCTTTGTACATCTCAACCCACAACACACGATCCCGCAGCCAAACTCACATTACTCCTCACAACCAATTCAAAGTTCATTCGTATCATCACAACACGCCTTCAGCAATGGCATGTCCGCATTCAATGGAGCCTCCCAATATGGCGCGAGTGCATTTACACCCGGATCTGGCTTCAATGGTGGCATGTTGGCTGGACAAGGACAAGGATTGGGCTCTGCAGCTGCACAGGCAGGATTTGCGAGAGGCGCTGCGATGCAAGAGCACAGTCATGCATTGGAAGGGGCGATGGGCATGAAGCCAGGCACTGCAAGGATCCGCGAGGTGTGGAGGCACAATCTCGATGCGGAATTCCATGTCCTCCGTCAATTGGTTCAGAAGTATCCATATGTCTCCATGGATGCCGAATTCCCGGGAATCGTCGCGCGACCGATTGGCACTTTTGCGGGTAGTAAAGCAGAGTACCATTATCAGACGCTGCGATGCAACGTGGACATTCTCAAGCCCATCCAAATAGGCATCACATTATGGACTGCCGAGGGTGACCTGCCACCACAACAAGACTCGAATATCAACATCCTTCCCATCAATAAAATCCAGGCGTACAACAGCGGCCTCATGGGCGGTGCACAGCATATCCCGTGCACCTGGGTCTTCAATTTTCAATTCAACCTCGATGAAGACATGTACGCCGAATCGAGCATCGAAATGCTAAAGCAGAGCGGCGTTGACTTTCAACGAAATCACGAAATGGGAATTGCGCCACATGCCTTTGGATCACTTCTCACCACATCAGGTCTCGCATTCAACCCAGAAGTTCATTGGCTTAGTTTCCACTCTGGTTATGACTTCGGTTACCTGATTAAACTTCTCTCGGACGACGCTCTTCCCAACGACCAAGGCGAGTTCTTTGAGCTCGTCAGTATGTACTTCCCCAAATTATGGGACATCAAATTCCTGCTCCGTCACGCTCAACGCATGCGAAACGCAAACCGCCTCCCAGCTGAGGGAATCCGGATCGTCGACTCTCTCGGACAGAAATCCGGTCTGCAGGATCTAGCCGAAGAGTTGGGTTGCCAGCGCGTCGGTACAGCCCACACCGCCGGCTCCGACGCCTGGCTGACCGGTTCCGTGTACTGGGCGATGAAGTCCAAGATTTTTGCCGGCAACCTCGAGGACGAGCAATCCGATCAGATCTACGGGCTTCACGGTGTCCAACCTCCCGCCAGCCAGCAATATCGCGAGGAGTTCTTCGCCGCACAGGGCACGCCTGGCCAGCAGACTAACGGTCTGGGCAGCGCCGCCGGTGCGAACTTTACTCCCGGCAGCAACAATCCTTCTACCCCTACCAACCAGCACGCCGGTCTGAATAGCACCCAGACGCCTGTCGGGCACTATGGCGGAGCCGGTGGGGCTGGAGGACATGGATTTGGAAACTTCCAGTATGGAAAGTAGAATTACCAATGGCAACAATCACAGTTGCGAGAGCAACCAAGGCAAGCTTCGCAACATTTCTCACAGCAGCGACTGGATTGGGAATACCGGGCATGGGAATAGCATTCTATATTCCGTGATGGACCGGGGTACTGGGATGTCCTTCCAGAGTCGGTTCGTTCTCTTGGACGAACTGATCCGTCATCTCGTCGTTTCGTAATTGGAAAGGGGTATATCTTTGAGAGGGATGACCTGGATCACAGCAAATTCACCGACAACGGACCACCGGGACTAAGCCGCAATCACGCCGCTGTCGGGCCCCGAAACGAGAATTTTCGACATCAACTTCCTGATGACTTGACCTTGCAGCTATGGTTGTCTTACCAATCTTCTCGCGAGTATAGAAACCGCCAAGAATGGAGGCTACGTACTGGGGAGGCGTATCCCCTCCTACCCTTCGAGCCCGGCTTCTCGGATCCCATACCCCAGTGCTACCTCAATGCTTCCGGTCGTCGCGATCCACCTTCTTGGAGGTCCTTCAAGACTCTCATTGGCTATCATTTCGAGTGGCGGTACAGGCCTCATCCTTCGGCGGCAGGGGAAGCGCGCAAGCGAGCTGTGTGATTTGAAAGGAAGGTGATACGGTGCCGACAGCAAAGTTCGATGACTATGACGGGACTCAACATCATGCGAGATTCATTCTCATTTGCACGTGGATCTTCTTCCGGACTTGCGGAAAAGGAAGGGACCGAGAGCACTTGTGGGAAAAGCGCGGCGCTGGTGGAGTTTTGGAATTTCTTCTTATGGCTCCGATGCGACAACGAAACATCGTTGACGGATGTATCTTTACACTTTTTGGTGCGAGATATGAAAGTAATCTTATTCTTTGGGAAACACATGTTGGCAGGTCTAACCGATGGAATGTGCACTTACTCACACACACACACGAATTTGGAAGCAGGTACAGTATAGGGATAAATTCTACATTCCTGGCGTGCTTACAGGGAGACGCCAGCGCTTATTTCGTCCACTTCTTGCCATGGAATCGCAATCTCTTGAATGAAATTGATGTCAATAATTCCTAATATTCAACCGTCCCGCTACATCCAACTACCAGGCTGTAAAATCACATCGACTGCTAAGAAACTTTTTATCCGAACCTTTTGTTCCTGTATACGACAGCCGCCGATTAACAAGACTGAATGCCCGCATTCTCCGGCAGATACAAGATGAGGACTGATCTCAAGACGAACTCCGATCGCTCATCCACATCAAAGCAAAACCCCAAGTCAAGCCAAAAACCATGCTTCTATGCACTGCCGGCTGAGATCCGCCTCATCGTCTACGACTACATTTTAGACGACTACAGCAATGACAAGATGCCAGAATCACATCGTAGATCGAAGATGATGGTACAAAGAGACAAGCTGGTACAGCTATTCGGATGCAGACCGTCGAACAAGGCCGCAAAGACGCTTTTCGTCGATTATATTGGCACGGCACTGGTTCCCAATCACATCGAAATCAGGGCCAACATCCACACATGGGCCGTGTCGGTCTCGAAAGGACACCGGGCTCAAGTCGTCACCAATGCCCAGGAGATGCCAGCCATCACCCTCGCCTCGAAGGCGATTCGGCAAGAAATCCTGCCAGCATTCTTCAGCCGCTTCTACGCCCTCAACCCCCAGAACGAAGACGACACTCCCTGGTTCGCCCGTAGCTCCACCAGAAGAAACATCACAAGTTCGAATCTCCCGACCTACAATATGAGCCCTTCCCTCTGCAAACACTCCACCCGCTTCATCTACCACCGACCCAACAGCCCCATAATTCTCACCTTCGCCCGCCGCGCCCTCCCCCTCGTCCACAACCCTGAAGGAGGAGAAAACCCGTACACCATCACCCTCACCCACAAAACCCTCTGGACCATGACCCTCACCATCCTCCAAACCACAACCTTCACCCGAAAAGCTCACCATCAACCCTCCATGCGGCCCGCACCTAGCCTCCATCCCCTCACGACAACAAACTTCTCATCCGATCGCCCGGAAATCCTCCTCGACGAGGACGATCCTCGAAGACCCGGGGTCATCTTCGCCCGCGACTTCGCGGAGGCGTTGTCGCGCGATCTGCAGGGTCGTTTTTGCAACACTACTACGTCTGCGGACGGAGAGGAGGAGGGGGAAGGGGAGGAATTGGGAGGGTCCGCGGAGAGGGTGGCGCGGCTTTGGGAGCGGTGTCGATTTTGGGAGGAGAGGGCGATGGAAGGGGCGGTTAGGGGGAAGGGGGGCCGGTGGGTGCTGGATGGGGATTTGAGAAGGTAGTCCGGTTTGGTCGAGGGCGGGGCGTTTCCTTTTTCCATGGGGCTCCTTTCTTTGGATTTGGATGGGGAGGTGTTCTTCTCAGAATTTGTGCAGGTTGCTTTTTCTGTGGACGGGAGGGTGGGCGTTGATTGACCACAACGTCAGGGGCGTGAGATTGGAATTCGAACAGCATGAGCTCCTTCGTATGAAAGGACTTCGGTGGGTGTGATGATCTCTGGGTTTCATTTATTGATAAAGTCTTCCGAGTAGGACCTTCCTCATTTTCGATCATCTCAAAGTACTGCCCCCGAGAGATGGTCTTTTATCCTTCGCGCTGCATTGAAGAAAGCGACGTTGGCCAGAAAACAGTGCTGACTGCATTGAGGCGCGAAAGTTGATCATGAAGTATGCCAGCATTCACGTAGTATAACACTATGATCACCAAGAGTGTGGATCATAGGCTTGGGCTGTGGTTTTTTGGCGCTGGTCAGGGACACAGCACTGATTCTCAGAACGGGCCGGGCAGCGACTGGTCACGATATCAGGGGCGTTGATCGACTAGTATGGTCACCAGACGGAGCGGCCTAAAAGTGAGACACCATGCAAGTGCAGACAGAATCTGACAGGATTCATGATGACAATGCGAGAGATTCGCTGATCCTCGCAAGAGCCAGCAAATGTCACTTTGTCGTACACATTCCATCCGTAGGAATTCCCGTCAAGCGCTGATATTCAACTTCCTTACTAGGCAAGAGAGCAAATACTTCGATATGACCGGCCCTTGCATTCTGGGGAGCAAACTTGATAACTTATTATCCCTTGTTGGTGTTGATACAAGCGTTCGCCCTGTCCTCGCTCGTGTTTCTGCACCTCCCTCGCTCATCACCAAAAGTTCAGCCATCGACTCCATCTCTTCAAGACGTCGGCACCCAACATCAAGGCCATCGCAGAGCCATTAGATCTCTCCCGATACCGATTCGACCATGGAAACTACTTTCCATCCTTCGAGGAATTCAATTTTCGTGCCGACGGCATTGTCATGTCCATCATGATGCCAGGCTTCAAACCCGACGCCGACCAAATCCGGGAAGAAATCGAAGAAAGCAGATTTTTCAACTGCCATCATGCCGCCATGTGGAACGCCAGATGCATGGTCACCTTTTCCATTCACTCCGCGAGACTCTTTCACGAAGCAGCTGATGCGGAATCCCGGCATATTGAGGCCTGGCAGAGCCTTACCAAACTCGAAGAACACCACCGCTGTTACGGGAACGCATACACGTTGAAATGGGCCAAGATTCTCTTCGACGCAGCCCAAGACATGATAGGCCCCACCACAAGGATCCTCACCAGGCTCAACCCTCAACACGTGGAGGACAAGTTCTGCGAGATTTACGCCAGCTGCCAGGCCAAGACTTATGAGTTTGTCCGTGATCGTCCTCGTCAGCCGGGCGAGGGCCTGGTTCCTTGCTTGTTTGACTTCTACGCGAAATGGCACGGGCTGAAGACGGAACCGACCATGGAGAAGAACTTTTGCTTGTACAGTCTTTACTGTAAGGCTATGGACCCTGAACGTGAAGCACCTCTGTCTTTGATGGGGGAATGTATGTCGATTGCGAGATTGAGGTTGGTGAGGCCTGAAGCTCGGGGAATACTGGAAGCTGGGGAGATGTCAGAAGCTGAGGAGGAAGAATGAGACGGCAACATCATCCAGAAGGCATTATAGAAGTAGCAGAATACAATGTGCTATGCAGAAACGCTTGAGTAGAGTTGCCGCACGGTTTTCCTCGGCGAGAGTCAAGAAATTTCGAGGAGCCTTGAAGCATAAAGTTGGTGAGATTTTTCTCCCATGGCATTGAATGACGGAGAGTGATGAGCGCCGATCCAAACAGACTGGAAGATTCCGCATCAGCGGAGAAGTCCTGTCTGGCTACTGTAAGAAGATCGCAATATTTCGATTTCAAGTAAGACGCGACCTTGCTGAGCCTGAAGGCTGTTCAATTTGCAGTAGCTTGTAGATGACTTCACGTTGGTAGTTGCGTGGTTGAGCAAGGCGCTGGCGCTTAATTGCGCTTATCAACCAGGTCAGCATTCTTCGATGATGTACTATTGCTAATTTGTCTTGCACCTACGCTAAATGATTGACCGTAGTGTATCCTCGGCATAATTTCTTACGATTCAATAACAAACGACACAAATCAATCCAGTCTCGGATTTCCTATCTGTCATGCCAGACACAGGAAAACAGTGTCATTGCTATGTCGGAACATACGTATAGTTCGGATGTGTACGATTTAGGAAGATTGATCATTATCGCCCGCGCGCCGATGGTTGTTCGAATCATTGGTCTGAAATGTTCCAAGCTACAAAGTCTTCTAAGGTACAGATGCTACCCGCTATCATCAAGTTGGTAAAGAGCACAGTGTAAAGTGATTCGACAGATTATCTTCAGCCAAGGGACTAATGAAGCGATACGCCATGGAGGTCAAATCATACTTTATCCGAAGCGCCGTCGCTGTTCTAATATCTCTCCACTCTCGCCAGCGCTTCTGATTGACATCAACGTTGCGCAACCCGACTGTAGTGGACGAAGATATATAAGAGGTCGCAAAGATGTAACAGCTTTCAGTATATCGTGTCACTCTCATATCCTCATTTCAAACTCAAAGATCAAACGATACTGGGCTGCTATTGCCTCCATTCCAAGTCCACATCAGGTCAGTCCCAGAAATCTATCGCCATGAGTGGTGCATCAGCCACGACGCCCCCTTTTTTCGACTTGGGTGATCCACTATTCGTCGACCACGCTGCAATTGCTGCAACCAGGCCTGCCACTTTCAGACTCATTCCACACCTAAGTGACAAAGACGGAAAGGCTTTCGAATTCATTGGAGGTGTTTTCACCATGAATATCTCCGTGCCAGCTGTCAGCCAACAGCAATGGAATGAGAACCAAAAGGAACTTGCAGAGGCCACGAGACGACGCGAAATCCATACCTGTTTCATCACGGGCGCTGCGTTCTCGATCGACTTCGGGATCGAGTACGCCTCCTTTTTTGTGGAGAAATCAGAGCCGTGGTTTCGTTTCCCACTCCACGGCGATTATGGACGCTTTTGCAAAGCCAACAGCTATTGCATTGGCTGCGAATATGTCTTTGTTCTGGCCTATATACTCTTCTTTCGTATAGGAGAATGCATCAGATGGATCAACTCTCCAGTGTGGCAGCCACCTGTCCTTGAAGCTCCAGTGCTCCACCAAATCTGCAAGGAGATATACGAGCATTGCACATCGAAGAAAGACCCAGAGAATGTCGCGAGCCATTCGCTTTTTGTGCACGCTTACAGAACGATTACCAAGGCCAAAACACATCCGGCTGGCGAACAAGATAGTAAAATCAAAGACGTATTTTTGACACCAAAACCATGTCCTTCACAAAACGGCTGCGCTCTGGGGAGAGTCAACCCTCCTCGTGATCCGGTCGCGGAGAGTTTAGCTGGCTTTTTCGACAATCGTTGATCTTGAACTTTTGTACTTTGTATGTTAGCACTTCAGATCGATCGTATTCCCAAACTTGGAAAAGCTGTCATGGAAACAACGTCGGTGCTGTTCGAGGTCTTCGATAGTTGAGTTGTAGAAGCATTCTTCTTGGGAGACCATGTATCAACCTCATGTATCTTGATTACACAAGATGTCGTATTGTGTGAAGAAAATCTTGCGGGAGTAGTTGTGTTGCAAGGTCAATCTTGCAGCAGAATGACCTGTCACTACAGTCAGTCTTTCAGCCTTATGCGCCTATAGCTAGGTAGATGACGTTACACATGGCTTAATACCTAAGCGATTACCTGGCGCATCACCCTACCGAGGGCGTTGATTCACCATGACTCAGTCACTCTCACTGCACTTTTCTTTCCAATGTAATAATTCATTACCGCCGGCAAGGAGGGCATTAGTCAAATCGGACGGGGCATCACGATGACTCATCAGAAATCGAGCTGCACTGATGACTAATACGCCCGCCAGCCTGGGCGCTCTCTACGAGGCGAAGTCGAATGATGTCGTTTCAATTGAGCTGTCGGAGTGCCTTGTTCTATTTGACCTATGCCTGTACATGCGCATGTTGCTCATGTGCCCTCTATTCAACGACCACCGTCGCTCTGTTAAGATGCGAGATCGAGAGATGGAACGGCATTACCAGGCGACGTTAGGCAGTGATGCCAATCACCAGGCAGTTTGAAAGTCCACAACGCCACCAGCTCTGTAGAATGCCTCACGACCATCGCATCCTCGCTAGCTCCGAACTTGTCTGAGCGGAGGGAGATGATCGACATTGTCTGTATCACGGGCGGCGGGTCTCGCGGGAGGCGTAAGTTCTTCTGGAGTTGTTGCGTAATGGTCAAGGGTTTTTCTCATGTTATGGTATGACATTGATGGTGCAGATCGACGAAACTTTAGGCAGGAGGGCACGAGGCGCACGCGAAGGATGAGATGGAGTGGTGGGGTAGAGAGAGCATCTATCGGTCCGACGAAGGGCACAACTCGGCTTCTACAGTAATTCATCTTTTTCTGTTCATTCACTCCGTTTAGTCTGCTGTCTTTATTGATCATTAATTTTTCAACCTTGAATTGGACTTCTGGCCTTGTATCTCGTGGTCCTACACTGTGTACCGTGTTAATTCTCCGCCTGTGGTGTTATGTGTCATTGATGACCATCTGTAAAACATGTCAAATTTGTCCACCAGTCGCTCGACATATTTTAAACTTCCCGTCCGGACCGCGGCTTGGACGGCACGCATCGGATATCAAAGCTTCTTTTGAATGCCCCTTGCTAGGCTACCACGTTATTCTTAGAAATTTTGGAGCGCATTGGGTAAAGCTTGGTTTGCGGGTGAGATTTTGGTGTTGCATTTTGAGAGACACAATGACGATGATGACGGATGTGTGTGCCCTTGATGTGCCTAAACGTAGTATCGTCGATGTGCAATTTTGTTCGGCATGTCCTTGGTGTGTGTTGGGGGAGGCAAAGATGGATGGGTGATGTGATATGTAAGACATGGTGAATTCGCTCGAAGATGAATCAACCCTTTCCTTCATCATTGGCATTCAATCACTGGCAACAACACCACATACCTAAAAGAACCCCCAAAATTTGACTTCAAGATGCATTTCTCTCTAAATCTCTTCGCGGTTTCGGCTCTCATCTCCTCTGTCATCGGCTCAGCCTTACCCGTCGCCTACTCCGGCGCTCTCGAGTCCACCAACGACATCTCCGCCCGCGCCTCCAACTGCACAACCTACTGCTCCGTCTCGGCCGGCTGCGTGTGCACCGTGCGGCCCTCCGACTGCACGGCCTTCTACACGGTCCAACCTGACGACACCTGCGTGACCATCGCCAAATCCTACTCCAACTTCACCGTGACGCAATTCTACAAATGGAACCCCTCCATCGGACAGACCTGCTTCGGTCTCCAAGCCTACGTCCCCGTGTGCATCAACACGCCGTGGTATCACTTCACTCCTCCCGTTCAGCCCGATTATGGAACCCATTACGCGCCTTCCCAGACTCCGGTCCCGGTGATGCCGAACATCGTCTCGTCGTGCGAGGACTTTGAACTCGTGGCTCCGGGACACCGCGTCGATGAGCTTGCGGCCGAGAATGGCTTCCCGGTGGAGAAATTCCAGGAGTGGAATGGAAACTCAACGACCGCGTGGGAGGGCTATTGGGTTTGTGTCAAGGCTCCGGATTCTGCGACTTCGGCGTAGGAGGTAGATGACCTTGGTCATTGCCGCTCCGAGATGGACCCTTTTCGATCGAAGATTCTTGAACGTCCTGCGGAGTTGTTTGATGATTGAGCCCAATGGGTCCGAGGAGTCTCACTTTTGCAGATGGAAGCGACGTGTGCAGATGACGGGATGATAGGACTGGATTTATATTGAGGAATTTTTACGAATGAAATACGAAGCTACTTTTGTCTTCAAAATAACCCATGCCTGCTCCACTGACATTTGAACCGCTTCGTTCGTTTCGATCGGAAGTAATTCAGGGGTGGTCTGTACTAGGAGACGAATCCGACTGGCTCTGGTCCATCTTCGTTCTTGAGCCTCAATATAATTAGGCTATTCCTGTGCTTTGCAAATATGATCCGTATAATTAGTGTTCATCGTTGAGCGCACTGAAAGATAATAAACACCGCAAACTCAAATATGAGACTCGAACCCTTTTGTAAATATTTGAGCTAACTTACTATGTGGATTGGCAAGACTCCAGACATCTCGAGCTACCACAGCAGGGACGCCTACTAAAAGTCATTGTGGTGAGAAATAGCAAGGCACGATCTAGCGGTGAGTATCCATGCGAATTGGGTATCATAACTAATCGAAAGCATCCTCAGAAACTATCCACTTACCGACGGTAATGACAGCTCGATCGAAGTGATGGGCGACCTCCGTCAGAGTCAGGCATTACTATAAAAGTTTGTCCGTTGTATTGCCAAAGGCGACGTAAAGGCACGATTCAGATCAGGCCATAATCATTGAAGCAAGCAGACCAAGCGCCAGCACTGCCCAAACGGCCGACGATGGCATAGGACGACCAATTGCCGCCGAGGTTTTGCTCTTGTCAACCACTTGGCACAAAATGCTCGGGTCAGAGTTCACGCCTCGCCCTTCGCTGCGGGCGAGGGGGGTAAATTTCAGGACAAGAATGTTCAGCGCGCCTTCCGCTTGGTTCAGTACAGTGCGGTTAGTCGACGAGTAGGACTCGGAATCGAAATAGGACAGCGCGCCGCCGGGAAAGAGTTCGCCGCTGCTGCTATCGGGAGAGCTCGAGTTCATGGGCGCGACGCCTGTAGATCAAAGAAATTAGCATCATGGCGCGGCGTACTGCATGGTTTGAGCACTGACCAAATGCCGCGGACCCGCTGGATCCGCGCGCGAATATGCTGGAGCAGTTCTGGAGCGCGGAAATGTCGAACTGCTTTCCCGCAGACGCGAAAGTCACGTCCTGGATGGACTGGATGCACGAGGCGCTTAAGATCGTCGCACATGACCCGTCACCGTCGTTGGAGAAGCCGCTAATGGCGCTCTTCTCGACATTGACGGCGAAGGCATTGACGTATAGTGACATGTCGCGTTCCCGGAGAAGCGTCTGCAAGCTGTCATTGCGGCCGCTTGTTGGAAAGCTCAGCTGGTACTGCGTGTTCCGTATGTGTTGGCCAGCGGAGTAGTTCGCCGATGGCAGACCGAGGTCTTGAATGGGACTTGGAATCGGAATGTCCGCGATGCTGACGCGCCAAGACCACCTCTCGAGCGTATTGTTGTAAGTCCGGACGAAAGACACGGCACTTGTCGCGTTGGGGCTCTGGCCGGCGGCTAAGTAGACGTGCCGCCCGGCGTCGGTGAAGGAGCTGCCGGGACGCAAGGGGCCAGTCTCAGCTGCGACACTGTCTAGTGCTGCTGCCAGTGGGACGACCAATGTCCACAGCACGAGTCGAAACATATTGTGCCAGTGTGATTGTGTCAAGAAGGTGATGATGTGGTCATGGTCGTCTTCGGCCTGGAGTATTGAACGGCAACCTTTGTACCTAGATCGAGGCTGGCTGCGTCAGGATGTCCCGTGTGAAGATGACGTTCGAGCAATACCAAGCCGGTCACACTAATGACTTTTCCCTGATGATTCCACGTCGTGCATGCACGGTAGAGTTGGTGTTGAGAAGAGGATCTGTCGATCGAAATATACGTAGATGATGGGGCGAAGGCACTAGCTTGGATGGCACTGGAAGGCACTAGCTTGAAGGCACTAGCGTGGAGACACTAGTAGCACTGATCCTGACAACCATGTTGGCACAAGAAATAATGTAATATAACATTGTAGTTTCATACTGTCAGGATGTAAAGCGCTTAAGATTCTAACGATACTTTACTTAGTAAATTCTGTGCGAATTGGAGGGGTTGGCCTGTGGACCGGTGGGTCCTGAATGTCATCCATATTGAAGTGCAGACACAAACCCTGTTCGAAGCCTGTCCAGCCCCCTAATCAACCGGGGGCGGAGTGACAGTGACGGTCATACTCTAAGCTTCCTCTAAGTGTGCCGAGGCGCTCGAGAAAGCTTGCCGTACTTGTGTCGAAGGAGAATCTGGGGTGATTTCGAGCGTATGCGCTTGATGGACTTGTGTCGATCGAGGGTTCGACATCACTTCGGGCGCGTGCGCTTACCGGAGCCATTTTGCATCGGCCCTTTCGGAGATGGACGTCTCGAGCAGTTGCTCGAGAGAACCGGTAACCGCAAAATGGACAGGCCACTTTTTCACAAAAGCCGCTCTTCTCTCTGCAGTGGCGAAGATAATTGCTTGAGCAAGAGAATTCACGCCCTTTACAGCCATGGTCCCAGCAGTAGATGATCGACGAGCTGCTGGATTGTGGTGACGCTTGTTTAGGGTTGGTCTCCGTCGCTGTTGTTGTGTCAAATTGGTTGGAAAGTGAGTTTAGATCAAATCCATGCAGCCAGTCAGGGGGAGTATGCGCGTCGATCATCTGTTGTATTTCTAGATCAAGCTCGTATTGCACATTGGCAAGGAATTGCGCGTCAGGGAAATGTTGTGTCTCGAGGCTGAAGTCGCTCGTGGGCTGGGAGCTGGCGTTGCCTGAGGTTGGTGGCGCGTGGCGAGGTTGGAGGCTAATGCCGGTAGCCGGAGATCGTTTGCTCGATGGATGGCAATCCCGTCCAAGCCAGGTACCAGTCTCTTCAGTGTCGTGTACCATGGCTGACAGTCCGTCTTATGTTGTAGCTGAATGCATCCCGGAGGGTACAGAGTCCTTGCGCAGCCTGCGTGGACTTATATCCTACACTTGACAGGGTTGCGGTACAACGAAATGTCATCTAACAGCATCGTCAACATGTACGCGACGTCTGCGGACTGTGCCACAGATCGATCGGCGACGCAGTGAGCCCAGTGTTGGCACCATCCGATTTCTGCGACCGAGTTCCCGCTAGGTCCGCCCGAGAGTTCGCAGCACAGGGCCACAGGGCCGGCCACGGGGACTCGGACACATGGACAATTTACCATGGACTCGATATATACCAAGAGTGGTGTTCGCCGCTGCCTGAAGCTCCCGGGCTTGCTGGGGTGCGAGCCGGTTCTTTGTGGTGCCTCAGGCCTCAATCCGCGGCCAACTTTTGATCATTGCCCAGTGTTGGATTCATTCTCACGTCTGATGTGCTGAGACCTGTGACCATCACTGACGTTGTCAACGGAACGAGGCGTCTGCGGACCTTGTTAGCAGGGCAAGGCCAACAGCCCATCTCAATAATAGCACATGGATGGGCGCATGGCATGGCGCTGACCGGCGTTGGGGCCAAGTTTAGCGCGCGAGGAGCATTGCTGCATCGGCGATCATGGTTTGAGTGATGAGCTCACATGGCACAGCCTCCGGGTGTGATCCAAGGAGACGACGCAAATAAACGTGGATGCCGAGTGTTTGACATTCCACGGGTTTGATGGTCCACTACGTGCCACAACAGACCCACATTCTGCAGCCGGCGCTTGCGCAGGATGATGCGCTCACCACACGAATCGTCCTAGTCATCAGGATGAGTGGCGGTGATGAGCGTGCCTGTTGAGCGGCGTCCGTCGATCCCACGGCACACACCATCGCAAGAATACACACACGTGCATTAGCGTGACGACCCCCGTCTACTGCACAGCGTGGGATGCTGGTCCCGACATATACGCGTAATATTCGATGGAGTCCTGCTCTGCAGCAAACCGAGCAGAATATCAGGCTCTGTTCCGCGGTCAACGTTGGATCGATGAAATCGAATTCAGCACTTCGATCCATCGATCCAACACGTCGTTCTGTTGGATCAAGGCTATTCCAACACATCCAACGAAATGGGGCCACTGAGGTCAGCAACTAGCTATGTATAGTGGTGATCTGCGATCTACTACATCCAACAACTCGAAGTTAGTGGATTTCGGCCTATTTCCGCGATTTAGCGTAGCGGCAATTTGATCACATATTTGATGTGACCTCAGTAATTCGTATCAACACATTGATTAGCTACTAACTCCACACCAACCCTACGTATTACTACTATTCAACACCTCAATTCAACGCTTATTACAGGTCCAGCTGGATATGTTGAATAAGACGTGTTGGTTGCAGCCGCTGGATGTTGTCAATCCAACAGCTCGACAGAGCACTAAGATTCTGAGTTGCGGCAGTCCAAATCGACAGTGGTGCCCGTGTCAGTCCCCATAGTTTTCCAACTCGTACAAATCATTGACCACTGTCACGGATCCAACGAAGCGCTAAAAGAGGGTCTGTAAGCTGGTCAAACGACAGAGGCATTCCACAGCCATGCTGAGTGCTCAGGAAAATAGATAGAATCACAATCATCGTCCCTCGACGATCGCCTCTTCGAACAGCATCGATATATTCCCTGCTCGAACCCAGGTTTCAGCTTTCTTGATAATGAAGACAAATAGCACTACAGATGACTCGCGACACTTAGCGCTGACATCTACCTGCAGGCGTTAGGACAACGTCAGCGTCAGCGTCTCCGCTGAAGGTATTAGGGCGAAGACATTAGGCCGAGGGCATTAGCGCGATGGCACTCGTGTAAAGGCATTAGCTATGTTTCCTTGCAATAACAAATCGAGAGTGCGATTTCGAGTGCGCGTGTCTTTTGGGGTATTGAGTCCATGATGAGCTCTATAAGAGTAGCCAATTCCACGCGGTACTAGAATATCACTCACTTCTCAGCATCATCATCAGCCGAAGACTGTACACTTCCCATATCAATATCACTACTCGCCAAGACTTCTGATACCATGCGCTCCAACACGATCCTAGCGGCACCTGTGTTTGCCACAGTCGCTCTGGCTAATCCTTTGACTTTTCGGCGCACCGAGCTAGGGCCTTGTCCGCCAATAAATAGCGATCAATGCTTCGAAGCTCGCGTCGGCTACTACAACGACAAAGACTGCACTGACTTAGTCGGCGGCTTTTGCGTCAATGGATTCGCGGGAGAAGGGGGAGATTGCTCCCTCCCTGCGGCTGGGTCCCCCGCTTGCGAAAAAGCAGGTGTCCCGGACACTACTCCGTACTGGGCCAAGATCCTTTCAGTAGCCCCCGGACACGACCAGCTCCAGCTCGTATACACCCAGGACCAGAGTTGTCCGCCTTCTGGACCCGGCGCCGTCTTCGCCACCCTCATCAACAACGGCGCGTGCGTTCAACTGAACAAGGGTGGGGACGTCGTTGGACTAACCGTTTACCCCAGCGGCGGCTCTGGCCTCGCGAAGAGGAACGCGACCCTCAGTCAGGGCCTCAAGCGTGACGGCGCCGGCTGCTCAGGCTTCAAGATCGAAAGCTCGCAGCCAAGCGAGTCCCCTAGTCAGCAAGTCTCGGAGATCGTCGATTGTACTAATGGTAGCGACAACAACGCATGCTCGATCACTAGGGAGAAACAACACACAACCTCTGTCACCACCTCCTACACCTTGTCTGTGGGTGGCTCTGTTGGTTTTCTGGGTGAGGAGGCTACCTTTGAAGCTACCTTCGGGATGGAATATACACAGGAGGAGACATCGGGTATCCAGGAGATGCTCACGGTCGAAAATGGACAAAAGGGTTATTTGTCCGTTTATAGTGCCGCAACACTTTTCCATGGCACTTTCACTGGGTGCAACTCTGGTGATGCCGAGCAGCCTGGTGACGTCCTGGCAATCAAGAAGAACGGGCTGACCTACGCGGTGATCAACACCGCCGCCTAGATGGGGTCAGGAAGGCCTTGTCTCCATTTCTGAGGCGAGGGAACCGCACGTTCTTGGTAGGAGGAGATGCAACCCCCGATTTGTGCGAGGATTGGTTACGGGTCTTTCCAGACGGCAAGTGTCAGTGGCGGACGGCACCGTCGTGTTTCGAATGATGAGCCCAGAGCCTTGACGGTCAAATTCATCGATACCCGTCTGCGTTTGCGAATTCGATGCGCTCCAAATGTACACATTCATTAGCATATGTAACGTCCCTACTGACGTCGCGAGCCACCCTGCGTAACGAGCCAGCATTGAACACTTCCATCCATAATCTTCTGCAGCACCTGTATCGATGCCCCTCGACGTATCTGCGATATAGATTACAATACCAGCTGTCTACCTACCGCTCTGTGTCCAAATTGCAGGCTTGTCCACAATGAAATCGGATTTCATTGATTAATTGATTTGATTGAGTCCAAACACGGTTAGTTGATAAGGTCAAATCAGCCGGTCTTTTGTTAGTAATTAAACAAATCATAGATAACGATTTGAATGATTTGATTGACTAGTTAGCTTGGCATAGTATTAGTAGTAGTAATAATAGTATTGTCGTGAGTAACGTAGTGGTCGTAATAGTCGTGATAGTAGTACAAGATCCGAAGTGAGCCATAACCCCAACCCCAACCCTAGTTCAAACAATCAATCAAATCAAATATTAGTTACAGTCAATCAAATCAAATCAAAACTTTTACCGTAAGGCCTCAAATCAAATCGAATCACCGCTCCAAATTTGATTGATTTGATTATGTACAAGCCTGCCAAATTGGGTTCGTCTTGTAGACACTGTCCTCCATTCCGTCCCTTTGCGAAATCCGACCTTCCCCGTCGATCGCTTCGTACGGGCCTGAGACAGAACTTTTGTGCACACTTGTCAGTCTTGGATGATTACTTGGAAGCAGCTCTATCCCCGTCATGAATCTTGTCATATTCATAGCTGTGTTGCACGATATCCCCAGCGCTGCCGCCGTCGACGTTCATGACATCGGTTTCAGATCTCCATTGCTGAGTCACGCAAGTGGCCGAGAAGTGTAGACGAACCACGCTATGCGCCTCCGTATTATAGCTAACTCCACTTGCCCACATCCGAGGAGTCGCCAACCCGCCGAAATTATACCGAACCCTAAATCCAACCATTTCCATGGATACTTGAGATCTTATACAGACCTCGACCGACGACGTCCCGCGACCAGGTTGCAGTCTCGAACAATGCCAACCTTTCTGCCCCTGTGCGAGTGAAGACCACCAGTAAATCCCCCTTTGGACCATTCCCTCATAACAAATGCGAAGAAGACCAAAAAACGAAACGGAAACGAAAACACGAGCGGCGCTCGCGCGCGCGCAAAAGTTAGGATTCAAATAGATAGATAGGGTTGGAAATTTCCCCAAAGCGCATTTTTCCCGGCGCCACTTGTGCTTTGGCGGGAAAGATCCCTTCTCTCATTCTGATTCTCATTCTCGTTTCTCACCTTCTCCTTCCATCTCCTCGTCCCCTCCACCTCTTCTCCCCACAGAAAGAAAAAGGAACTCCGACTAAAGCGACTTCTTCTCCTCCCCGGCCCTGGGAGCCACGGCGTCGGAGCTGGCCTTCCTCAGGAGCAATTTCTCCTGGACCAATTTCTTGACCTCGGGGGCGTCGACGCGGATTTCCATCTGGCCGGTGCGCCTGCGGAGTTCCTCGAGGACCTCCTCGACGAGCTCGTCGAGTTCGCGCTCGGGGTCGACGGGGATGCCCATGGTCGCGCCCTGCAGGCTCTCCATGCTCTCGTTGCGCTTGATGCCGGGCCTCGAGGAGGAGGAGGAGCTGGCGCCGGTGTAGGCGCGGACGCGTTTGGCGAGGAGCTTTTTGCCCGGGCTGGCGAGGAAGATGCTGCAGGCGAGGACGCCGATGATCGGGTAGAAATAGAGTTGGCGCCAGACGTGCAGGGTCGAGGAGACGGAGAGGAGGATGAAGGGCGTGGTGGTGAAGTCGAAGACGAGGTGGGTGATGATGCAGGTGAAGATGTCGTAATAGCGTTTGTACGCGGTGGGTTTGCTGCCGTCGGGGGAGAGGAAGAAGGGTCGGATGAGGCGGCGGGAGTCTGGAAATTTGATGTCAGTGATCTGTTGGAAAGGAAAGGGATTCAGGCTAGGAAAGCAGAGCCTACTTTTAGCGACGTTTTGGATGAAACTTGCAAAGACAAAGGCCATGTAGTAACCCGGCTCGAAGCCATGCCAGAAAGCACTGGTGACGAACGTGGCCATACTCGCGCGGAAGCCAGGTTTTTTGCCCTTGGGCGTGACACGGAGGTAGACGTAGTTGCGCAGCCACTGGTTGGTGTTGCAGTTCCAGTTCGCCAGATAGGCGTGGCTGTTCTGGGCGAGTTCCACGCCGAGGGGTTTGATGTTGGTGAGACGATCCCAGTCAGGTTTGCCGGTCTTGGGGTTGATACCTCTGTAGCCGATACCGGCGAGGATACAGGCGCCTTCGGTCAGGGTCCAGACGCCGTAGTATTTCATGCGCTCCACGAGGTTCATCATGTGGAGATGATAGATGCGGAAAAGGAAGCCCATGTTCTCGAAGCGCTTGCTCAGGACGACGGTCGGGCTATAGTAGGCGGATAGTTGCAGAAATGCGATGGTCCAGGCCAGACCGATCAACATCTTGATCGTGGCGGGGGTACCACTACGAGGGATCTTTCGCTTCTTGCGGGTCGGTGGGGCCTTCAACGGGTCGGTTCCTGGCGGGAGATCGAACATGCTCGTGTTGATCCAGCGTTCATAGTCGGCATAATCAAAAGCCGGACCTATCATGACCGAGGGGAAGAAGGCGACGAAACCGGCATAGTTCAAGATGCTGGGAAGTTTCCGGACAGCGCGGGACTGCTGATCCGGGCTGAGATCGGCGTCTTTCTGTTTGCCATCCCAAACGTTCCAGCAAAAAGCCGAGAGTTTCATGACAAGTACCATCTGGGCCCCGGTGATGTCGACGGAGCTAGGACTGGCGGCGTACAGACGGTAGATGTGACTGACGGACATGTGGCCCATGAGGAAAGTGAAGCCGACCCATGGCATGTATGGACCCGAGACATATGCGGCGATGAGATAAGTCCCGATGGCGTCGAATGAGATGACTGCAAGACCACCCCAGAGATCGAAGAGTCCCACGAGGAAGAAAATCGTCACTCTGCGTTGTATCAGCAATCTCCTCCAAGTTCAGCATGGAGATGGGAGGGAGAGATCGTACGCGATATTGAAGAGGTTTTTGAGATTCGGCTGGTTGTCAGGGAGTCTCTTGAGGAGCGCGGCCAACGGATACGACCCCAAGAACAAGACGATGAGTTTGACTGATCAAGTTGGAAAAGCGAAACATCAGCTTTGAATCCAGGTTGCTCAATGATGGTCATCTTCTTACACTCGTCCAAAGGAGCTCCGAGCTTGCTGGCGACGAACTCGAACGCTGTGGGATATCGTCAGTCGTCCGATCCGTGTTTGGCATTCCGCGACGATGATCGCTTGGCCGTCTGCCAGCAACACCACTCACGGGCATTAATATAAGGCAACATCTTGAATTGCTTGATTCACGCGCGTATGTGGAAAGCGGCGAATTCCGTCCGCGCCGAGGGGAGCGGATGCCTGGCTCTAAGCTGGGAAATTTCACGCAATAACAGTAACGAGCAAGGAGACCGCCTAGACGCAAGTCATACTGTTTCGTACGGCTTGGGTGATATCGTCGTGATTTTATCAGCCGGTGGGAGGCTCGAGAAAGGTGTTGTTGGATATTATTCCGTATACGAGTGCGAGCCTTTCCCTGTTTGCGACTGACTGATGATGAAGTCGAAATTCCTCGCCAGCAAGCGGGAGAAAGCGCGCGCGCCACGATGTACGTCATCTGGGATGTTATATACTCCAGCTGTGTGTGAAATATACCTAGGTATAGTAGGGGTCTAGTTAACCTTCACTACTGTCCATAGTAAATCTGTAGCTTTTTGCTTTACGGCCGAGGCATTCTCGATTCTCGCCGTGGGAGCTCCCAATAGCTTCAGATCATCAAGGTCTACTGCAATGCTTGTTCAAATACAAATTTGGCCAGAACATTACCTAGTGCTAGAAGAGGAAGTGCCATACTTTCCGCTTCCGTATGTAAATTATATGCATTCCACACCAATCAGGATTTATATGTCGAGCACGGCAGGTTGAACAGGCGATACCACAGCCACCTAGGCTAGCTGATATAGCAAAGAGCTAGGAGCTACGAGAAGCTCGAATGCAGTAGATGAGACGAATCTCTCTCCCTCTCTCTTGATCTCCTATTAATCGTAGGCAAGAGGGACAAACGGGATATTCTTTCCAAACCATCCGAAAAAAACCCCCAACCAAAGCAAGCACAAACAAATACAAAAACACCATTCCCGGAAAAACAAGAGAAACAGAGACAAGCCCGACAAGGGCACGTCATCATACCGCACCGGGAAAAAAGAAAAGAGAAAAAGTACAACAAATCCTCCCTCCTCCCTCTTTCCTCTTCCATCCCTCTCCCGCATACATCACAATCTATCCCAACCCGCCCCAACTCCCCCGGATCCTCCTCGCGAGTTGGATGTCCTTCTGCATGATCGTCACGCGTTTCGCATGGATGGCGCAGAGATTCGAATCCTCGAACAGATGCACCAGGTAGGCCTCGGTGGCTTCTTGTAGCGCTTGGATGGCCTGGGATTGCCAGCGCGTGATGCCGCTGCTGACGGGCGCCATGTTGAGGGTCACCTCGCGGACCTGTGCGGATGAATTCTGTCAGGTGGAAGGGAAGAGGAGCGATTTAGGGGTTCGAAGTGAGGGTGGAGTGAGAGAGGTGTGTGTAGAGAGAGAGAGAGAGAGAGAGAGAGAGAGAGAGAGAG